TAAAACAAAACAAAATTTCTAATAATAATCTTTTAAATGCACTAAAAGTAGTAAGAAAAGAAAATAAACTTGACTTTTTTAATAAAAGCATTTTTCGCTCATAAAATCAAACATTTTAAAGATGTTAAAAAATTTACCAACAAATAAAATCGATTTTGAGGGCGTTATAGGTATGAAACATCATTGTAGTGGAATGTGGTCTGGCTTTTTGAGACAATGCGTGACGCTGGGGGTGAGGGATGGGTGAAAATTGTCAATTAAAGCGAGATGTCATTAATGGATGTCACCTAAAAGTTTGTAAAAAATGGTAAATTCAATTAAATGAATTCATTTTCAAACAGAACATTAATTTCAGATTTTTAAAAATGTGAGAAATATGTTACGATACGTCTGGCTTTTCAGAGCGTACTGTTGTGTGAATTCTAGATGAGTTACGTATTTTTACAAGCTTTTATTTAACTCACTTCCTCTGTCGTCAGTCGACAGTCTGTCGTCAGTCTAGATCGAAGAGCAGGGTTAGTAAAACCATTGGTTAGTTATTAAAACGTTTTTTATTAAATTTTTTTTCAATATTTTACATGTTTTATTTACAATAGAGTTACATGACTAAAAACCATTGCGCGCCTAGCTACCGAACGTGATGTCGCAGCCATTGAACGTGATGGCGCAGCTATTGAACGTGATGACGCGTGTGGTGTGGTTGGATAAAAATGCCTACTAATTCCGTCCAAATTTTAATTAATTAAAAAAAATGTGTGACCGAACAAAAGGATATTTTTGAAAACTTTTTTCGGCAATATTGTTCTAAATTATGGCAGGAATCGATTGGTACATGTTTCAAGTCGCTAAGTGGTCTGGTTGCCGAGATATGGGCCAAAAACTGCTTTTTTTTCCGAGGTTTTTTTGTCTTTTCCGGTAAATCCATGAAAGAAACCCGGAATTTTTTTGGCCTATGTTCATCCTCGTAACTTGCTTAACATAATTGCTTTTGGAACTAGTCCTCGATATTGCTTCGTTGAGGAGGAGATACGACTTAAAGCTGCGGACACACATTCATCCATCCATTCATCCATCCAGAAATGACGGGTTAATAAACGCAATTCTCCAGAATGGAAATTGCGCTAAAAATTTTCAGTACTTTACATGTTTTATTTACAACGAGCCGACCCGCGGCGTATCATACGCCGCTATTTAGTTGTTTTATTTTCTACTTTTCAGTAATTCATAATTTGTGAATTCGACAGTACAAATGCTGCCACTGAAAATATTTGCTTTAAAATACTATCAGTTGGTCGTTAAGGACGATAACCCCCCGCCCACCCTCATTTCCCCCAACCCCACCCCCCCCCCCCCCCGTGAAAGCAGCCTCCTCTTAATTACCTCCCCTAAGTTTAAAATAGTTTCAAACTAAATTATCTGCCCCTAATAAAACCCGGCTCTTTGTTTATAAACATTTAGCGTGAACCAGAGCTCACCAGATCATGTGGGGGTGGGGGAGGTTGATTTATGCCTAGTGAAGAAGAGAGGGGACTGCAAGGCGCACGCTTGCAGCTTGTTTTCTAGCGTCTCCCAGAAGAGAATTATATATATAGATAGTGTTACATGACTAAAAACCATAGCGCGTCTATTGAACATGATGGCGCAGCTATTAAACCTGATGGCGCAGCTATTGAACGTAATGACGCGTGTGGTGTGGTTGGATCGACATGCCTACTAATTCGGTCCAAATTTTAATTAATTCATAAAAAATTAATTAGGCATCCAATTAAGTCAAATTTAATTTCAGATTGCATTCTTCATGTCTTGACCCACGTGTCAAATGTGAATCGTATCGGTCAAGTAGAAGTGTCCGAATTTTCACTCCTGCGTTTCGATCTAGACTGACGACAGACTGTCGACTGACGACTGACGACAGAGGAAGTGAGTTAAATAAAAGCTTGTAAAAATACGTAACTCATCTAGAATTCACACAACAGTACGCTCTGAAAAGCCAGACGTATCGTAACATATTTTAAACCCTAACTGGAGAAAATTGAAGGAAAAAAATCTTTTGTTTTCATGTAGGCCTACTTAAAAGCTTCTTATTTATGTGTTAAAAGGTGTATTATATATTTTTAATCAATTCAAAAATTTATTTTTACTGAAAAAAAAAACCCAATCTGCCCCGGGTGAGGATCGAACTCACAACCTCCGCATGACTTGACTCCATTGATAACAATGGGAAGGTACTGTCTATAAGTACGGCGCGCTAACCGATTGTGCCACCGGGGCTGTTGTAAAGAGATAAGCTGACATTGACATAGTCTTAAATAAAAGCCCCGCCGTTCTTATTGTTTCTTTTGTAAACGTCAAGCATCGAAACTTCACATACTGTTATTTAATTGTTTTGTTGTTGTTGTTTTTTTTGTTTTAGTTGCACCCCGGGATAACTCGCAATTCCAACTATGAAACTTCTATTGTTAACCTAGGCGGCTAGTTTGAGTACAGTGAGGGGTATTTTAAAAAAAGAATATTTATCAAGTCTTCAGTAATTGAAAATATACCCCCCCACCCCCCACCCCCTTTGCACGCACAACACACACCCCTCTAATATTTTAAGGCAATTTTGTTGGATTTATGTAATCTGGGGAATGACATGGTTAAAGAGAAAACGTATTAAAACATGGAGCTAGATCTGCCCCAATTTTAAGCCGCTGTTGGGTGCAGGAACTATAAGAATTCATATAGTGTTAGTACTCAGGGGCGTAGCGAGGGGGGGGGGGGGGGGGTGCGGACAGCACCGGGTGACACCATTTAGGCGGGTGACTTTAAGGCAAAAAATAGTAAAATATATAGAGAAAAACTTGAGGGGGGTGCAAATCGAAAGTTTGAGGGGGGGGGGGTGCAAATCGAAAATTTGAAAGTTTGTCCCCGGGAAGGGTCGCTACGCCTCTGGGGGGGGGGGGTGACACCATTAAGTGCCGCACCGGGTGACACCCGACCTCGCTACGCCACTGTTAGTACCAACTATTAGCTCTGGACACAAGAGTATAAGAAAGTTACTATTGTAAGTAAACGGATGGAATAAGAGAAAGGAATAAAGCATGCGACTGCGAGTGTATATCAAAACCTTGACGTGTTGTGGGGGGGGGGGGGGGGGGGGGGGGTCTGGCTATTTGTGACAAGTGTGACGAAGGGGTGGGGGGAGTATTTATGGATTACCCCTTCACAATATATAAAAGCTTGTAATTTAAACTTTTTTTTCTTTCATAAGAATGTTCTTTCTCTTTTGTCTGCATACGTTTCGTGTTAATTTATATATTTATTTTTATTAGTCATTTGAATTTTTGCCTGGTGATAATAAATAGTAAGCCTATTTCGAAATGTATTTTCTGCCGTTTGGCAGTGTCTCTCTTTTTTAACGTTCCGTGTATGATTTGTTTCCGATCAGAGCTTCTTCCAGGCATCTCTACCGCCCCCCCCCCCCCCCCCTCTTCACCCCCCCCCCCCCCACCCGAACGAAATGAAATTTATATAATTTATATAGAAAATATATACTTTTAACAGTGTCCGCCCCCCCCCCCCCCGAAGAAAGTCTACCGCCCCCCCCCCCCCCCCGGAGAAAAAAGTCTGGAAGAAACACTGATATTCATTCAGCGCAATAGTTTCCTGTTTCGTGGTAGGTTGGCCTACGTATATTAGGAGACCCTTCGTTCTTAATTGCAAAATTGGATTTCCCTCAATTCAATTAGGTAGGCCTATGTTATGCACCATATGGGCAGTTGCCGTGGACTTCATTACTTTAACCTATTTTTATTTTTTCGATTTGTTTCCATAGGAATGTTTCCTCTAATGGGAAACAGCTAGTGTGCATCACATATTTTGAATGCGTGGTGCTCTGAAGCCTAAAGGTCTTACACAAAGATATATATATATATATATACCTATATATATATGTATTATGAATATAATTATTAGACAGAAATATCTCTTGCATCTTACTGCACTGGAATCCCCAATAATTTATTTCACCATTTTCAACATTAAGGATTTGATGATATTTTTCCTATTGTGTGAAAGGTATTTTTACTTGGCAATTTCTAATGCGCCTTCATATGGTGCTTGCACTAATACTGTGTGAAAACTTCATGTTCGATCAAGTCTCTGACGTTTGCAACTAACTTCATGCAGACGAAATAACTTCATATCTTTTTTATGGGTTCCAAATGACTTCGTCTCAAAATTACGTTTTAGTTTTGAAGGTTTCATAGACTCGTTGATGAGAACAACTTTGCACAGTACGCATTCTTTTCTATTCCATTTTCGGTGATGTTAATAGGGCCGAATTTCAGATATTTTTCTAAATATTTGTTTTTTTTTTCATTGCTAATTGCTAAGGTTTAGTCTACAAGTTGGCGACCCCCCCCCCCCCCAGAAAGCCCTTCGCGACCCCCAGTTTGGGAACCCGTGAGCTAGAGCTTACCAGGTCCTAAATTGTTGCATTAGTGTTTTTGAAGGGCGGGCTTTAACTAAAATGTTGGAGAACATCATTCATTCTATAACTATTGTATTAGTACCAACAGCGTCATTCCAAAAAACTAACAAATTGACTACACATTGAAAATGGCTCACCCATCACCAAATTTGATTCTCTATTTCTATTAGCTCCATTATTTTTGTCGGTAGAATTCATCAAAAAAAAAGTTTTATATTACCGGTTCACAACTCAATTTCACGAATAAAATTTTGTTGTAATTGTAATAAAATTGATTATGTACAAATATTTTGAAATGGTTAATTCTCATTTGAAGAATAAACAAGTAATCGGCAGGGTCTTCACTGTAATTCAGTGGTGATGGATATCCCTCACATAATCATACACCTAGATCTAAATATTTAAGTTAAAGAAACTCATTCCTCCAATATTTGGATGTTTAAAAACTTGTTTCAGTGGATGCTTACACTTACAGCCCTCAAGTACCCATTTATACAAATCCATATACTCCTGAATGAACCAAAAGTGATTTTAGTTATTTTGTTTTATTGATATCATTTATAAGTAAACAGTACACACAAAGTACAATCAAACTAGCATACCCTACCAACAGACACTCATAACCCTACTTATTTAAGAACATGTGTAGCTTTATATACTATAGTATTACAAAGAACGAGTTGTGTAATAATAACACAAGGAAAGGCTACTGCTACCTGTGGAATATTTACAAGGAGAGTGACTGCTCCTCAGGGTGGTGAAACTACCTAAACTTGACCAATCACTCCAGGTCTTTCATCAACAACAATAAAACTTAGGAAACTTCTTACCTTGTGAGCTATAGGACTTACCAAACAATGATCAGCTATACATCATAAACAAATTTATACAATATTAAAACAAGCCAAGTTATTTAACACTCAGCCATTCAAGTCAGATCATACAAGTACAATGTTCAATAAATAATAGTAACTGATAAACTATACAGTGACATCTATATATAGCTTCATTGTGCAAAAACTTACCAAATGTATAAACCAAAGTGAAAATTTTCATAGATTTTTTCACTTAGTTTAGTAGAGGAACTAATTAACAATATACAGAAAACAAGATTTATTATAAAAGCCTAGGGACATAAAATTAATATTCCTTGAGGTTTTCAGAATAGATCTTTGTTTTCTATATTTTGATTGCACATTTTCTACCATAAACTTAGATCCATAAAAAATCCTAAACAAATAACATTAAATATGTACTAAACCATTCCATTTCTATGCCACACAACTTACCAAAGTAAATTTAAAAAACATTCTCACAAACTAACACAAGTACCTGGGATGAGTCTAAGCAGCTGTGAGTGAGGAGAAAAATAACAGCTGTTTGTCCAACTACTGCTAACATATGTATTTACACAGCAAAGTAAAAGAAATCACTGGATACACAATGTGTATGTTCATAAATGTTTATGTCAGTATATCACTTTCAAAATGTCTTGTATTTATACAATTCCATATTTCTTATAAACTGTGGTAACAATGTTTCATCATAACATCGTCATTAAAATTTTCACAGGTTTATCTGTAACTAATGTTCTTAATCATCACCAATAGCTTTATATAGCTTCAAATTGAATACACAGGTGAACAAGGTATACATTATCTAAACCTATACAAAAGACAAATCTGATAATCCTGAAAGAGAATTGAAAAATTAGAGTAATACATAAAATTATTATAGGCCTGGTGTGGGTTAAAGAGAGGACCTGACTGCCTGCCATCTCAGGATATCATGACCTTTTGAGCTGACCATGGTTGTAGTGCTGAAGGTAATGAGTTCTTTCACTGAAGCTATTTACTTAAACCACCCAATCATTAAATTAACTTAAAAATCAAGCATCTGCAACATTGAAATAGGGATTGCTTCATGAATTGTAAATATGGGTGACTAGTTTGGAACTAGATGCTTGTCCTCTTTCTAACTGGAAATTCTTAAATGGATCTTCATGCTTAAAATTTATGTATGGTTTCAAGAATGCAGGAATACTTGTAATTGGATGGACTTTTTCTTGATATTTCAACTTGATATATTCAATTATTTTGGCTCAGCATCAGAAGCATTTTTATCATAAAATGGATCAGCAAAATGGATGTTTGCAGGGTTAGCATCAGAACAAAAGGGGTCTTGCAGGATCAGCAACAGACAATGGCAACTTCTTGCAGGGCCAGCATCAGAGCAACAGATTCTTGCAGGGTCAGCCACAGACAATGGTAACTTCTTGCAGGGTCAGCCACAGACAATGGTAACTTCTTGCAGGGTCAGCCACAGACAATGGTAACTTCTTGCAGGGTCAGCCACAGACAATGGTAACTTCTTGCAGGGTCAGCCACAGACAATGGTAACTTCTTGCAGGGTCAGCCACAGACAATGGTAACTTCTTGCAGGGTCAGCCACAGACAATGGTAACTTCTTGCAGGGTCAGCCACAGACAATGGTAACTTCTTGCAGGGTCAGCCACAGACAATGGTAACTTCTTGCAGGGTCAGCCACAGACAATGGTAACTTCTTGCAGGGTCAGCCACAGACAATGGTAACTTCTTGCAGGGTCAGCCACAGACAATGGTAACTTCTTGCAGGGTCAGCCACAGACAATGGTAACTTCTTGCAGGGTCAGCCACAGACAATGGTAACTTCTTGCAGGGTCAGCCACAGACAATGGTAACTTCTTGCAGGGTCAGCCACAGACAATGGTAACTTCTTGCAGGGTCAGCCACAGACAATGGTAACTTCTTGCAGGGTCAGCCACAGACAATGGTAACTTCTTGCAGGGTCAGCCACAGACAATGGTAACTTCTTGCAGGGTCAGCCACAGACAATGGTAACTTCTTGCAGGGTCAGCAGCAGAGCAACAGGTTTCTTGCAGGGTCAGCAAAAGAAAATATTACTTCTTGTGAGCTCAGCACTAGACTCTGGATTGCTGGATTCTTGCAGTTTCAGCATCGGGAAAAGAAAGATTCTTGCATGAGGGTTAACAACATAACATGGACAACTGGAGGACTTTGGATAAAACGTCGGATTATGGTTTTCAGGTTCAGCTCTGGGCATGGGTAACTGGGATGTAGCAGGATCAACAGATCATGTAAAGTTTCAGGCTTGACAATAGGATATATGAATCAATTTAAGAGCTCAGCTGTACATTTCTAGCATATCTTATACATTGGCAGGCTTGATTTATTTGCTTTACTCTTTGTGACTTGAACTTTGCATTAACTATTTATTTTTCATTTTGATACAGCAGTGAACCTATGGAAGGTAATGTGGTCTTCTTGATTCTTGTGGCAGACATCTATAACTGGCAAGATGGTAATTTGTTGATAATGTAAACTTTGGATTTTCTCTAGAATCTTGTAGCAGAAGTATATTTTACATCTGAGATCAAGATGTTGAACATTTCGTGGGTTTGTTAGAAGTGTGCTGTTTGTTTGTACTGATATGCTGCAGTGTTAGAAGCTACTCCCATATCTCAATGCTGCTTGCTAAATTTACACAAGAACTTGAGTGTGCCCAGATCTCAATAGGGTGGGAGATGGGGCCAGGAGTAGTGTATAAGGGGATGGGGTGATCTGGACACATCAAGCAGAATAATACGGCACACACATCTGAAATTTGGGGCTTCCTCATCCTACAACACACTGCACTTTATACGGGTACTCTGTAACTGGGGAAAGTGACGTCATACAAGCTGCAGAATCATCTTTGCAATGTTCATTTAGAGCAGATAAACTATGAGCAGGATATATAGAGGATTTTAGGAAGCCCTCAAAATTTCACTGAAGAGTATGAAATCCAAAAGGGGGTTGCAAACAGTTCATGTCCTATAACTTTTGTGGTGCAGGTATCGGTGTATCACAATGAGCAAAAATGTCAACAACATGGAAAACAGAAAATATTTTCTGTTTCCTTATAATGATTGCAATATGCCCATATTTGCTTTACAGTCCACTGAAGAATTGTGGTCAAATAATGCCACCCCCTTTTCTTGTAGGAACTCCAAGCACTTAGCCTTGTCCGTAAAAGCCAGCTCTTTCTGGAAAAACTCGATTGGAAGGACAGGTCGATACCTAGATAAATTTTATTCCACACACCAACCAATGGATAAGAGAGCAAACAACAGGAGGGACATACAAATGAGATGTATTGATTGTTGAACACAACCGCACAGCAGCCAGGGTAGAAGTCGCAAAACAAATGAAACAGAAAAAGAAAATATGTTAATACGCATTAATAACAAAAATAGCATTTAAAATTTTTTTTAAATTGTAACTAGTAGTAAGAAAAATAAAAATGTATACTTACATGACTCCTGAAAGAGACTAAATGCATTAACAGTAAACAATATGCCTAGGTGTCTACTGCCTAATTTAAATGATTTTTTATTTAATTGTTTTAAATAGAAAAGCAATCTCATGTTTGATTATAGTGAACCTAATGTTTAAAAATTAGTATCAGTGGCTAAAAAGAAAATACGTACGATTTTATAATAAGTTTGAGAGCACTTTTTCTAACTCTGTCAATGAACCAGTCCATTAAATAGCCAGACATTTTAGGTGCACTCTCATACAATTTGAAAAACCTGTGATAATTATTAAGTGACCAAGCTATTCGGACATCTAATGCATGTTTTATACAGATGTCGTTCCTGCATTCATGTGTTAAGGAAGCTAGAGCAGTTGTCAGATCTGTTTGATAAAAAAGTTTATAAAATTAGCACAATCAGTTTTTCTTTACTTTCATCTTTAAGTCAAGATGGAAAGTGAAGCTTTTAATATAATAGTTTGCAAAAATTAACATACCAAGAGTATTTGAAGTATAAATATAATAAAGAATCCGGTAAGCCTTAAACTCAAGTTGGTTGCCTTTAAGCCCTTCATGATACAAAAGCTTCAACTGAGTCTGACACTGGTTGAACTCTTCATGGTCCCCCTAACAGAAGAAAATTTTACGAAGTTGACAAATAGTTTTTTTTTTAAAAAGAGTATAATTTCTTTTTAATAACATGCAGAATACACAAAGCGCAATATTAGTAACTTACTTTTTCCATGGCAATCCGTGCATGGGTTTCATAAACACGCACGGTGAACGAATCTCTAATACCTTGAACCTTTAGATTTAAATATAGAAAAAAAATCAAAACATTTCTTAAAGTGCAAGAGCATACATTAAGCTTGTGATTTATCTGAAGTGTATATACTGAACTGCTTACTAATATAATAATGTATGATCACCAACATAACTTCACTCAAATAAAATAAAGGAAATTGCGGTATCAGAAAATCAATTTTATATAGCATTCATCCCTTCTCTGGAATGACCTATAATTAAGGCCAGCAGTACACAGGAATGCGAGTATAAACGGAAAACATGTCTATTTGTTAAGAAGCAGAACTAGTTAATATCAAATCTTACAGTAAGGTCCTGCCTAATTGATTTTAACTGTTCACAAGCATAGCGATAATCTGTGTTTTTTTGCCACTTCTCCTGAACATTGGCCAGAGCTTTCTTTAGGACAGCCAGTGGACGGATTTGTTTAGGATCTGGAGCCTGGAAATTAACAATAGAGTTGAAGCAACAAACTGAATAGTTTAAATAATCTGAATATTTTAAATGATAAGATTGTATGACATCTGAAGAGCTCTGAAAAATCAGAAAGCATTGATTTCAGAATTTCAATTTCATTATAGCATCCATCCCTTCTCTGGAATGACCTATAATTTGAGGCCAGCAGTACACAGGGATGCAGTTACCACTTACAGTACTTACAATTTACAGTACACAGCTAATAATAGTTTCATCTGAAAACGTAACAAATAATAGATCACTCACTCCTGTAAGTCTCAAATACGGTTTCTCTATGTCCTGACATGTCCCAACAACAGTGAACTCTGTTAAATCTTTATCGTCTTCTTTCAAGCTCTATAAAAGGACAAAAGAATAGTGTTACATTATAATAAAACCACTCGCTCTAATTTTCTTTATTATCTTAATTGTTCTTACTCACAGTATTGACAGAATCATTGATGGTAATCATAAGCTTTTGCTTAGGTTTGTGCAACTGTCCAGCAAATCGGGCAGCTCTTATTTCCATTCTTGCCTTTTTCATTGGATCATCATCCAATGTAAACTTAAGGAATCTGTTTTTAAAAATATTAAAAGTTAATGTTCACTTTACAGCTTTGTGAAGAAAAAACAGTTTTTAAGCAAATTCATTTATATAAACTTTTATATACATTGGTCAAACAACCCTTCAAATCACAGCGTCTGAAAAATTATCAATCGTCTTTTAAACAGACAAAACTTTGCTTTATAGCCTACCCTTTTTGGTGTTGATTTTTCTTCTTATTTTTCTTATTTGTAGACAACGTTAGTGTGTCGCCTTCACCTTTGGCAATTATTTTACCACCTCTACCTCTTCCTCTTGGAGATTTAGCACCAAATCCTCTAGTTTTTCCAAATCTACCTCTTCCAGGGCTAGATCTACTTGATTCTGAGGAAGGACTCCTACTGTCACTGAAAAGATTAAAATAATTTTAAAACTAAAGGAATTCACCTTACCATTTCAGCAAAATATCTTAATAAAGGAACAAAAACTAAAATGTAGGAGACTGCTTAAGCAACATTTTCTAGTAAGAAATGCTAAGTTAATGCAAGCTAGCTAACAAGATAATTTAGCATCCATCCCTTCTCTGGAATGACCTATGATTTGAGGCCAGCAGTACACAGGGATGCAAGATAAATGAAATAAATGATTACACCAGTCCTATCAAAACAATGTATTAAAATATTAAGCTACTATAGTAGTTGGACGAACTAATTTTTAAACTTTTGATTAACATTACCTGCTGTGACGTAACTTTCTTCTTCTTCTAGTGTTGGAATTGGACCGAGATCTAGAACGAGATCTAGACCTGGACCAAGATCGAGAAGAACTAGAAAATGAACGGCTGCTTGACCTTCTGTAAGTAGGCACTCTGTCTCTAGAGTAAAGTGGCCTCTGAGGTGTCCCCATATTCCTTTGATTAACAGCTCCTCTTATGCTATGCTGGAAATTCATCATTCTATTGGCACTGCCAAACTTTGGTGTCTGATTCTGATTGCCCACACTGTTTAGTTTTGCATCATCTCTATAACAATACAAAAGATATAATTGGTTAATTTATGAAAATTATATTACATGACAGACATGTTTTGATGAGAGAAAAAATACACACATAGGTAATGGCTCATTTTCCCAGTCTATGGCATTTGCCCCACCAGGCGAATTGAAGATGTTTGTAAGCTTTTCTTTTAAAACACGCTCGACTTGATCTTTCTGGTGTTCATTCACTACAGACGCAAATGCTCTTTGCACATAATCTCTGAAATTTCCATTAAAAAATATTTTTTTTCCCCTATACAATGGACAGGTTTTGTGTAGTAAGAAATGCTGAGTAATAAATTCTAATAACTGTTAAACAAAGAAGAAGTTGTATTAATATAAAATAAGAAACAGAATTTACTTTAGAGCCTGGGGCCATTCTCCTGCTGCTTCTGTTGACCTAAAAAGCATTTAAAAAAACATGAGTAGGGGCATCAAGTTTGAGTGATTTAAAAAAACTGGCCTAACTACAATAAATAGTCTAACTAAAATAAGATAACATACATAGTGCCTGATTTTATATCTTGATCCTTAGATGAATTCTTTGAAACAGAATTACTATCAGAATTGGCTGCCATATCATTCCTCATAAATTTATTTGGTGTTCGCAGAGGGTTATCCATTGGACTGCCACTACTCAAATTTTTGCGCTTAGCAAGTTGGAATCTTATGCCACCAGCTCCTGGTGCTTCTGCAAAATATATGGAATGAAAATTTTACATTTTACTTCTACATCAAAAATACATCTTAAAAACTTAAATCTAACGCTTCAAATTGTATCAGTTTAAGTGGCTCACTATTGAGCATTAAGCTGACATTTAATGTTTGAGAATTTTAGCACTTGAGATACAAGAGCGTAATCCTAGTGACTCTAAACCTCAAATTAAAGAATCTAAAAAATTTGTTTACAATAAAGGAAATGCTTCATTTAAAAACTAGCACATAAAATTACAGAACAGAAAAGAACTTTGATTTTGAGGAAAAAACAGGTACATACGTTTATTATTTCTTTGAAACCTAGGCCCTTGATTGTGGAATTCATGAGATCCATCCCCAGAATGGTTTTCTGATCCTCTGTCTATATCCGTATTTTGTTTAGGACTATCATTGAAATTATATCGTTGAGGAGGACCACAAAAATTCTCACGATTAGGTGGTAGACCCATTCCTTGATTGTAAAAAGGACCAGGTGAAGGGCCCATAGGCCCACGAGGTCCAGGGCTGCCATTACTAAAATTTCCAGGAGGGCCATAGTTGTTCATCTACAAGCAAATTATTATTTATATTAATTAAATAACATTAAAAACTAAGTTGTACTAAAATAGTCTCACACAGAGATAAAAGGAATTCTTGAAGATTTAGACAGCTAATTATATAATTTTTGTTAACTTATGGCTAACAGTTTACATAGTAACATTAGGTATGTTTCAGATAACAGAGTACCATCAAAATGAGAGATGATACCATTTCTCAGTCATCTGCATTTTTATTTCTGAGACTTTTAGCACTTGTGTTACAATTAAATAAACAAGTGACTCTAAAGCTCAAAGTAATAAATCAGATAAAATTTAAGAGCAGAAATTAGGCCTACAGGGGTGTTTTTTTTTGTTATTTCAACTAGAGTCTATTTTATGATTCAATAACTTTTTATTTAAAAGTAATACATACCCATGGTGGATGACCACCATAAGGATTTCCCATGTATCCACTGCCATATCCATAACTAAATGAAGAAAATAAAACATTACACACAATGAGAGGTATATATATGTAAACTGGGCCTACCTAAGCCTAATGTCACAAAACAAAATAATATAGGCTAAAACCCAACACTACTTTCTTAGTAAGCTGTAGGCTTACAGTCAATTTAATTAGTTCATAAAAAGCAACTTTTAAATGTGGTATGCATTGTTAAGTAAAAAGAGGCGAAAAACATTAAAAAAAGAACTATAGGTCCCTATACTTACGGATATCCATACTGCTGATAAACATTTGGTGGGCCATATCCAATACCAGGAGGTGGATATCCAAAACCAAATTGAGGACTTTGATTCATATGAGGCGATGACATGGGAGGCATATTGTTGATATCTTGAGAATTATTCTGGAAACTTGTATTACCACTCTTACAATCACCCATGCCATTTGGGACTCCCGAATCATCAGAGGAGTTAGAATCAACAGCAGAATTGTCTTCAGATTTACCTTTCCCTTTATTTCCAGTTTCTATTTTTTGTAATGCCTGCATGGCTTTTGTCCATTCTGGTTTGTCAGGAAATTCTTGTGCTTTGTTTTGGTCTTCTAAGGCTTTCATAGCAGCCTTCCACTCTGGCTTTACCTCAGTTGCTATTGTAGCCATTATTTTACTCTACGTATGCCTTTGAAAAGGATGGTAGTTTGAGAGATCTGTGATGGAAAAATTTCAGGCATTTATTACAAGTTAAATGGTATGGCATTATTCTCCTGTAAGTTAAGTGGCACGCTTTGGTTTCTCTTCTAAATTGTATACTGAGCATACACTAGGCCACTATTTAAAATTAAATTTCAGGAATTTCCCTAACTGAAAAGGACTATAGATTATGGATGCCCATTTTATACTTAATGCCAAATTTGGGCTGAGGTCAGAAGATCTGGATAGGACCCAGTTATGATTAATAAATACATTAGGCTTCTTTTTAATTAAGGAAAAATTAGCCTGAAAGTTAGGTGGAAAAGCTTTCTGCAAGCTAGGAGTTGAAGATTCAAAATCCCAATTGATTGGTGTAGGTCTAAGCCTTCTAAATTGTATACTGAGCATACACTAGGCCACTATTTAAAATTAAATTTCAGGAATTTCCCTAACTGAAAAGGACTATAGATTATGGATGCCCATTTTATACTTAATGCCAAATTTGGGCTGAGGTCAGAAGATCTGGATAGGACCCAGTTATGATTAATAAATACATTAGGCTTCTTTTTAATTAAGGAAAAATTAGCCTGAAAGTTAGGTGGAAAAGCTTTCTACAAGCTAGGAGTTGAAGATTCAAAATCCCAATTGATTGGTGTAGGTCTAAGCCTAATATTTAACAAGCTATCATGTCAGCTACGGTAACTAGGCCAACACATGGTTACTTTTACTTTAGGCCGATGCTAGCCGGAATAAGATACGCATGTGCAATGGAGAGAAACTATGACTTGCCTTCACGGCGATGTTTTTGATGGTACTGCACATGCGCGTGTTTACAACCGCAGAACCCTAACACCAACCCTAACCCTCATTCTAGCCCTAACCCTAGGTCACTGCGCATGCGCAGAGCTATCTTTTGCAGACTAAGTGGAGACTTTGGGGAGAAAAATCTTCCAAGTAGTCACTTCGTTTACTTTATTGCACTTTGGGATTAAGGGTCATCCATAAATGACACACAAAAAGTCAGACCCCCCTTAAAATGTCACACCTCAGCCAACAATCCCCTCAAAATTGCAGTTGAAAAAGTTTCCTTAAAGTCAGATAACGGCTAAAATTAGTTTTCTAGCGTTGCTTTTTTTATAATGCAAAAGTGACGTCACACCATCTGAATACCCCCGTCCCCCTTATCACACACCATCACAAAAGTACGGACCCCCCTCCTCCTACGAGTGTGACGTCACTTATGGACGACCCTTTAAACAAAAATACTTTCAATAGTTCTGTAGCTAGGCTGACTCATGATGGCTGACAACTCTGGTTTCAAGGCAGCGACTTTCTCAACTGTCATTTGCTCCATTAAGCAATGTGGTCAAATTATCTCGTAAATTTATATTACTATATTATTAGGCCTAGGCCCTATAAACTTAAGTGTAGAGAAAGCAAATGAATGAGGTTTTCTAATTGGCAGATTCTAGCCATTGTTTACAAACGCCATAGCCCTAAACTTAACCGTAGCACAGCTATTAAGGTCACTGCGCATGCGTAGATCTATTAAGTTTCGTATCTTCTGCCGACCAGATACTGATAGACTAGAGAAGATGGGGCGAAAAATCTTTTTCCAAGTAGATCTAAATCTAGTTACTTCATAACTGAATGCAGGCAAACAAATCTCACTGGAATTGTAAATTTAGACTACGGCATATCCCCCCCCCCTTCCCTCCCAAATTGGATTTTTTTTTTATAAAATAAAATTAAAAATGAATGCAACCACAGTTCACAGCCAATCATGCCCAATGTGTGAATGTGACAATGTCAAGCAAGCTAAAGAAAATATTAGATCTAGACTACTAGGAAGAGGCCATTTTTCCTAATATACAACCAAGCGACTAGATTTAGAGAAACTGTCTAAATTGACTTGAGTCTGACTTATAAAGTGTGCGAAGTCTAAACTAATTAGATCTAGATCTAGAGATCTACTAATCTACTCAATAAACTGACAATTTTTTTTACTAAAACAATATGGCGGACAACACTGGCTATAGAAAAAATGAAGTCTAGACTAAATAAGCTTAATTCTTATTAGATCTTGTTGTGTCCATTCGCTTTTTAAAAAATAACAAGTTATTTGCAATATAGATCAACAAGGTTACTTTGACAACTATCTACACTGATTTAGATTAGATCTAATCTTCTATCTATAGATCTACCTTTAAAAATATTAAAATCTGATGTTAGTCACATCGCAAGTCTCGTCTACGCACTAGCGGGCGGAAATGATATCATAATGATAAAAGAAGTCTTAGGGCCTAGAGCCAGATTTCCGGATGCTCAATGCCTACTGGTCTAGTTATGCCTGATAGGACAACTATAGGCCTAGAACTATGTAGGGCTAACAGAATCCGATTTACTAAAGCATATGAGTGCATATCTATGCATAAACCAAAAATGTATCATTTCTACTTAGATGTGCAATAACCTAGCCGTACCTACTATCATTTTTTTTTAATTTATGCTTCGTACCCTTGACGTACTTCACTTATTCCACTTTACTCCAGGTGGAGCAAAAAAAGCCACAACCATAACCTTCCTTTTTGTCCGGTCCCCGGCTGTTGATTATAAAACCTCCAAAACATCACTGCTGTTAGGGGTCATCTATAAATGACGTCACACTTTTTGACGATTTTTACCTACCCCCCCCCCCCCCTCCCCTCCGTCACACATCGTCACAAAAAGCCAGACCCCCCCCCCTAAAATGACGTCACACCTCAGCCTACAACCCCCTTCAAAATTGCTGTTGAATTTTTCTTAAAACATCGATATTTTACTAAAATCTTGTCTGAACTCTCTCAACATAGAGTATTTTAATCAATTACTGTTGCAATTTATTAAAACAGTTTTCTAAAACGCGAAATAACGGTTAAAATTCGTTAAATAACGGTTAAAATGCAAAAATGTGACATCCCACCATCTGAACCCCCCACCCTCCCCCTCATCACACACCGTCACAAAATTACGGACCCCCCTCCCCCTACGAGTGTGGCGTCATTTATGGACGACACCTTAGTGTCTTCAGTTCTTCAAGAAGACTCCGTCGCCAGGTCTGTCTTGGGCGCCCTCCCTTTCGCCTCCCTGGCGATTCCACTCAAGCGCCTGGCATGACACATAAGAATGAGCCTTTCGCAGTGTCACACCCAGAGTCATTTCCTCCTTCTTATATCTACTTGCACGGGCTCTTGCCTTGTCCTTCTTCATAGATCTATGCCGATTTCCGTACCACAATACCTTGCGTATTTAATAAATAAGATGATAATATTTTTTCTGAGATCCATGTTTTATATTTCTAGCTTCACTGGAAGACGAGAAATTAAACTTTATCTTATTAGGTCGATGAGTGCGTGAAACGTCTACTAAATGGAGATAGCAACCAGGGTTTCTTCTAGACATTTTGCTCGCAAAGTTTCTTCCAGGCATCTCTTCGCCCCCCGAACGACATGGAATTTATATAGAAAACATATACTGTTACCAGTGTCCTCACCCCCCCCCCCCGGAAAGTGTTGACCGTTCTCCTCCCCCCCCCCGGTGAAAAAAGTCTGGAGGAAACAGTGTTTGCTCTTTGCAGGGAGGGTGTTGGGGGGGGGGGGTAGTGCCATGTTATCAAATTAATATTTCCAAGTTCTATGCATTAACAAGTTCTATAACATTCATTTTTTGAATTTGTAATTTCATGTGTAAGAAATTTCATGAGCAACAGCTATGCTTTTACTCGGATGCGTGACTAGGTTGGGTGACCCAGGGTGTCAACCCCTCTGAAAACGACTACGTGTTTGATACAACAAATTTAAAGACAATTTGATGTAATTTATCTTCTCCGCTGGCGTCATCATGTGCCTTATGGTGTATAACACTTAAATGAGCAATTAAACTAACTGAAAAAAGCCGACTTTCAGTTCAAATGTGAGTTAATAACTAACACTTTTGCAAACAATTTTATATTTCAATGCCTCTGAGGGTCAGAGTTTCTTACAGGCATCTCTCTTCGAAATATACTTTTAACTGTGCCCCCCCCCCCCCTCCCGAAAATTTCAAGTCCCCTCCCCCCCCTGGCGGAGAAAATAGTCTAAAAGAAACACTGCTAAGAGTTAATTTTGAGGCTGATTTCAAATAACACTAAACTAGCTTTTTTTTGGTCTAATTATTTGACCAATATTGTTACCCCGATTAGCAATAATTTACTCTAGAGCTTTAGACAGAAGGGATGGGGTGTGTCTATAAACGATATCAAAGTATTTACAACCACGTTCACCTCGTCATACACAAATATGTAATTTAAAACATGTATAATAACACTTTTGATATGCGTGTACGCTTCTCTTTACAGCTGTCATAATATTGACTCATTATTATACATTTAAAGAAAATAATTTCACGTTTGTTCTTTTTAAAGCATATGCTTTATAAAAGCATGTTGTTATGAACGTTTTTATTTATTTTTAAATATTATATATAGACATGCACGACATAACAGTGTTTTGAAATTCCAATTCTTTTTTAAATTGTTACGTTATTCTTGTGGAGTTTAATATTACATAGAACAATTAAAGGTTTGTTAAATAACTTATTATTTAATAATTCATCGTTTAATCACAGGGCGGTTTGGTAAGTTTAATCAATGCTTGGTAAGTTATAACTATGGTGGAAAAATAAAAACAGCCAACACAGTCTACTGAAAAAAATTTCACTTTTTTATGTATTGAAATCAGCTTAATTAATAGCATTGTACAAGTATTTAATTCACAAGCCTATCACACATTATTAGTATATATTTTAAATAAAAGAAATAGTATATTGTCTTATTAAATAAAAAATGTATTGTTTCATTGGGACGAAACCCGTTTCTGTGTGGGCTCAATATGTTGGTTGCATAGCAGTAAGCTCGTCTATTTCAAACATTTTTTAACTGCTAGTCCAAAAGTCTTCAGCTTGGTTCTGAGGTCCGTGGCGAAAGACGTTACCGAGTCCATTAAACTCTAATGGGTACCTAATTCAAGTTGGGTAAAGTAAAGGTAACTATGCATAGAAATTTAAAACACTGAACTTTACTTCATTTTACTGTCACGTTTGAAATAAGTAATTGAGTGTGTGTGCAGAGGCGTAGCGACCCTTCCCGGCGCCCGGGGATAAACTTTCGATTTGCGCCCCCCCCCCCCTCAAACTTTCGATTTACACCCCCCACCTCGAACTTTTCATTTGCACCCCCCTCAAACTTTCGATTTGCACCCCCCCCCTCGAACTTTTCATTTGCACCCCCCCCCCTCAAACTTTCAATTTGTCGCCCCCCTAAGGTCGGCGCCCTGGGACATATGTCCCACCCCGCCCCCCCCCCCACCCCTCGCTACGCCTCTGTGTGTGTGTGGGGGGGGGGGGGCTTTTTGTGAAGACGTTTAACGATAGGTTATGCGGAAGTTCCCGACTTGTTTCACAACCAAATGTGTTTAAATCGTGGATGTTTCTAAAATATTATGGCAAAAGCGAAATATCTTTGGCCTAACGAGTTGGGTTTCCTTTGTGTGAAGGGAAGAAAAAAAAAAGGGGGGGGGTACTTTGTAGAAATTAACTTGATGTTGTTTATTAATGACCCTCCCAACCCCCAAATATTAAATTTGCCGTGTAACCATTGTATATTGACAGTGGACTAAAAACGTATTTAAGTATTTCAGGTTTGTGTGTTAAAAGAGGTTGAGTATCGTTCGATCTTTATTCAACATTGGTTTGCTGGCCATGATCTTGGATATAGTGTTGTTGGCCCGCTTCACTTTGAACCGGTACACCCAGGGTAGGTCTCTGGAAAAAAAAGTTTTTAATGAAATTAAATACTTTTATTTGAATGTTTAAGCAGGGTTTCTTTAAGACATTGGGTTGGGGGATTTGAAACTTCCAGTGGGTGTGTGTGTGGGGGGGGGGGGGGAATGGTTAAAGTATATATTTTCAATTTCAATTATTTTTTTTCTATTTCGTATTTGGAGAGATGGCTGCGAGTAACACTGCGTGTAAGTCGATTGAGGTTGATTTCCGAAATTGCACGGTAATCGTATAGTAGAGATCACGACTGCTAACCCGAAATTCTTGAGTTCGGATCCCAGGCTGGAGACCACACATCTCCGATCGGTACCTGACTCACGGTAGCGAAATTACGGCGCCGAGCATAGAGCTCACCACCTTATATGCCCCCCCCCCCCATGTTGAGTTCATTAAAATAGATTAACTGTACTTATCTATCCCATGTATCTTGGGAAAAGATGCTGATATATTGTGTATAGTTGGGCTCCCGCAATAAGTTTTACTTTGTTTTGGGGGGTTACAATACATCTTCTGGACCCTTGTATAAACGATGACAATAGGGCTGGTAAGTAGGTCACCAACCAGTTCTACGGCTCAATAAAACCTGCATGAGCCATATGGTTGGTGACCTACTTATAAGCCCTATTAATTAAATGACTTGCCTCTTTGGGTTGACCTTCTGAGGCCGGGGCAGGGCAGTGACGTCATCGTACTGTGAGCTGGTGGCTAGGAAATGTAAATTCCGTATGTGGTCGCTGAGCAAGTCGGTATGGTCGCTGGCTCGGTCCGCGCTTTTGATTGCACCTATCACAGAAAATAATGTAAAAACGTTTATCATAGTAAAGTAGTAGTAAAGTTCCCTTTCATGCCTGATGGTCTATGGGACTAGTGAAGTATAGTTCACCTGTTTCCGTGACCTCGGCATTTGAAGTGATAATGTGGTCAGCAATATGCCCCATCGCCTTTACTTTCTCTAAAGTGAGTCAGGTACCCAACAGAGCTGGGTGACCTCGGGGACTTTCTACTGACTCGAGACTTTCGGGTTAGTAGTTGAACGTTTTAGCACGGACGTTTTCGATCACGCCATCATAAAATAAGAGAGAGGCGAAAAAAAAAGCCGGAATTTGTAAATTTAAGAAAAAATGTACGTTATGGTACTAAACTGAAGTCGTCAAGGGAGGGAATGTTATTGTTAGTAACCTTACTTGTAAACAGAGTTTCTTCCAGGCATCTCTTCCGAAGAAAGTCTACCGACCCCCCCGAACAAAATGGACTTTACATAGAAAATATATACTTTTAACAGTGTCCTCCCCCCCCCCCCCCCTCGAAAATTTTAAACTTTAGTCCGCGCCCCAGAAAATTTGAAGTGCCCCCCCCCCCCTCCGGAGAAAGAAGTCTGGAAGAAACACTGCATGTAAATTTAGAAAGAAAAAAATTAACCTGTATACTTGAGACGATTTTGATATTTTGATGCTGGAAGACGAGTGTATGATTTATCATGAGGCTTCCCGGCTGATCCATTCTCGTGCGACTTGTGGCTTGTCGTCTGTTTTAATGACGTCATCATAACGGGAGACAACTGCTGTCGTCTGGTGCGTGGACTTTTGGGTGGTGGTCTGGTGGTGGTGTTTTGTCTAGGGCTAGTGTCTACCAAAGGCGGGAGCTTTGTAAAATATATAAAACGTTGAGATTAACTCCGTTTTGTTTTGTTTTTTGGAGACAGAAAGTATGGAATTTCAAGAACTGTTGTATTTTTGAAAAATAGAAAAATCATATTTTGATGCAACTTTTTGGGCAAGAATTTTCAATAACTTTCTTTTCATCACTTTAATATGAATATTTATGCATACAACACCATACACAGTCTATCTATATTGTTGCAAATGTAACATTTAATACTCCTTTTTTTGCTCAATATTTTATCAATACGTAAAATGTCGTTATTATATCGAACAAAGAATGTTTTTCAGGCATATCTGAAGTGAAAGGGGGAGGGGTGTTTGAAAGAAACACTGTGGAAATGCAAGTGGGTAAAAACGCTAGTTGCATTATTTATAAACACACATAGGCTAATTGCTATAATTGATTGTGTTAATTGTTGAAAGGGTGAAAACCAGTACCTCATTATCATGTTCGGCTGTTGACTGTAGTTTCGTGGTCTCCGTGACCACCTTGGCCCGCACCACAGGTATGTATCGTCTGGTCAGTGGGTGTCCTCTCTGTCTTAAGCTCGAACCATCGAACTGGATGACCTTTGGCCGAGTGATCGGACGTGACCTGAATCTATGGGCAAAGTTTTCCGGCGTGTTTGTGTAGACGGGGGCAGTGCTTGACCTATGCTTGTCTCTCAAGCGGTCCAGTTCGTTGGTGAGAGTATAGGCGACTGGGCATGGCGGAACACTACGGTAAATCGCCTGTTGCGATGAAACGATGGATACCATGGCTTTACCTCCGTGGAATAGGAATGAAATGATCAAATACTGTACCTTTAACAGTTGGAGAGATTAGCCCAGGACAGAGATGCCTGGGAAGCTTTTGTCAGCGGCCTATGTCCCAGGAGGGGCGACAGGCAAACCTAACCTAATTGTACCTGTATTTAATTTTTTCAAATTTGTGTTAAGTGTAAATAGATTCAATAATATATCATTTTGTCAAAGATATAGCTTCATCTTATTGAATCAATTTCATTTCCATTCATTCGCCTAAACAGTAAAACAAAACTATAGTAAACTCACTTCAGAAATATAATATAACCACACAACTTCATAAGTTTTCAGAAATATCTCAAGAATACATAATCACACGGTTTTAATTCATTCCGTTAGGAATATGTAGCATAAATCCAAAGAGTATAGCATTCTTTTCTTTTGTAAACTGGTTTCAAATTTCAGACACATTATTCACAAAACGATCCATAGCTGCCTGCAACTAAAAAAACCTGCCCTCCTTTATTGCCAATTTCGTTGTCATTAAGTTTAGTTTGGCACGACGGATAGTCTCCCCTTTTCTGAAATTCTTCTCCCCTTTCTCAATAGTAGCCAACTGCCAACTTTACCACAGTCGAAGTTAGACTTTAAAAAAAAAAGAACAGCACATTATAAGCCCTCTCGGGACTCGGAATATCGCATGCAGTGCCCGACAGATAACTTCCATAGGGCACTATACATGTATACAATAATTCTAGAGGGTCTGAATACATTTCGAATTAAACTAGATCGATACTTGAATCAGATCAATAATGCGATTCTTTCATTAGGTCGTATTGTGCGTCACGCACTGGAAATTTATTCAGCTTTATATTCGTACCGATTCCTAACAGCTTTATAACGGACATAGCCTACATATTTTATTTCATTGTTGTGGGGCTTATTTGAAGTGGGTCTTAGAAATATGGAGAGGCAGTGTGTTCAGTTTAGCGAACGAAACGTTGTTGAAAAGTATACATTCTAAATTACTATGTATTAATTTCTTCAGTAAGGTCCAAAGCTAATTTACTCTCATCTCGAGATAGGGACTTGCATAGGTTTAAAATCAGTTACGTTGTATTAAAAAAAAGTTCAATAAAGTACAAAAGTCGATTTAGACACATTGTTACCTAACACCCACCCCTTACTCATCACCACACATCGTCACAAAATTTCGGCGCCCCCTCCCCCATACACATACTTCAGCCTACCACCCAAACCTCAAATTACAGTTTTTTTTTGGGTTAAGAGTAGGTAGGTTACGGTGATCGATTTTTAACACACACAAAAAAAAACAAGTTTATTTAAAGACAACTGCTAATTTAAGATTCGTTTTTTTTAAAATTGCTTTGTAAAACGCAATAAGTGAAATTTCAACATTATTGTGTCCGACCCCCTCTCCCTATCGTTACGCCAGGAATATGCATTTATTTATGGATGACCACCAGCCCCCCCCCCCCCCCCCCCCCATCCCCCAATAACATAATACAGAGCCTACAACAGAAAATGAATTATTTTGTAATTATAATAGTACTCCAAGCACTTGAAATCGGTAAGCTAAAACAATCATGGAATTGTTTTGAAATTCGGAAGACTTTATTTAACGATATGTGATGGAGGCGTGTTCAGAAAGTGTGACGGGTGGTTGCATACTTTTGCATTTTAAAACACAAAGTTAGAACCTGAATTTTAGCATATTTTTTTTCGCGTTTTTAAAAGACTGCTTTAGTAAATAGTTGGCTGATGTGCGACGTGATTTATGGGGGGGGGGGGGTGTAGGTGACTTATGTTGTGACGATGTGTGTGTGGTTGTGAAGATGGAGTAAAACCGTTTTAAAAAGCGTGACGTTGTTGTCTGTGCAAGACAAAGTGTCACAAGCTTAGATAATGATGTTACTTGCCACCTATATTTAAAAAAAACAACAACCAACAACAAGCTGTGTTGACAATGTTGCGCGGTTGCTACAATACAGCACATAAGGACCGCAGCAGCAGGTATAATTAATCATTTCTTTAACTTTAAACAACCCTACACGCAATGCCACGCTCCGTTAACGCTCTATTAATTAAATGTGGAGGCCCTTATGATTTTAGTACTCTATTATTTAAAATATAAACAGTTTGGAACTTATTGATTTCACGGTGACTTTAAAGGCCGTATCCGATAGTGTGTTATAAACGACAAAGGGGGCTTACACTTAATTATTTCAGCAGCGTATAGGCGTCGCTCATTAACGGCAACACGTTTGTCATGCCGAAAATTTTTATCATCACACCTACCAGTAAAAAAAAAAAAAAAAAAAAAAAATACCAACCCAGCCCACTCCCCTTTTAGCCAGTATTTTAAAATACAAAATAAACTCTACGTCACACTTTCTTAACACCCCCACCCCCATACACACCCTCGTTAAAGACCATTTTGTGTTGACGTCCCCATAGCAGTGGCATAGGCCGTAAGGTGTGAATGTGTTAGAGCCCCCTCTTGAGTCGCCAAAACAATGCACTCTGACATAAAATTTGACTTTAATTGGGTGCTTAATCAATTTTGACTGTCATCTGGTGCTAGGGCCTTGTCGTGGCTTGGCAGCTTGCGTACCCTGACGACCCCCAGAGCTATACCAGCGGGAGTGTTAACTCCTGGCAGGTTCAACCAAGCTGGGAAGGTCTGCGCGGGTAGGGGTCAGACCAAAGCTAGCACCCTGGTCCTCCAGGTTGGGGGTTGAGCATAAGGTCAGCAACCTTATCTCGTAAAACAAATTACCCGCTACAGAAACGCAGACAGAGAGAAACAAAGACAGCTCGGACCAGGGGAAAAATGGATCTCCCGATGGAGAATTTATGAAGCCGGGTGGTGAAAGCCAATATGTATTGGAAACCACCAGGTCGACCACCATTATTTCCACTAGGACCACCATCAATATTGGAGCTTGGAATGTCCGCACGATGTTCGAAGCTGGAAAAGCAACCCAAGTAGCAGCAGAAATGAGACGCTATAAAATAGCTATCCTGGGTGTCAGCGAATCAAGGTGGACTGGCTCAGGACAAAAAAGGCTGATATCAGGAGAGCTACTGCTGTACTCAGGTCATGAGGATGAAAATGCACCACATACTCAAGGAGTTGCACTCATGCTATCAAATCAAGCACAAAGGGCTCTCATCGGATGGGAGGCACACTGCCCGCGGATCATAACAGCTACCTTTAAAACTAAAATAAGACGAATAAACATGGACATAATACAGGCCTACGCCCCAACAAATGACAGCAAAGAGGAGGACAAAGACGAATTCTACAACAGGCTAATGACCATTATCCAGAACCGCCCAAGAAGAAACATCCTTATACTCATGGGCGACTTCAATGCTAAGATTGGAAGCGACAACAGAGGATATGAAGAATGTATGGGACAGCAGGGTTTAGGTGAGATGAACGAAAACGGAGAAAGATTTGCTGACTTGTGTGCCACAAATAATTTAGTCATTGGCGGTAGTCTCTTTCATCATAAAAGGATACATAAAGCTACTTGGGTATCACCCGACCTATCTACAGAAAACCAGATAGACCATATATGTATCATAAAAAAGTTCAGGAGATCACTTCAGGATGTACGCGTCAAGAGAGGAGCTGATGTTGCTTCAGACCATCACCTACTGGTAGCTAAAGTAAAACTCAAGCTGAAGAAAAACATGTTGGAAAACAAAAGGAAATACAGGTACAACACAGGCCTGCTAAAGGACCCATCTAAACTCAACGAATTTAAACTTCATATGTCCAATAGGTTCCAGGTACTACAAGAACTAATAGAAGAAGAGACGATAGAGGAAACATGGGAAAAAACTAAAAGTATATTAACATCAACATGCGAAGAAGTGCTAGGCCCTATCAAAAGACAAGCGAAGGAATGGATATCAGCAGATACCATGAAAATTATTGAAGAGAGAAAAAGAAAGAAGGCAACATTAAACAACAGCCGCACACGGGCTACGAAATTAAAAGCACTGGAAGAATACACCGAAACGAACAAAAATGTAAAGAAACACATAAGGAAAGACAAACGGAGCTATTTGGAACTGCTGGCAAGAGAAGCGGAAGAAGCACTGTACCATGGTAATATTAGGGACGTGTACAATACAATTAAGAAGATATCTGGTAAGTACAGTAAGCCAGAGAGGCCAGTGAAAACCAAAGATGGAAAGACAATACCTGATGCGGAAGGACAGATGAAGAGATGGGTAGAACATTTTGAAGAACTACTGAATAGACCAACACCAGAGTGCACGCAAGACATACCACCAGCTGAAAGTGACCTCCCTATAGACTGCAACCCACCTTCAAAAGAAGAGATACATAGAGCTATAAAGCAGCTGAAAAATTGGAAGGCTCCAGGAATAGATGGTATACCGGCAGAAGCACTGACAGCAGATATAGAAACTAGCACCACACTACTATACACACTCTTCAAGAAAATCTGGGAAGATGAACAAATACCAGAGGAGTGGAAGGAGGGACTACTCATAAAGCTTCCAAAGAAAGGCGATCTTAGTGCATGCTCTAACTATAGAGGGATAACACTTTTGTCCATCCCAGGCAAAGTCTTCAACAGAATATTATTAAACAGAATGAAGGAAGCCATAGATCCCCAGCTTCGAGATCAACAGGCGGGCTTTAGGAAGGAAAGGTCATGCATAGACCAAATTGCTACCCTGCGCATCATCATTGAACAGACCCAAGAGTGGAACTCATCTCTCTATATTAATTTCATAGACTATGAGAAGGCCTTTGATAGCCTGGATAGGCAGTCAATGTGGAAATTGTTGAGACACTACGGGGTGCCACAGAAAATAGTCAACATTATTATGTCTTCATATGAAGGTCTCAAATGTAGAGTAGTGCATGGCCAACAGACTACAGAGGCCTTCCCAGTACGGACCGGAGTAAGGCAGGGTTGCCTACTTTCACCATTCCTGTTCCTACTGGCCATAGACTGGGTTATGAAGATGTCAACAGAGAAAACGCGAAACGGTATACAGTGGACATTGTGGAGCCAGCTGGATGACCTGGACTTTGCTGACGACCTGGCCCTCCTTTCTCACACACAACAGCAAATGCAGGATAAAACCAACAGGGTTGCAAATTTTTCTACAAGCCTGGGTCTGAACATCCACAGAGGGAAAAGTAAAGTTCTCAAAGTCAATGCATCAAACAACAACCCTATAACACTGGCAGAAGAAGCCCTAGAAGAAGTGGATAGATTCACCTACCTTGGAAGTATTGTTGATAAGCAGGGTGGGACAGAAGCAGACATAAAAATAAGGACGGGTAAGGCAAGAGCAGTCTTCAACCAACTAAAAAATGTTTGGGGTTCGGGAGATTTAACCCTTAGAATAAAAATCCGGATCTTCAACACACTAGTAAAACCTGTTTTACTCTATGGAGCTGAGACATGGAGAATAACTGCTATAAATAAGAAGAAAATACAATCATTTATAAACGCATGTCTCAGAAAGATCCTGCGAATTCGCTGGCCTAAAACCATCAGAAATGATGTTCTATGGCAACGGACAAATCAACTGCCAGTGGAAGTAGAGATCCTCCAGAGAAAATGGAAATGGATTGGCCACACACTCAGGAAGCCTGTATCCAGCATAACAAGACAGGCCCTCACCTGGAATCCACAAGGCAGGAGGAAGAGAGGCAGACCAAGAAAGACCTGGAGACGTGACCTGGAAGAAGACACCAAGAAGATTGGATACACCTGGGGACAGTTGGAGAGACTAGCCCTGGACAGAGACGTCTGGAAAGCTCTTGTCAGCGGCCTATGTCCCAGTAGGGACGACAGGCAAACATGACATGACAATCAATTTTGAACAATTCACTAAGTTTCCTTAATAAAGACCTATTTTCCGCACATTGTGTTCATTTAGTGTGCAATAGATTTTTTATATCCAATTCTAATGTATTAGGCCTATACATTTTAAGTATTCTAATATTGTTTAAAAATAATTTTATTAACACGTTTTTATATTATTGTGCAAAATAAATAAAAAGAAATAAATTATTTTCTTTAAATATATAATGACGAACCACTCAGTGGCGTAGCGAGGGGGGGGGGGGGGCGGGGGTGCGGACCGCACCGGGTGACACCATTTAAGGGGAGTGACACCAAGGTAAAAAATTGCAAAATATATAGAGAAAAGTGATAATTCCACTTAATTGATTAATTCGAGTGTTAAATAGTCTTTTAAGCAGAGTTGCTTCCAGGCATCTCTTCGGGGGGGGGGGGGGCGAAGCCCCCCGAAATTTTTTTACCGCCCCCCCCCCCCCCGAACGAAATGAAATTTATATAATTTATATAGAAAATATATACTTTTAACAGTGTCCGCCCCCCCCCCCCCGAAGAAAGTTTATCGCCCCCCCCCCCCCGAAAATTTCAAGTGCCCCCCCCCGGAGAAAAAAGTCTGGAAGAAACACTGCTTTTAAGAGGTGCAAATCAAAAGTTTAAGGGGGGGGGTTGCAAATCGAAAATTAAAAGTTTGTCCCCGGCAAGGGTCGCTACGCCTCGAGGGGGGGGGGGGTGACACCATTAAGTGCCTCACCGGGTGACATCCGACCTCGCTACGCCGCTAGAAACACTGGCACTACTAAAATAACTTAAAAGTAAACCGTCGGTCACTACAATATAGAATACGTTTTAGACTGACTACTAAATTTAAGTAGCAACTCACGCTTTTCGTATTAGTTATTTTAGTAGCGATATATTATTATATATGTTAAGAAAAACATTTGTTTTCTACTTTTTATTAGTGCATAATGATATAAAAGATTGTAATTAATTATTATTTTTTACATTTTAATCAAAGGGGTCGTCCATAAATGACGTCACACTCGTAGGGGGTCTGTAATTTTGAGACGGTATGTGATGAGGGGGAGGAGGGGGGTTCAGATGGTCAGTGTTTCTTCCAGACATTTTTCTCCGGGGGGGGCATTTGAAATTTTCGGGGGGGGGGGGCGGTAGACTTTCTTCGGGGGGGGGGGGGGGGCGGACACTGATAAAAGTATATATTTTCTACATAAATTATATAAATTTCAATTCGTTCGGGGGGGGGGGGGGCGGTAGAATTTTTTCGGGGGGCTTTGCCCCCCCCCCCCCCCCCCCCCCGAAGAGATGCCTGGAAGAAACTCTGCAGATGGTGTGACGTCACTTTTTTGCATTATAAAAAAGCAATGTTAGAAAACGAGATTTAGCCATTATTTCGCGTATTAGAAAACGGTTTTAATAAATTGTAATAGGGATTGATTAAAATACTCTATGTTGACAGTTCGAAGCAGATTTTGGAAAAATAATCGATGTTTTAAGAAAAATTCAACAGCAATTTCGAGGGGGTTGTAGGCTGAGGTGTGACGTCATTTTAGGGGGGGGGGGTCTGGCTTTTTTGTGACGACGTGTGACGGAGGGGAGGGGGGGGGTAAAAGTCTTCAAAGAAAGCGTGACGTCATTTATGGATGCGGATGACCCCAAACTTTAAAAAACGCCTCAAGATAAGACGTCTTTTTTTAAAAAACAAAACGAATATGCATGGGAGAGACCTAGATTGATGGGTGGATTATAACAACTAGAGAATGTATATTCTAGTAGCTTATAAAAGGTTAAGTTAATTAAATTAAAGCAGCTATGTGCTAGACTGCTAGACAAGACAGGGGGGGGGGGGGGGAGGAGGGGGGAACCACCTGCCTCGCCTGGGCCTAGCTGCATGCTAGGGCCTAGGCCTATCAAATGCAAGGCTTGGCTATATCCCATAATTCTATAGTCACATGACAGGAAACGACATTCAGCATTCGTCATTTGTGTTGAACGCCATTTTTCATCAATCTTGTGTTATTGCCGACCCACAAAATATTCCTTATTCCCCTTAAGAATACAAAGGCTTTTAAAAATCCATAATGAAGGTAATTTAACATTTTAAATATTATGTCGTATAGATCTAGATGTTTAGTTTTCTTAGTACGTTCATTATTCTTACTTAGGCCTAATTATTTTAATATCTGACGCTTTCTTTCACAAAAAAAGAATTATCCGGAATCCAGATGGAGAGCCTCATTCACTCATTGTCATTGTCTAGATTCTAGGTTTTCTCTTAAGTAAAGTTGTCTTGCAAGATCTCAAGATTAGACTAGATCCAGAATTAGATAACTAGTTCTCTGTTAAGCTGGATGGGCCAATAGTCGGGGTCGTCAGTCTTGTGTGTTTACAACATATTTAATTGATTTCTGATTATTTTAAAATTTGAGGTATTGGTGCCCCCCCCCCCCCTTAATTTCCATGTTTGAGGTTGTCACCTCACAAATAGATTAGAAGATCTAGATCTAGTGTAGGTTAAGGCACCAATGGGGGTGAAGTGCCGACTGAGTTCTTATACCAGATGGTACTAATAGGGATTTAGGTAAAAAAACACTAATCATCATATAAAAATAAAAATTACATATTCTTGTAGAGCTCAACTATATGAAAACAAAACAAAAAAGATTTTCTGTCTAGCTCAAATAGTTTTTTTTTGGCGAATTTTTTTGTGAGGGGTGGAATCCCCTTGCTTTTGCATTGGCCAATTGTGACAAATCATGGTATACCTGAATAAATTGAGCATAGTTATTTTACTTGCAGTTGTATTTTGTTCATATTTGCAGAGTTTAACTAGAATGATATATAGAACTTGTAAATGCTGTTGAAATTAATAAAAATAATACAGAACTTATATTTTTGTGTTGGCTTCCTCCCATAACCCCAAAAAACTGTGTGCTGCGCAAATATGAAAATGTTTCTAAAGCCATATTTTATATAAATACAGCAAATGAAAGAACTACAAAGTTAGAAATCTAAAGTAAATGACTTGAACACTGTTATGTGCATATAATTGCCTCATTATTTTGGGCAGGTGAAGTAGAGTCCATCTTTAAGCCATTTTGTTATAAAACTGCTGCGCAAATATGAAAATGTTTCTAAAGCAATATTTTATATAAATACAGTGAATGAAAGAACTCCATAGTCAGAAATCTAAAGTAAATGACATGAACACTGTAATGTGTCTATAACTGCCTTGTTATTTTGGGCAGGTGAAGTAGAGTCCATACAAAAGCCATTTTGTAATAAGTGAAATGAAGTTATCAGATCAATGTTTTTATGTGTGAATTGTGTATGGATTCTGATTTTCAGCATATAACTATATCTAAGGGTAAGTAGAACTTGAATACTTAAAATTACAGTTAGCACAATGTTAGTGTATAGCAACAGACAGGTAACCTAGATCTAGATCTAGGTCTGACTCTTGTCAGTCTAGAGTCTAGTCTGACAAAATTGGATTTTTAGGAAAAACATATTCTAGAAAACTAGAACTAGAGCTGAAAAAATTAAAGATGGGTATGTAAATATATTTTGAAATAAAAAATTAGATTTGTTTGCACATGCCATAAGATTGCTGTTATTAGTGGACCAAACTTAAAGGCAGGAAGATCGGGATGAAAAAATATAACAATGGTGGCAGCGTGACCTACATACAGTGTCTACGTTCGGAGGGGTATAACTAATGTCGGAGTCAAAATATCCAAAAACAAATTTCATTTCCAATTACTTAAGATATGTCTGATCAGTAATCTACTCTCATCTAGAGGAATCTTTTAAAAAATCGAGATTCCAACGTATTTGAAACTAACCTTGATACAGGGGGAAGACCAAAGCAGAGACAGCATGCAATCAGGTCGCAAAGCCATTAAAACTAAGGGACAACCACTCTACTTTTTAATTAACCTTAGGAAATGACCTTTTAAACTTAATTAATTACCATAAATTAAAAACTTATTAGTATGCAAAACCAAATCTCGTGGGTCCGGTATCAGAAAGTAATGGGCGATTTCGGGTCATGTTTTTACCGCGAACTCGGCGGATGCCGACAACCCTAGTACTAACTAGGCTGTTTGATGAGAATTACAGAATGATTTTTTTATTAAAAATGTATCAATAATAGCTAGAACACTAGTAAACTAAGCTAATTTAGCATATTTTAACTTTCTGTGCAAAGTCATTATTACTGAAAAAAATTCCAAAGTCAGGTCAGCCTGTGGCACCCTCCACTGAACATGACAGAAGGAAAAAAAAACTTCACCCGTGACCTTCATTAAAACAGAATTTGCTTTTGTTTTATTTTTATTTTTGGTAAACATGTGCTTAATCTTACCCAATAAGTGATAAAAATTTGAAAATTAATTTTAATTACTGTTGTAAAGTGAGATAAACAGCTTAATAAACACATGCTTTCTTGAGGGGGTGTGGCCCGGGTGTGGCACATCGCAATTATAACTTTATATTTCTGTGTTTTATGACTATATTTGTTCACAATTAGCATGCTATGTTTTTTAAATTGATAAAAGGTAAGTATACCAAGTTACAAAATCCGCAATAGTTTCAATTTAAAAAATAATAAAAACGATCATCAACGAAGAAAGCGTAAACATTCTATTTTTAGGTATGACATAAAAAACAGTCATAAATCTAGCCAAATGATTGGATTCTTGCGCGGCACACATTTTCCCGCGCCTCGTTTTCACCAAACAAGAATATAATAAAATGGCATTATTACTTACACCCTCAAAAGCATTGTTTCCACCCTAATTATATTAAACAATTCTATTTTTATTTGATAGTAAAGATGATATACAAATTGTATATTACAATAAAGTTATTGTAGAACGCACCTGCTTTTAGTTTATTCGACTTGAAACGCAAGCTAGGTCAGCGTGACTTTCTCTCGACTGCCTCGTTAAATACAAATAAAGAAATTAGGTCAAGCTGCCATTATTAAAATGTTAATTATTCGCCCCGTAAATACATGGGCAGTTTCGAGTGAAAATCTATCCGATTACGATACAATCCTTAGTTTTAACTATCATGTACTTCATGAGAAAGAAATGATTCGATATTTTATATGGCCGCCCAAAACACGGGTGCTTCAAAACCGCGAGAACGAGATTTCACGAATCGAAAAACCTATACTAACCCTTATCCTCTACCAGACCAGAGTCTTTCAGGCATCTCATGAAAAATGCAAGCCGCCTCCCCTTGGAGAAGAGTCTGAAAAAAAACTCCCTAATTCTTATGTCTAAGCCAAACCCTGATGCTTTAATGGTAATCCTAAGCCTAAACCTGACCCGCAAAATAACAAAAAACTTGACCCCTAAAGAATGGAACCTGCACCACGAAAACACTACAGGCTGACTATTGCGCAACCACTTCGACCACCTGAATAGTTATCATAATGGTGAAAATTAGAATGTCATGTGAAGAATGCTTGGACATGCGCATAAAAATTAGCGCCGCCTAGCCTTTTGAGAGGCTAGGCGGTATGCAGTTTGCTCCTTGTATTTAACATATTATTATATACTATAGGCCATACACCTAACAGAAACATTATCAGAAAAATTGTGTACTGACATAGCTTATTAAAATGGCCGGAATTAATTAAAATTACTAGAGGAAAATAACAAATTGCTTTGGTGGTCAACACAAATCATGAAAGTTAATCTATTATCTGCATTTTTAGTAACATTTTGAACAAAGTAGTATTCAAATTTGACATTAAGTTGTTTAATCACTGACTTTAAAAAGTAAAAATTGGAATATTAGGTTTGTAGAATCTGTATTATGTTTGCAAGTGCTCCTACTTTAACTGGATTTTCAACCAGTGTCCAATATAGAATGAGTGTAAGTAACTAAATACTAAATACACTAATTGCATTGCTAATGTCAATGCAAACTTCAACCATATGTTTAAACATAAAATTAATGATTTCAATACTAACAACCTAACACATATTTTCGGAAGATTTTATTATTGGACATCAGTATCCATCTAAGCTTATTTATTAATAGTTCTTCCTCATTTTAGGGTTTTTTTTTTGTTTTTTTTTTTTGGCTTTATTGAAAATAAATTTTAGAAGTTTTTTTTTTCATTTGAGCTTTCAGATTCTTCATTGCAATAAATAAAACTTGCTTGTCTCACTAAATCTCACTATTATTTATTTGAAAACTACGAATAAAAAAATGAATAAATAAATTATGCCATTTCTATGCAAGGTGCAAGAAATAATTTGGCATTAAAACTGAACTGGTTACATAAATCAAATTTGTTTTGCATTCTAGCATAATTAGTATAATTTTTGTACTCATTTTAAATCAAAGAAAATGAGTAATTTGTTTCTTTTTGTAACTAAATTATTTTTTTTTAGCTAAAATGAAAAATAATGTAATTTTTAAATTCAGTGAGGTGGCCTATTACACTAAAACAAAAATTTAAGCTATTTCTTATATAGTTCTGACAGTCAACTCTTCCCCTAATACATATTTTCAAAATGGGAGTGTGATATACATTTTTCTCTGCATTCTAATGTGGTGTTGAATAATTATTTTGTTTTGTGATTTTTCAGGTTTAAATGCAACTAATTGGTCTTGAAATTTGAAGTGATCACCATGTCTTGTATTCACTACAAATTTAAGAGCAGTCTTGACTACGACTCAGTTACGTTTGATGGGCTCCATCTTTCTTTAGCCGATTTGAAAAAAGCTATCAGTCAGAAGAAGCGTCTCAAACCTGGAGAATTTGAATTAGAGGTTACAAATGCCCAAACTGGAGATGGTAAGTATTTTTAATTTTCTGTTCAAGATTATGAAAAAACTAGTTTTTGTGGTACTTATTAAAAAGTTTTCTATGGACTTACAAAACGTTACTGTACATGAAAATAGCACATTTAAGTTTTTAATAAAAATTGCAACACTCCATTTCTTCTACCAAAAAAAAACAAACTGAAACCAATACTTTGCCCTTTTTTTTTTTTTTTTTTTTTTTTTTTTTTTTTTTTTTTTTTTTTTTTTTTTGTTGCTATCTACCACTTATGTTATTGTCTTGACTACTGTCATTTTTGTTTCTTCATTCTCACATTTAACATTCAAACAAATACAAGTTTTCTCTTATTGTAAATAAGAGCTATAAGTACAATAAACGTTCTCAATTTACTTGAATTTGTGGATTTTGTAAATGATTTTACAGCACAACCATGTATTTTTAAGTGATATGACACATATAGTTTAATTGTGACCATGCTTCATTATTAGTTAAGTACTCAATTAAATGTTATAACTACAATGTGTAAGCATCTACTTCATTCAAACAAAAAGACATTTTATTGAGCATTCCTTATGTTTTTCTATTAAGTGGGGGGGGGGGGGGGGTAGTTAATCAATTTTCTGACCACTTTAGACCATTAACTTTAGTATAGTTCTATTTCCAGTAAAATAATAAAAGAAGTCAGCCATGGTTAGAACAGTGCTTGCTTTTTTTAAACTCGAGGCTAAAAATCTATACATTGTAGTTGTCTTCAATACTTCCACACTGTATTTATTTAAATTAAAAATGTTATAATATTGTTTTATTTTCATCTACCAGTATACAAGAAAAATGATGAATTGATTGCCAAGAATACTTCAGTGATTGTTTCAAGAGTGCCTATTACAAAGACGACAGCTAGTAGCACTCAGAAATCATGGTATGTGATAATAAACTTTTTATTAACACTATTCAAGGGGTGTGAATTGTATTTATATTAATCTAAACATCATATAATTTTATCGGTGGTTAATTTGCATTATTTTATCGTAATCACGTTGTACAGTTATTTTGTTTTTCTTTTCCTCAGGGAAGCCTTCAAGCAGGAATGTGCAAAAGTTGTACGTGTCAATGTGGTAACTTGTGGTCTTGGTAGATAAGTTAAATTTTGATTTGCTAATATTTTATTTAAAAGTTGGTAACAATGCATATTTTAACGCCTTACATCTTTAAAATAACATTTGTTCTGGAAAATTTGCTGGTAAATTTTCCTCCCTCTTTGTTAAAATGTCATTCTGGAAAATGTTTATGATCTTGTTATATATCTGTATATTTAACAGTCATTGTTGTACAAGTTTAGATGTACACCTTTCAATATGTGTGATGTGTTATATAAATTTTTTATGTGATAAAATTTTCTTCTGTTAAAAACCAGTACCTGCTCTTTGTACAGGCAACTAATCAGGGATATTTATTATTTTAGTTTTATTGAATCGTATTTTATCTTTACTCCAATGCTGGTCATTAATCTGTATATAAGATGTTGATGCGGGTCATTCATTTCGCACTGCCTCGCCTGTTAAATAATTTTTTAATTTTGTATCATCTTTACAAATGTTACAAATTAGCTTATCTTGATAATGTCAGTATGTGTACATTGTCTTTTTTTAAGTTTATGAAATAATGTTGTTGCCTTAACAGAAGTTGGATCTCTTGCTCCTAAAAAATTTAATGTATCTTCATTTTGAGCAACTTGGAATAATTATACAATTGTCAGTTTTGCTATAATAAATACCATCACATACATTAATCATCCTTAAAATTGTATTTTAAGGATAGTTCCTGGTATTTTTAGAGACATAAAGCAGTTTTATGTCATCCTTTTTAAAATAAATGATGTATGCTCATGTTGTTTATATATTTAAAGTAATTCAAACATTTAAGTGGAATATTTATTGTGCAAAAGATAATAAAATTTTAGAGTACAGAGGTTGTGGTCCACCCATCTCTGATTGGTACTTAGCCCATTTTTGGGGAAATTAAAGTGGTTGGGCATAAAACTGACTGTACTGTCCCTTCATGTGCAGAGGTCACAGACACTATCGGGTGAACTCAAACAGTAACTTGCTTTCACTTAGGGCATATAGTAATTACTTCATTAATAAAATGTGTGCAAGGTTAAAACTAACCAGTTAGCTACAGCTTGTAAACTTAATGATTAGCCCCACATTTTGGTAAAAAAAGGTGTATCACCCTCATAATAAAAACTCCATCAAGATCACTACTGCAACTCAAGTTCAATACTGTATTCTTAAAAACTGCTTACCTCTAATGTGAATGATTTGAATAGAAATGCATGTATCGAGTTTGAGATTGCCTGTGTTTGCTAGTCTTTTAACATCTATTTTCAATATGTCTAAGAATGTTGGCAAAATGTATCGAAATTTTTTGCTAGTACATTTTTAAGAAGCTCTCTGTATTATTTATCATTAGTCTTAGTTTGAAAAAGTACATTTATAAAAAAATTAACTTCTTAGAATTTTTTGTAGTAAATAAGTATTCACTCATATGCTGTGCGACATTTTATATATAAAAAGTAAGGTATGTACTTTTAAAATAATAAATGTAAACCTTTTTCATGATAGTGATCTAAAACTTGGAAGTATGATCTCAATAGCAGACAATTTTGTTCGCTATTTTATCATTTACACTGTATTGACAGTTTATAATTTCAACACCTAGATAATAAAACAATTAGCTCTTTCTTAAAGCACATTATTCTTTTGTGCGAGAGCATCTAATGTTTTAATGAGAACTAGTTGATTTGATTTTTACAACTATAATATAAGGAATTATCATTTAGTACTAAGCTTAACAGTTTGTTTTGAAATATTAGCTACATCTTCCGTCATTTTTAACAAGTTCAAAGTTTAAAAAATACGAATGTACTTTCTTATAATTTCTTATGCAGCAAAGGGGTTCATAAAGTTAGTACACTGAAACCTTCAGTAGTGGTTATCCATTTATGTCATCCTCAAAATTTTGAACTTGAGACCCCTCCCTCAGATCCATTTTGCAGAAGCACCCCCCTCCACTGTAGGTGGGGCCCACAATCGTTCAGTAGAGCTCTCAAAAATCACTTACAACTTACTATGTTAATGTCTTGTGTACATATTTTCGATCATGCTATGAGTAGGCCTAATAATTAAAAGTAGAATTAAGAATGTGCAGAGGAAAAAAAATTGTTTAAAACAAAGCACAAAATATTTATTGAATTTATTTTCTAGGGAATAAATTATATATACTGATAATATTAATATTCTTTACATTTAGTAAATTGTAAGGTACATTTTTACTGTGAGGGTGGGGTTTTCATGGTTATAAGAATGTCTATTTGTATACCATAATGTATACTGTAATACACATCCAGTCCGGAGATCGTACCGTGTTATCATCTTCATTAAAATCGTAGCCTGGCACAGTTTGGAATCAACACAAGTGCAAATCAAGATATTTTATGTTTCTTTATTCACACAAATCAATCTCCTACCCACTCTGCATCCAAAGTTCTACTATCTACTACCTCTATCTAATTGCTCCTTAACTCTACATATCTCCGACCATTCTCTACTGCTACCTATCACAGACTTCTGACCCACACTTCTGTGGTCGTCAGACCGTCTCACGTGACCGGTCAGCTCCTGTATTTATATTGGTCTAACTAAGCTGTACTTGTACTTGACTTATCTGATGTAAACTTGTGTCATCACATTGCTTTAGTGCTCCCTTGCCAAACAAGTAGGCCTTCTAATTTCTATATGAGGGATATTCCATAAATTACGTAACACTCCTGTTGGGATGGAGGTGTGTTGGAAGGTTTGTGCATTTCTGAACACACTTAAGCTTTTATGTCAGAAACTGTACTTTGGATGTTTTATCATGTAGACGTCCTCATGAACCCAAGCAGCCCCTGTCCACATGCGTCCAGTTTCTCCCTCACCTTCATGGTATGACATAAATGGGTGACACCTAATTACATCGAACTTGTATGTATGGTGTATTAAAGTTAAAAATGAAATGTAGGATTAAAAATAAAAGATTAATTGTCTTTGAGTATGACTGCCATGATAATTGGGAAAAAAAACTAAGCATTCTGGCCAAGTAAAAGGAAAAACTTAATTGCCTAGTTGTATGTAACAAACGAATAATAATTATTATAAAAGAAAGCTATTGTGACTGGTTAATCCCTATACAAATGTGTAAAGAGATGTATCAGTCATATTTTCAACACAACCAGTGCAATTGATTAGATAGATTAACAGAAAAACATATCTTTCTTCCTTGTCCCCTTTCTTGTGACACTAGTCAGTTATATTAAGTTGCATTTGGTTTGTTCAAATTATAATTCTACTTGAGATAATTCTGAAGTGGGGGGGGGGGGGGGGGGGGGCTGGCTTATTTTTTTATATTAAGAAAGAAACTAATAATAAAATGTTTTACAACGTAATGGTATCCATGTATAAATTACACTGGGTACTAGAAATTTCTGCAAAGATTAGTTAATGTAGTGAAAATCATCACGGTTGCTATGGACCCACTGGATCTCAGGGTTGTCACCACACCCTTCAGTCATACTGCTATGGAATATTATACCATGTTGGAGTCAAACTGCTTGTGCTTAACTGACAACTGATCTTTTCCAAATTTTATTACACATTGGAAATTATATAAAGACAGCAGATTACTGTTCGCCTGGAGAGCTGCTGCATAAGAAGAGAACTTACAGCATCAAAGAGACTGTCACTCCAGAATCAACCTCTTGTTTAACAAAGCACTGTATGTTGAAGCAGAAGACAAACCTAAAGATATCACTAGCTTAACTTGATGTATAGGGAATAAAACCAGTATCACAGTAAACATGATGTTTCCCAAGTAAAAATTTGTAAGTACAGTAAGAGTAAAATAACATAGGTAAAATTTAGGCTGCAATTTAAACAAATTGTAAAGATGACAACAATTTTAGCTCGTAAAAATATGCTGCAACAAAAGATTCCTAACCCTTGAGAATTAGTTTTAATAAAAATCTCCAAAGCAAGTATTGAAAATACTCTTATTAGCATTTTCTCTTCCTCTCCGTTCTTGTTTCGTTTGATGGGCTTTCCTCCAAGACAATTAAGTATTACCTCAACTTGTTTTTTGCACCATAAAGGTGACTCCGATATCAGCCTGCTTCTTTTTTGGATTTGCTTCATGGCAGCAGTTGTTTGATTTTAGAGTTTTATTTCCTAGAGTTTTGCTGCTTTCCCCAGATATCGAGCCTCATCTACCCGGGGTTCCAACCAAACTCAGGACTTTTGTTTTAGAAACCATGAGCTTTACCAACCCAACTGACCCCTTTACCGACCCAACTGACCCCTACTTATGTTAAATCTTCGTGCCGATCATCACAAAAATTAACACACATTACATGTATGAGCTGACCCACATCGTAGCATACGCCGCTATTTAGGTTTATTTTCTACTTATCGACAATTCATAATTTGTGAATTGGACACTGCCCTGCCCAGTGAAAGCAGCCGTTTACTGACTACAATGAAAATATCAAGCAGAATTTATTATCTCCCCTTAGTTTCAAATCATTTAAAAACTAAATTATCTGCCCCTAATAGCCTTCACTTATTCGAACCGGCTCTACTATTGTAAACATTCGGGGTGAACCTGACGGGTGGTGGATAAGCTGCGTGGTGTCTCGTATGGTCCCAATGAAGAGAATTATATATATAGATGATGTGTAATCAAAATTAGTGTTCTATTGTGAATGATCGTTTTAAAAGTAATCTGGAAGAGATTATTGGACAGAGTAATATGCTGCACCAGCATCTTCTGCTTTTTTTTCACCATTCAATTTTTTAAAATTACTGCTTTATATATATTTATATATGTTTCGCGAATGAATCATTAACAATGTAGAAATTCAACACTGATGAAATATTTTTGTTCCCACAATATAAAATTTCTGACAAGTCTTTCCCTTCTACACACACACATATAATGTTGGCTATTTATAAGTGTGTGAAAAAATTGCAAAAATTACATAGTTTCTATTGAAATAGCACCGACTGTTTTATTGATGATTTAAGTACATTCGTTGGATTGGTTTGTTTCTTATATAATTGTATAACAGATAATTGATACATTTCCTAATGAAGTATGAAAATTGCTTTTTCACTAGCAAGGCTGTCGCTTTTGTTGAAAACAAGCTACTCCATGCTCTTATAGTGGAAACTAACAATATATTCTAACATATACCATGAAAAAATTGTGCATTAGTATCCCAAGTTTAAAATCTTTCAGCTGGGGCATTTGCAATAGCAACAGGCTGATAATTGATTTAATCTGCGCAAACATAATAATTAATAATAATAATTAATAATAAAATAATTAATAATTAATACATCAATTCTGCACCATCTCGGGATTGCTATATATAGATTTGTAATACAGATTAGAAAATTAAATTATTTAAGTACATAACATATAAATTATAAGAATGTTTATCTATGTTAAAAAACCATTGAAAAATCCTACATTGTGTTGGAAGAAATAATGTCCAAATAAGGTGTGTTACGGTCTTCAACAACACTTTTTTAGTAGTGGAACCTTTGTCAAAATAAGTAGTATTATTAAATTAAAGCTGTTTTACTTATTTACCTTGTTCATGATGCAATGAATGTGTGCTGTCCATTTTATCATTTTAGAGATGTATTTTTTGCTCATAGCATGTTGTGGTAAAAATGGTTGTTAGACATTGTTTTGCTCTTGTCCTCAATTTTTTTAAAGGTGAATAGTGCATTGTTTACATGGCTATAGCCTACTTATTTTAGTCACTTTTATTTCATGTATTCAAACTGTTTTTTAATAGTCTTGTATTAAATTTTGTTTTGATACTTAGATTATTTCTGATAATTAATTAGTTTTTATTCTCCTGGAGCCAAGATATTTTTCAATTCTGTTCCTTTTTTTGTAAACTTTAGAAAGATTTTCATTTTAAATTAATAGGTACTTATTCAATTCTTGACATCTTTAGAAGGGTTTTCTAATGATTCTAAAATGTAATATTTTGTTTAAAATTGCCAATTATCAAATAATTTTTGTAGTCAGCCTGTAGAAAAATTGAGATTATTTGTTTTATTATAAGCGATGACTTTCACTAAATGTTGATTAAATGGCTGCATTGTTGATTAAAGCTTAATAACTAAAATTTACTTTGTGAATGTATGTCTTAGATGGAGTAAAGAAAATATGTATTAGTTTGAATATATTACAAGCATTGTGATTAAAAACAGCACAGATATATGATCATCCTAAAATGTTAGATTGATTTAAATGCCAGTGGAACAAAACAAAAATATAAATTCCATAATTATTTTTTTCTTTTGTTTGGGAGTTTCAATCTTACTATTTTTTAAAAATTTAACCAATACTCCTATATTTTTATCTTGCTTCATTTTAATAAGTTTATTTAGGTATATTTATTCAATTTTATTTGTACAATTTAATGATTGTTCAAACTAAAAATTTTTTTACTGCAATAACTGTTCAGTAACATTATTTCACAAGCCATTATTTTATGTAGCTCATAATTTTAGTGGGTTGTTGGGCTTGTGGTCTAGTAACTCAATTTTGACCTATTTCTAATGCATTCTAACTTCAAACACAAATTTCTATTGCCAAGTAGAGAGTAAATCTAAAAATCTTTTAAAATAACAAGCTTTTCAATTGCTATAAAAGTAAGAAAACAAACCTTTTTCCTTAGCCAGAGTGTTGGTCCCTACTAATACTGTCATATTTCAGTAGCCACCAACATTTTTATTAAAGAAAATTTTTACTTCTTTGTAGTTTGTTTAAAGGCTTATTAATACAAAGGTTTTTATATCTTTATCTTTTGCATCAGTTCTCATTGCATATTTAATTTGAAACATCAAAAGGTAGCTTGAATATGATTTTGCGAATTTAAATGCCAGGATCTTGAGATTTATTGCTTGTATTTTAAGAACTGTACCATCGAATACCTATTAAGCCGATATTTGAAAGTTGATGTAGTGAAATAAATTTCGAATTTCTGCCAAGGAGGAGTGGATCAACACATGAGACGGCATATAAAGCTGCATTCAAGATACTACAGTCATACTGAAGACGTTACTTAGCATTTCATCTCTCATTTTAATTACTTTTTGTTTAATTTTATCTTTGAACAACCCATCTAATAAAACAAAGGGCTTTCATCCTTGTGTCAAGTGTTTCGTATTAGTTTGTATGTCATTCAGTGTTGCATTATTATTTGTGTTTATTTTCTGTATTCAAGTATTGACAAAATCTGTTGGAATGGTTCTTACAGGCGTTCACACCTTTCCTTGATTCACTTTTTAAAAATTTATTAATAGAGCTTCCTAAACCATAGCGTATAATATCCTTATAACTTTTGTTACGCTTAGAAATAACCTTGGAAAAAACTCCAAGAGTAAAGCACAAGTATGAAAGTATGATAGGATTTAGAGCTTCATATAATTTATATAAGAAATGTTCATTTCTAAACTCGAGTTGATTCAGTGCAGAAAGAAGTTTAAGCTTTTTCAATCCACCTTATCCATAAAATTAAATTTAAATTTGGACCACAAGATAAATGAAGAGAATTTAATAATGGTGTTTGAATCTGGAATGAATATTGTTGGTTGGGGTCTCGAGTACTGCATGCACAAGGTTGTTGCTGTTTTTTTTACAACATGAGCTGCATCACTGCACCACCCCAGACAGTATCATCCAGTGTAATGGTAAGACTATGAGGTCTTGACTAGAGCCATGCATTTATTACATGTTAAATTTGTTATTTTAGGACATTAACTGTTTTAGTGTATGGATACATGTTACAGTTATGAATATTGTCAAGCAAGACTTTTAATAGGGGTCTGCTGATCTGTGAAAAATTTGAAAATGTCCCAGTTTATTTTTACACACTAGTTTGTAAATACATATGCTGGTGAACATTTTTTAATAAACACAGCAAAGTAAAGAAATTTTCCCTCTTGAATTTGTTTATTTAGTTTCCTTTTGATTTATATACTGGTACAGTATACTATTTAAGATTTTATAATTTTTTGAATGCCAGCTTGCTACTGATAACCTATTAATAACATTTGCATTGACATTGTTTTTAAAAATTCATTGTTCAATGCTAGAAATAAATCTTGAGATATGTCTAAATGCAAATGACTTCATAATTAAAACTAGTTAATGTTCCAAAAATTTGAGTCCATATTTAAAATAATTTAGATGCAGCATGGCATAGTCAAGGCTAGTTCTTGGAAAAGTATAGATTTTTAATATGCTTTCATTTTGGTGCTTGTTTCAGAAAGAAAAAGAGCGACAGATGACTTTAGAAAAATTAAAACAGGTGCTTAAATATTTTTATACTGATCTTAATTAAGCATGTAAATAACTTATTTCTACTTTAGTGTTTGGTAATGTATACTTTGATGTTATTATCTTAAATTATGCTTTTTGTAAAAAAAAATGACAGACTCCTGATTTAGCAAGTGCACCAGCATCAGAAATTGACAAAATTAAAGCAGTTATCGACCAGTCTACTAAAGGATTTGAACAATCTAGGTAGCTATAATTAATTACTTCTTTGCTAATTTAAAAATAACGAAGTTCCCCATATCAACTAAATGCATTTCAATTTTTAACTTCAAATTAAACTATTATTCTAACAAACCATATTTGTGGATGTTGTGAAGAAAGCTTTCATTTTGTGACTTTCAGCATGTGTAATATTAAGTAATTTTTTTTTAACATTTGAAAATACACTTTGTTTACAGCTTTTTGGGGAAGCACCAGACTGGAGTGCCTCATGATACTTACGTTTGTAGAAGATGTGGACAGAAAGGACATTATGTTACAAATTGCCCTAACAGCATTCCTGTGAGTCTCCATTGTATTATATATCACAACTTTAAACCATAGCTTCTAAGATCTTTTTGTATTAAAAAAATCTGTTCTTATCAGGAGGATCGCATCATTGAGCCTCGCTACAAGCGTACAACAGGAATTCCAAGCACTATGTTGACTATTGTGGATGATCCGTTACATCCAGGTGCCCTCTTAACACATCATGGCCAGTTTGCTGTTCCTACAGTAGATGTGTAAGTATATTAAATATTTTCCTAAATTGTATTTAAAAATTCATATATTAGGTAAACCTACCTTTTGGACCTGACAGTCCATAGGGCAGGTGTAGTTGAGTTCACCTTTATGTGTGACACTATTTGTGAAAGGATCGTGAGGTTAATTCTATGCTTAGATGTTTTTACTTCCATCAACTCTGAGCTGGGTGAACTCAAAATCAAACTTGAGATATGAGGTAAATAATTGTACATTAAACTGCCCATTGTACTCTCCCTGCAATTTAACATAAAAAAAATCTTTTTCTGTTTTATTATAGACTTGGTTATAGAGAAACTAAAAAAGAACGTCCGCCTTTTCTTCCTGGAGAAAAGCAGCCTGAGCCTGAGAAAAGAAAAATACCTCAGGAACTTCTTTGTCACATATGTGAGGACCTCTGTGTTGATGCAGCTATTGCGCCTTGCTGTGGAACAAGCTTTTGCGATGAATGTAAGGTTTTTATACATATTTTTATTTACATATTTATGTAACGTTGTGTATAAATATTATATAAAATTTGTTTTGGAATGTACATGTGTATATATAATGCACATATAAATGATGAGACATCCTGCATGATATACACTTTCTTTGATCAGGTTTGCGTGAAGTTTTGCTTGAAAGTGATGATCATCAGTGCCCATCATGTAAAGAGACCAATGTATCTCCAGATAGGATCGTAGCGAATCGTTCCATGAGATTAGCTGTCACCAACTTTTTAAATGGTGCTGGCTACACTAAGGTAAAAAAATAAAGAGAAGCCTTGAAATTTGTTTGATTTTCTGTTGTTAGCCTATGAATCTGATTGGGAATAAGAAAAACATACAACAAAATTTTAACTGTTGCAATTGGTTACCTGTACTGTCGTCCATTTTTTTTCTAAACATTTGGTCCAACTATAAGTTCAAGTGTATTATAATAATAATTTTACTTATAATTAATGTGCCGCTTGATTTAGTGTTTTATTTCTTCCTTCAGGTTAAACGTCGTAGAACCATGTCTTCGGGTGGGGAACAATCCCAGCCTCTATTACCAACTCCAACAACCAAGTCATCACCAAAATTATCTAGTCCAAAGACAGAAACCAGTCCCCTCTCTAGTCCAAATATCAATGCTTCACCTGTCTATTCTGATCCTAAGTCTGATCAGAAGCAAGACCTTTCAAGTACAGCACCCTCATCTCATTCCCAGACATCTCAGTCACATTTCTCTGATTCAAGAAACCAAAGCTCCTATGGTTATAAATCACACTATGGTTCTCAATACAATCATGGTCGCCCCCCTAGATTTCCAGCCAACCACTATTCTAAACCTTGGCGGTATTCCAATGAATCTTCTAAAGAACCTGGGTCTATATCTACAATATCTAGGAGGTGTGTATTATTTATATTATATAGTGATTTTGTTTATCAAAAGAGTATCATAAAATAGCATAAAAATGATTAGTTTTACAAACACATCATTTAACAATCAACCATAGTTTTTACCTTTACTTTTTATACCTTATTTCAGGGGTGATTCTGATTACAGCCATTATAATTCTCGTCCACATGCTGATGATAAATCAATGCACAAATTTAATGATGGCCATACAGATAAAAATGAGTATGACAATTTTTTCTACAACTTTTAAATTCTGTGAATTAGAATGTTAGGGATCTCATAAAAATATAGGACCATATTGTGTGGAGTTAAGGCCTTTTTGGCTTGTATGTCCAGGCTAGGATCAGTGATAATGTTAAGGATTGTAGTATTGGTTAGGGTTAAGGGGTTAGGTTTTGAACCAGAGTTAAGGTAGCGATATTAACAATAAAAATGTCCTTCAGATGTTTTTAAAAGAACATTTGTTGGTTATTTTTTTGTTTAATTAGTCTCATTAAGTATAACAATTTGACTTCACAGGTCAGGTGAACCTCCAGCACCTGGAACATCACCTATTGCAGACAAGCTGCCAGTGCTCTCTAAGCCTCCAAATCAGTGGCCACAGATGCCAGACAATCAATCAGCCAACCTGTCAAACAATGCACATACAAACCTACTCACTGCTGCCATGGGCTTGCTTGCTCACAGTATGCCTTTGCTTAATGCACCACCCCCTGGCCATCATGCATTTCCAGGTAAATAAAACACTTATCCCTCGAGTTAGAATGAATAATTTAGTATTAACAACGGCAAAGGCTAAGAACTATCATAACTTTTCAGGTAAATTAAACATCCTATAATTTTAAATTAATTATTTAGCACTAGTAGTTAAATTAAATTAAATAAATTGTTGCAACGTTAGCTTATAAAATTAGCAACATTTCTTCTACAGGTTTACCAGGATTCCCGCTAACGTTTCCTGGCCTTAGACCAGTGTTGCCTATGCAGCAGGTTTCCATGCCTTCTGTTCCTCTTTCAAAGGAAGAATTTTATCAAGCGAAAAAGATGCTACAGCAGACAGAGATTCCAAAAAAGAAGCCAGTTGATGTGTTCGATTCATTTGCTGACTTTACAAAAAGGCGTAGCCGCACACCTGAAAGACGCAGAAGGTTGGATATTGATTTATTTTGTGCTTGGTATAAGAGGTGTAAAATTAGTTACTTGTTAAATATGATTGATGTAGATTTAAAAATTTTTTTTTTTCTTTAGTTATTCCAGATCTCGTTCTAATTCTTGGAAGAGACACAGTCGCTCTCGAAGCCGTTCACTCAGCAAAGGCAGATTACATTCACTGTCACCCAGAAGAAACATCTCACGGTCTCGCTCTAGATCTGGTCCCAGATCTCAAAACCGATCCAGAACTAGATCTCCTGGACCCAAGAGGATTTCCAGAATGCACTCAAGATCACGAAGTCCAGCAAGGCTGTCTAAATCTCGTTCCAGGTCACGTTCTGGCATGAGATCTATTAAACCCTTGTCTCCTAGGGGTCACTCACCCCTTCCAATACGCAGATCATCCAAATCTCCTATACGCTCACGGTCCAGATCATATAAACGTTTCTCTAGATCCAGGTCTAAATCTTGGACCAAAAGACAGAGATCAAGATCATACTCACCACTATTGTCCAGATCACCAAGACGTTCCAGATCTCCCAGACACTCTCCTCTTCGCTCTCCTATAAGAAAGCGCTCATTTTCACCCCGACGGCGATCTAGGAGTTATTCTCCTCGTAGGTATCGCTCCAGAACCAGAAGCCCCATACCGAAAAGGGTGAAAAGCCGATCAAGAACAAGATCTCCAAATAAAAGATCTCCATTCTCACCCATTCCCTCACCTCGTCAAAGTCCATATAAAAAACCATTATCACCAATACCATATCAAAGAAGATCTCCTTCACCACACAGAGGGCGAGGAGGTTACAGGGGAAGTAGGGGAAGGGGTGGATATGGTTACAGAGACAAGTTCCGCAATGCAGACAAGTATAGAAACTACCACAGCCCGCCACATGCACCTCCCCCTCTGTCTACACCTGTTCTTTCAACTACAAATTTACCACCAGTTCCTTACAATCCACAGATGGGCTTGCCACCCCCTGAAGAATATTTTAAATATAATCCTGCAGGGTACCAAGAGTTTGTTCGTAATTTCTACTCCCAGTTTGGGCCACAGGCCCAAGCTTGGGCTGCGAGTCAGACATTTCCACTCCCCTCTGGGGATGGGATTACAGGAGGTGTTCCATCAAATCATTTCCTGCCCAACCAACGCCCTCCTTGGGAAACCGTCCCAATGTCGCCTTCTCATCGACCACAGTCTATAACACCTCCAAATGTCACATCAGGAAGAGAAAGAAAAGACCAAGGCTACAGGGATAACACAAGGCACTGGGAAAAAGACAGGCCAGAGAGAGATATTAGAGACAGGCCAGACAGAGATATAAGAGACAGGCCAGAGAGAGATGTTAGAGACAGGCCAGACAGAGATATAAGAGACAGGCCAGAGAGAGATGTTAGAGACAGGCCAGACAGAGATGTAAGAGACAGGCGCACAGACAGAGGAAGAGATTATGATAGATTTAAAGACAATGAAAGGAATAGAGAATCTGACAGATACAGAGACAATGAAAGATGGAAAGATATAGATAGGCATGGTGCTGAACGCAGGGATAGAACCAGAGAAGATGACCGAAGCAAGGGCCGAGATGGACATAGAGAAAATAAAGAAAGCACAAGAAGCAAAGACAAGCCCACAGTTGAAAAGAAGAAGAGTCCCTTGAAAAAAGCTAAAGATGGGGAGGAAAAACCTAAAAGCAAAGAAAGGAAGAAGTCTGATAGAAAGAAAGAAGAAAAAGAGAACAAGAAAAATAAAAAGCATGATTCAGATGCTAGAAAAGAAATTGCTGAACAGAAGGAAGTGTTGCTAAAACCAATTACTGATGGTGAAATAGTTCCTTCTGCGCCTACAGAAAAAGTGGGTTTAAATGAAAATGCTGTTGAACCTTCCACTAATGTAAAAGAAGAAACCGTGTCAACTGATGGTACTAAAGCTGTTGTACCTGAAGAACAAAACCAGGGTGATTTGGTGAAATCTGAAACAGAACCTGAAAAACCTGTGATAAAAGACAAAAAGGCTGTTAGCAAAAAGAAGGGTGAGGGTTTAGGTGGAAAGAAGAAAACCAAAGACATTTCTGCTGAAGATGGGGGTGAGAAAAAGGGTAAGAAGACCAGGAAGAAAAAGCTTACTTTTGGCTCCTCTGAAGTTGATACTAAACAAGGGCTAAAGAAGAAGAAATTGAAAAGGCTGGTGGATTACAAATCTGAAAATTGCACTTCAGAAGAAGGAGAAGAGCGTTCCTCTTTAGGAGGTAGCCCCTTAAAAAGAGCAAAACTGGCAGAGTTAAACCAGAAGAATGTGGACTCTGGTGAATCCGTAACTGCAGAGGTATCACATGTCACTAGCTCAGAACCTACCTTTGAGGTGAGCACAGAGGCAGAGCTGGGTGTGGAGCCTTTGAAAGTTGCCGAAGATGAGACCATGGTCTCTCAGTCTGAGGGTGATGATAAGGTCGCAGATGCTGGTGAAGACAAAAGCAAAGAAGAGACCAGTCTGGAGCTGCCTGAAATATCCAAGTGGGAGAGGGATGACTTTGATCTGTTTGATGCCATGGACCAACCTAAAGAAAAACCACAAGAGAAAATGATGCTCCCAAGGTTTGTAGCTAAAATTATTCAGATTTTTTTTTCAACATTTGCTGTCTCTTTAATTGTTCCTAATAATATGTTACAACAGGCCTCTTATATTTTAGCTGTTTACAAAATGTGCTTAATTTAAATGTATCATTTTTAATAAGATATTTATTTCTCATTTGTTGTTTATTTATGTTTTTCCCTAACATGCATAAAACAACTGATGTGATCTATGCCCTGATTTTTTTTCCCTCAGATCTGTTGTTGACAAAGCTGAAAAGTTCTTGAGTCACAAGCCTATGAAGAACGCAGTTATGGTTGCTCACGTCACTACCTCAACCAAGTCCCCAGAATCTACACCAACACCTGAAAAACGTGTTGTTGAGCCTTCTACATCTAGAAGAGTCTTTATTGATAAGAAAGATGTTAAAGATAAAAAAGGGAACGAGTTGCAAATCACTGTAAAGACTGATAAAAATAAGAATGACCCAAAACGTGCGCCAACCTTGGCTAAATCAGATGACAGCCGGCACCGCTATCATCATCATCGGCATGATGATTATGAAGAAGATCAACGGTCTGTTGTTAAATCTCGATCTCTTGAACGTGAACTTCAGGAAAAATCTAGAGCTCAGAAGATAAAGGAGAAGGAAAAAGACAAGTATTCATCAAAAAGAGAGGAAAAGAGAGAGAACAGATCCAGCAGAGACACTGAAAAGAGATATGAATCATTGAGGAAAGATAAAATTGAGACATCAAGAGAGAAAAGGGACAAGTCACCTGAGCATAAAGAGAGACGTCACAGTAAGGACACCCCTGCCGGTAACAGCACTGAAACATCAAAATCTTCAAAAGACTTGCGTCATAAACTTGAAGAAAAGACAAAATCAAAAACTGGCATCGACTCGAGAAAGTTGTCTGTGATGGATGAGTCAGAATTTGTACCTGATTACGAGGACATGACAACTGACAACACAATAGACAATGAGCATGATGAGGCCACCACTTCACAGAACTCTGGAGCCTCATCTTCAGACTCTCCAAGTGAGGCTAAAAAGAGGAAAAAGAATGAGGATGGTGATGCTAAAGAGGGGGAGGGAAAGTCAACTGATGAGGAAGCTTCTGGCAAACACAAAAAGGCAAAAAAGAAACACAAGCACAAGGAGAAAAATAAGGAAAAGAAAGAAAAGCATAAGCACAAGAAGAAGAAGCATAAACACAAGAAAAGTAAAGAGGAGAAAGAGGGTAAGCCAAAGACAAATAAAGATGATTCTTCCTAATTTGGAGTCACAAAAGTGTGCAATGTAGTCCATTGTGTGCAAAACTTTGGTGAAAATGTACTGTACTGTAAATTAAAACTGTGTTTGTCAGCCAATAGGAGCATTATGTGTCCTATGATGGCGAGACTAGTGAGGAGTAAAAAATGAAAGTTCTAAAATCTTAAAACTATTAGCTTAAAAATTGAATGTTCTTGTATCAAAAACCATATTTAAAATAATTTATTTGATTGAGCTCAGTTTTGGACCATAAAGTACAGCCTTATGACCAATAAATTAAGTGGTTTGCAACTTAAAATTCTACAAGGCCCAGGCTTAAATGTTTTCCAAATAAAAATAAATGCTTTAATATCAACAAAAACACTACAAATTACTACAAAAACTATTTGAATAAGCAATAGTAAAGAACAAAGCTCACAGTAAAGAGAGAGAAAAAAAGAATTGTAGAAAAATATTCAAATTTTTCTTAAGCTCTTACTTTGTCATTGAATTTCAAGAAGTGGATAAAATTTGGTAATCATTAAGCCAATTGAAAATCCTAGCCTAAAAGTTTCATCAATTGTAAACAATGTTTTCTAACAAGGTTTTTTTGCTTATGTTTACCAAAAAATGTATTTGATTTCCTATTCAGCTTTATTTCATGTAACTGTCAAATGATTGAAAGATTTATTTTTGTTTCTTTAAGCAGAGCAAACACTCTTGATATGCAGAATTTTTTGCATTAAATTACACTAATAATTCAGACTTCAGAGAGAAAACATACTTTATGTGGACATCATCACTGAATGTTACATACATTTTCTATTTATTGCTACTTTAGTGTGTTGAATCAATGAACTACAAATGTATTTTAGACATTACAAGCTTATCTAGGCTTTATGAAATAAATGTATGACATTCAGCCAGCATACTGAACCAATCAGTTTGTGGTTGTATTTCACAATATGTTCCCTTCAGTGGGATCATTTAGTAAGGTTAAAACTTTTTCTAGAACCTATATCTTTTTTTAAAACATGCATAAAATAACTGCCTTGTGTTGTTAAATGTCAGTGAAATAGGGTTTTCTAAATTTGTAATATATTTGTTGGGTATTGAATTTATTTTACTCAATAACTGCTATTTCGTCATGGTCATGGTAATGTTTGCAATATAGCTAAGCTTATGTGTGGTATTTCATGAGGACATACCATTGAAGGCTTGTATGTTTCCCAGAAAGACACAGTCTTAAGGGTTTTAATATATGGGCTGTTGTTCATTTGCAATCTTTTATTTAATGTTTTTTCTACTCCATAATCACAATTGTGTTGCATCCTTACATACTTGCTTTCCATGAACATATAAAATGCAGTGAGCATTTTTTTTTTTCATTCAGTGAATGGTCATAAAAATGTTAGATCAGTATTAGAAGAGAGTAATACAAAAAAAAAAGATGTAAAGTATTACATGTTTATATTACATATTTTTTTTGTCTCTGTTGTTGTTTAAATTGATGCTGCTCATAAGGAAATGCTGGTGTGTGGTGTGGTACATTAGACAAGTCATTTGTTATTAACTTTGTTAACAGTTTAAAAATCTCTGATCTTTTTTTCAGTGAAGTTTGCTCATTACCCATTTTATAATTAGAACCTAAAGATTTGATTGCCCTGTTAAATAGTGGTACAATTTTGACTTCTCCTGATTTGATGTACTATTTTGTTAGATTTGCCATGTTATTGTTTATATAAGCAAATAATTTTTGTCATTTCTCTGGGGCTAAAATGCATTCAAGTTGTTTTGTTTATGAGACCATATTTGTATATACAAAGATGAATGATACTTTTTTCCCACATTTGATTCTACTTGTTAAAAAATGCGGTAAGGGACATATTGAAATTGTCTTGATTTAACTTGTATGATATATTGTTGCATTTGTTTTTTTCTCTCAATGCAAATAAAAAAAGCATAAATAAAACTTGCAGTTGAAAGTTGATTATAATTATATTTGTATTGTTTTGTTTTTAAGAAAATCTAATTCACTTGATATTTAACTCTTTGATTTCCTTGGAAACTAAACAAAAGAACTTCTGCGCAACATTGAGCGTGTTGCTGTAATTATAGATAATGCTACCTTTTGCATTTTAAATATTGAATCATCTGCTTGTGTGATGAAATCAGATGAACTCTACTTCATCTTCATGTGGATTAGAAAAGAAAGATCTGTTACATGATCTTGCTGCGTGATGTTTCCTTTTAATTCATGTGCATGAAGTAACTAGATCTAGTAAATCAAAGCAGAGAATGTTTAGTATCCGATGGCGAATGTTTAGTATCCGATAATCCCTGCATATCCTAATAAGCCCAGTAGCCCACCTATAATTTATAAACAATAGTTGATCTTCAAGGATAATATTGATGTATTTAAAAATTCTTTGAACAAAACAATGCAAAGTCGTAGCCAGTGGTGTTGGGGGAAGGGTTAAAACCACTGTAGACCCCCCCATTTTTTGAAATGTACCAAGACAACGGGACAGATAGAGAGCAGAGTGCATAAAACTCTCTTTTTGGGTATGTGCCAAGCGTCTTTCTAAGGTTAGGAGATGCGATCATTCTATTTCTTTAAAAAATAAACGCAGCTGACGTGGAAATCGGACAAGTAGTAATGATTCGGTGACGGCGTGGTCGGACGGTAGAGCTTTCGATTGCTAACATGAAATGCTGGTGGCACTTATCACATATCAAACACCCATGAACAGGATACGAAAAATGTGGTAAAATGTGTTAGTCATGTCCAAAAAGAGGCGCCTTCTTTGCCCAACTGTTTAAACACATTCCAACTACAAGAAGACGCCTTCATTAACTATACAGTTTCAGATGCCTACCTCAATATACTATATAGGCGCGTTCAATAGTCAACAGTGTTTCTTCCAGACTTTTTTCTCCGGGGGGGGGGGGGTGGCACTTGAAATTTTCGGGAGGGGGGGCGGTAGACTTTCTTCGGGGGGGGGGGGCGGACACTGTTAAAAGTATATATTTTCTATATAAATTTAATTTCTTTCGGCCCCCCCCCCCGAAGAGATGACTGGAAGAAACTCTGGATACAAATGTCGAAAAGATAGGCGCCTTCATTAACTATGCAGTTAGCACAGGCGCCGACCACAATATAGGCGCATTTATTTCACTTTCATTAATTTAGTTACTTATACGTGAGCGTTCTTGCTTAATTTGATTTATTTTTCCGAAAAAGGCGACATTGGCCTAAAAATGCTCGCAGAGGGTGCAGACACTCCCCGACCCGTTGGATATGCCACTGGTTGTGAGACAATCGATCCCTCTCAGCTCCACCACTAATGTTTGTTCCTAATAAATAACTCATAAAATACGTCACACTTCAAAGGTTACTCAATAATTTAGAATCAACTATATTTATTCCGCTGCAATAAGTTACAACAGATGTTTAAAAATCTATAGCAAAGTAAAAATATATCATCTCGTCTGTATTCATTGAAAACAATCAACATTTTTCAACCTTGCAGCAAGTCACAGTGGTTTTTAAAAAAATGTAGTCTATATTTAGGCCTATACAGTATCATAGGATGTGTTTTAATTGGTTGCTGTATGTTTAATTATTTATGTACACGAATCTGGTGGAAAGGTTTCTTATTTGCGATGATAAAAACGAGGATTGAGTCGCTTTGTGCCGGCCCATGGTTATATCTACGTTTGAGCCTGAACTATATTTTCGGAGGGGGGGGGGGGGGGGGGGAGGAGGGGGAGAAAGGGGGAGAGACTAAATTTTCCGTGGAGGGCGGACACTGGTAAAAGTATAAATTTTCTATATAAATTCCATTTCGTTCAGGGGGGGGGGGCGTTAGAAGCGATGCTCAGGACTCCCTCCCTTAAATTATTTGAAGATATTAGATCTATCATATAGTGTTTCTTACAGGCCCTTTCCTAATTAAATCCTGAATCTATGTGCAACAAAATAATATTTCAATGTTTCCTAACATCAGATCACTGTAACTTGAAACTTTAACTAAAGCAATATTACGTTTGGGCAATTTTTAAAGATTTACTTTATTAATTTAGATGTTATTTAATATGCGTTCTTAAATAATGAGATTTCTGAGTAATTGTCGGCATTTTTCGGTTATAGTCTTGAGGTTTTTATCGTGAAGGTGAGCTATATCGAGGTGACCTCGTCTCATAACGCGCGTTCTCGCCGAAACTCGACGTGACATCATCGCGACAAAAAGTTCCGAAACAGGTGATTGAAACAATGTCAACAACAACACTGTTTCGATTCTTAAAGGACTAAAACACCTCACGCATGTAGGGACATAAATTTATTAAAGGTCAATAGTTTTTCTAAATAGCATAAACCTGCTTCAGCGTAGACCATACAAAAGGCACACGCTAAAAATTGGCCGAAAATAACAAAGATTTTTAGACCAAGAAGGAGATTAGAAACTCAGACTGAATGTCTGAACTCTGAAGAACAAACAATTTGATTACAAAATAATTTTTTATTGTACTAGTCCCATTTGTTATAGATCTAGACTCTATATCTTAAATCAACAAAGCAACATTTTTGAGTCATGGTATTAAGTCTACTAGACCTAGGCCTATTTCTACACTTACTTATAAATTTATTAATTACCAATTAAGAGATTTTAAAAATAAAAGGTTAGGCCTACTGACTACCACTACCATGGTAAAAACTGGAGTATTTCACTATTTTGTTAACTGTGTTGTAAAATGAGGCGTCTAGATCTACAATTATGAAATCTAGTTCCCTGTAGAACAGTGTAATAAAGTTCTCTCAATTTACATTGAACGTATCAATGACTTGTAATTCAAATTGATTGCTATGTCTATACTAGTCTATAGAATATAGAAGACTGGTATACGATAGTCATAATCACATAATCATAGCAAAATGTATATCAGTCTCCAGTATCCAGATACATTCATTACAAATACCAAATAGGCCTACATTTTACCAACTTAATTTTAAACAGATTTGAGTTGTTTACAAGTCAGTACTATCTGCCAAAGAGAATTCTTATAGGCCTACATGACAACAAACCATTTTTGTTGTAACAGCTCCCCTAAAGACACCCAAAACTATTGACACAATCCATCAGTATAGAATGAAATAGTCATTTTATTGTTTATTTTATGACAACCCCTCCCCCTTTTTTTTTACTTGGGTAACAATGGAATTCAGCACTGAAAGTACTAGGAAATGTAATTCACTGTGTATGTCAGTAGTTGATAAAAGTTTTGTCTCCAGCTTACACACACATATATATTGGAGGGGTTGATAGAGAAATTGATAGTTAGATTCTGTGCCTGGTTCTAATTCTATGTTCCCAATAGGAGATATGTGGTGGGGAAGATAGGATATGAAGGCCAACAACTTATGACAACTATAGAAGATTTGAGTTTTATTTTGTGTTAGGGTACATATGACAACCTTTAACCAACTCATCTTTTAAAAAAAATTACTAAAGTATATTTGTTATCTATTGGTGTAGAGAAAAATAGACTGATATCCTGTGTGTTGGGTGGGGAAGACATGTGACATGTGATGGATGGAGCACCACAGGAGCCCAAGAATGACATCATTCCTGAAGATCCAAGAGGTGCAGCAGGTGGAGTGGAGGAGGAGACAAGGGAAGGGAGCCCTTCAGCGTCATCTGCATTACAATCTGTGGCTGATTATTTAAGCAAAGTTAACTCTCTGTCAAAAAAGGTTAGTATTGATGAAACCGATACGATTAGTTTGAATTCCTTTTCAAATTTTATTTCTTCATGTCCACATTGATTTTGTTGTTTCACAACTCACCATTCAGTTTAAAGTAAGTTTTCTTTTGTAGTTAAACATTGATTTTTTTTTGTTCATTTATTTAAGTAAATTTTCTCAAGCATTTTGCTGAAAAATACATTTGATTTTCATCATTAGTTTTTATTTTGTGTTGTAACAATTTTTTTTTTACTTTATCTTCAGAAACAAAATAAAGATGCTTTGCATGTTTGTAATGAAGGTTTGTGATTTTTTTTAACTTGGTATTTTTACCAGTTTTTGAAAGGATTGCAAGAACATTATAGTTAATAAGCAAGGATAGTTTGTACATTGTTCTTGTTTTTCAATCAAATTTAAGCAGTGTTAAACTTAGCTGTGTGTACTCAAACAAATGAAAGTTTCTTTCCAAAAAAAAGAACCCACAAAATATTAGGTGAATGTATTTTTCTTGTGAAGTGTCTCTTGAAATCAGTTTTAACTTTTCAAAAAATCTTAAGAATATTTTTTAACCATTGCATATATATTTTGAAACATGTTTGTCACTATTTTAAAGCAAATCAAATTATTTTAGATTAATTAATAATTTAGTGTTGTTGTTTCAGCTTTAACTGTTTACCCTGGAAATAACAAACTTCTGGAAAAGAAAACAAAAGTATTGTGTCAGCTTCTCCTGTTTCAAGATGCTTTAAAGGTTGTTGAAGACTGGATCCTGTTAGATCCACAAGTATGTTATTTGTTTCTTAAGCTAATCAGATTTAGCCTTTAAAGTTTACTTAGAAATCAGACTTAGTTCAAATTTGATTTCTAAGTTAATTAATAAACAGATACTTTTAAATAAATAAAATTTATTTATAACTATGCTTATAATAGTCAGTAGAAAGTCCCTGAGTCCACCCAGCTCTGATGGGTACCTAACTCATGTTAGGGTAAACAAAGGCAGATGGGCTTAGTGCTGACCACACTATCCTATCCAATGTCTCTGAAACAGATGAACTCTACTTTTTTTGCCCTGTATGTCTTGGGCATGAACAAGAAAAGATGATGATACTTGTAATATCCACTTGGCTCCCTTACCTCCTCCCTGTTATATATATATTTTATAATGTTTAGTGTGATAAATATATTACTGCCACACACCCTAACAAACTTTCCTGAATTATGACCTGACTATCTTGTCCAATGTCTCTGAAACAGATGAACTCTACTTCATCTGCCCCGTGTGTCTAGGGCAAGAACAAGAAAAGATGATGATACTTGTAATATCGACTTGCTCCCTCACCTCCTCCGTTATATATTTTATTTTTATAATGTTTAGTGTGATAAATATATTACTGTCACCCACCCTAACAAACCTTCCTGAATTATGACCCGACTATCTTTCAGAATACTGTTGCAAGACGGGAACATGAAAAGTTGAAAATAATTCTAACTGCAGTGGAATGTCCAGACTCTGAAGATGATTCTCTAGACAATGATGACAAGGCAGAGCAAGTCAAGCCTACAGAGCAGAGGGCAGGCAGAAATAAAATTGTTGCTGCAGGGGATGGGGATACTTTGGGTAATAAATCAGCATTTAAAGCACTAGGAAGGTCATCTTCACCGCAGCGTAAAAATGAAGGTAATTATTATTATATATTAAAAGTTACATGTTTGTAATGTATACAGTACATGGGGAAAAAAGTAAAGTTACACTTTTTAACCTGGCAGTCTGTGGGGCAGATGAAATGGTTCTCCTGTTTCTGTGACCTTGGCATTGTGAAGGCATAGTGTAGTCTGCTTTATGCCCAGCTGTCTTAACTCTCCCTAACATGAATCAGGTACCCATCAGAGCTTGATGGACTCAGGGATGTCCAACAAACTCAGGTTAAGGATCAGAACTCTAGATTCTCAAATTAGTAGTCATATGACAATGCTGTCTCACACAGTGGAAAAGTGTACCATTACAATTTATACTTGATCTTATCCCCAGAAGCGGGTCAGTTTGTGTGTACATCGTGTGAGGTCAGTTTTACCCAAAAGGATGAGTTTGACCTACACAGCACGAGCGGTTTCCACAAGCAGAGACTTGCTGTGGAAGATGCTCATCAGTGGCAGTACCGAGCACCACCCAGAGGGCTGGCAAGTGATGAGTACAGTCTCTGCAAGAGGTGATTATAAATGGAACATAAAAATTATAGTCTATGCAGTGTATTGGAATATTATTGTCTATGGGTTTTAGATTCTTTTAATTATATGTTGCTAAGTACTTGTGGTTGATGAATAGTCTTTTGGTGTCTGTATCTTAGAAGTGGATGGATACTGTCAACATATAGATACTTCAGTATTAATTTTTAGGGTTGTTTCTATAGTGACACCATGCAGAAATATTTAAGATTGAATACTTGTAGTTGCAACACGTTAGTCAAAATGTTTAATATCTGAAAGGATTTTTTCTTATATGTATTAAAATATATTCTGTTGATACTTTATATTTGAGTAGTATTATTTTGTATTGTACTCCCTCGCCACAGATTCATGGAAACAGGGAGGTGTACATTCAGGGAAAAATGCACCAGGGCCCATTCCGAAGCCGAGCTGGAGGAGTGGAACCATCGTTATGCTGTCAGAAAACAGCAGCTGCAGCAGTCCCAGGAGAACAGGGCTCATGGTGGGACCTACATCGAGCAGCTGTTGGAGAAACTCATGTCACAGGAGCCGCCAAAAATGGTGGTAAGCTGAAGAACAGTAGAGGGTGGTGGGGGGGGGGGGGGGGTGATAGCGGAAAATGGTGGTAAGCAGAGTAACAGAAGAGGTTGGGGATGATTAATGTACTTGAACTAACAGTGTTGGTTTTTTTTTTTTTTTGTTGCACTGTGAATGAGAAATTTTATTTATCCGCTTTATCCTTTTTAGCTACCCTAGCGTTCAGTAGTTAGAACTTGCTTTATTGATATTATAAACAACATAGTGAAGTCACTGCTTTTATTGAACACAGACTACAACATTCCCCCTCTTTTTCAATTGGGCAAACTGACTTTTTTTTTTCTAATATACTAAACTATTGAGTTCAATATTTTAGACTTCAAAAAAAAAGTTCAACTTTTAATATATGATTACTTTGTTTTATTTTTAATATAGCTGGTTGAAAACATTGACCTTGTAAAAATTCATGTGAACTCTGACCTCAAAGTAAGCATGTCCACCAAAAAGTGTACAAATGCCTGGACCTTTACAGTTACCAGTAAGGTAAGCAAGCTTTTGAACTTTATTTCATTATGTACAGGAAATAGTTTTAGTATTTTTCACATAAGATTGTTTTGTCTCTTTTTATCTTTTTCTTTGTCTTAACTAAGTGGCCCACTTTAAATATGGCAGTTTATCTGGATTAAACATTTTTAAGTTTAGCTGATGTTAGCTTATTACTTTAAATTTTACCGTATGTGGGAAGTAAATTGGCAAAGCTGTTTTATAATGCATATTACATTGTAGCCTACAGGATTTAGTCTCTTCCTATTGTGAAACTTATTCTATATTAGAATTAAATATTATTTTAAACTGTATTCTGTTATGGAAATTAGATTTTAGACTGAAAATGTTTTGACTTTTTCCCCTACTTGTGTGTCTCAGCTGTGTCTCCATTGCGTGGCTCTGATGTCGGACACCAATCGCAGCTACTTCCATGTCTCTAGCATCTCTGTTGGGCCCAGGAAAACCCAGAAATATCAAAATTTGGAGCCCCAGTGCCAGGAGTGGGTCAACCAGGACACACAAAGTAAAGGTCAAGGGGAGTATGTGTACAGGGTCAAGGTAATAATAGTTGTTATCAATTTTCTTACAATCCTGTAAATATTAACACACCTAACTTAAAAATCATCATATTTTCCCATTCGTGCCTAAAACACATGGAATAGATGAAGTAGAGTTAATCTGTGTCAATGAAGTCAGCATATAAGGGGAATAATGTGGTCAGCACTATGTCACGCTGCCGTTGTGTACCTAATGTAAGTCAGGTACTCATCAGAGATGGGTGGACTCAGGAATGTCCTACAGACTCGAGACTTTAGGGTGAGCAGTCATGAGCTTTACCACCTGACCACACTGCCCCCAAAGTAACCATATTTTTAATGAATTACCTCATTATTTAAAATCTTAAACCAGCCCATGAATACATTCTGAATCTTCTTTTGTAGGTGGTTTTCAAAACTGATATTTATGGCACATTTCGTCAGTCAATTGTATTTGATTTTGGAGTGGAAGCAATTTTGATGAGAGAGGTGCAAGTAGAATCTGCGCCAGCCACTGATGCTGAAAAGATACGCAAAGAGATAACGCTGACAGAAGCACACAGGTGGAATGAAAGAACTGTAACCCTGGTTAATTTTGAACCTAGGTTAGTTAAACTTTTTATTTTCATCAGTAGTTACCCCCTTTTTTTATAGAATATTTGTCCTCTGTAAAACTCTGATTCTTCCTGTTTGACAATATTGAAAAAATAAAAGGTTTACAACATATTAAAAGAACTTAATGTTTGCCATCTATAAAAAATGTATAAATATTAATTCAGAACAATTAAGCAGGCTCCTTATTGTTCAGAGATATTTTTCTTTCTCATTGATTTTTTTTGTCTTATAATTTTTATAGATTTAAAGCACACCATAAAAAGAAAGAAAAATATTAATATTGTAATAAGAATATATGAAGTATTAAAATGAGATAAAATATGATATGGGTTTTTCCCTTCAATAGACCAGTTTCATACAGTGAGCCAGAGGCGGCCTTAATGGCCAAATACATGCTTCCCCGGCCAGATAAATTTTGTCAGCCAGAGACAGTCATGCACAGCATCAGTAAAGAGAACTACCGCTTGTGGATGCATGAAATGCTGTACATTGAAGAGATGGCTCAGGTTGGATACATTTCTAGGTAATTGTTTCGTTTTTGTGTGTGTGTGATAATTTAAAAAATTTAAACAGTTTCTTATATATCCTTGTAATGTACCTTCAATCTATTTTCCCCAATGTCTGTAATTGTATAAATTCTTATTTCCACACACATCCTTGGTGTTAATGCTGCAGAATAGGCCTACGTTGTAACAGTAAATTATTTAAGTTGGGCTACAAGGTCTGCACAATAGACCTTGTTGAAAATTAGTTGCAAATATTTAAAAACAATTTTAGTGTCTCAATCTATATATATAATTCTCTTCTTCGAGCCGTTAGAAAACAAGCTGCAAACGCTCTCCCTACCTCCCCACCCCTACATGGTTTTAGTGAGCTGTGTTCACTCTAAATGTTTACAAGCAGAGCCAACGATTTTAAACGTAGGGGGGGGGGGGGGGGGAAGGGGGGGGGGGGGGAAGGGGGGGGAGGAGGGGGGGGGAAGGGGGGGGAGGAGGGGAGGGAAGGAAGGGGGGGGGGGGGTTATGGTCCTTAACGAGCTACTTATAGTGTTTTAAAGAAATATTTTCAGTGTCAGCGTTGGTACTGTCGAATTCACAAATTATGAATTATTGAAAATTAGAAACAACTAAATAGCGGCGTATGTTATGCCGCGGGCCGGCTCGTTTATTTTAAAACCTGACGTTATTTTTTTCAGGTTTAATGTGACTACATCCTTGCAACTAGTGAACAGGTTCCTGTTGATGCCCAGCTCACTGTCTACTGCAAAGTATGCACAGGGCGGGGAACTTTTTGCACGCATGAAGCTTGAGGATGATTTATCTGAAGATTCAATGGCTGGTCGTCTCATTCTACAGTCCTCAAATGTTGCTTGGATAGCTGAAGGAAAGAAGGAACGTCCTGATAAGGTAATCATTGTATTTCAAACTGTTTATGCATTTGGGTGTGAGGGTGGGGATTTTTAAAGAGGCGTAACGAATCCAATAACACAAGTTCCAGTATAAAATGTTCTTTATTAAAATTATAAAATCAAGTTTTACCTAACTAACTTATTCTATACTCTCCACTACTACTACTGTCTGCCGTTTCCTAGATCTACCTATCTGACCGTTCTCTTCACTAATTATCTATTGTTACGTAGCCATACACATCTCGACCGTCTCTGACCGCTTCCTAACACCTTCTCAACTCTTCGCTAGCTACCTATCAACTGCCGCTAATCTCTCTACTGACCCACGCCTCAGTGGTCAGCTGACCGTCCCACGTGACCGGTCAGTTCCCGTATTTTTATTGATCTCTCTCTCTGACCAACTCGTTATAGCCTGTTTCTGCTATTTACCTGACCTCTCCGACGCAACCTTGCGTCATCACATTGGGTATAAACAAATTATTTTACCTTGCTCTCTGTGACACCTTTTCATGTGTCATTTATTAGATAGACAGAAAGTATTTATACATCACCTTGGCTGAAACAAGCTTACACGAAAATAATTTTTAAAGTAGACTAATTGTATACAATCATACTAATAATGCATTTGCTGAAAATTCTAAATACGGTAGTCATTTTAATTAATGCAAAAACAAATGTATACTTTTCACTTAATTTTCAATTAATTTAGTTGTGGTATTATACAAGATATACTTAAATTTCAGGTTTACGAAGCTGTGATAGAGGACAAGGGCAAGAATTTCATTTTCATGCGTTTGTCCAAGACATGTGTTGAAGAGCTGGGATTATCATGTGACCAGGATTTTAATGCCCAGGTAACACAGCTTTGTACTCTGTCATTGGTTATGAGATAAGTTTACATTCGATGCTATTTCAAGGATGTAAAGGTATTTTAAATTCGCAAAAATAAAATTCAACTGTTGATGAGGGATCAAATTTTTCTAGTCATGAATGTGGTTCCCAGACAAATACGCAAACAACTGCTCAACGGAAAACTGGGCAAATACAAACAAATTATGCTAATGTGCTTTAATTTTGTCATATTTCATGGAAAGATGTTTTGTTATGTTACAATGTACATTTGGTCATGCTGTGTAAATGTCTAAAATGCTCAATTTAAGAAAACAAAAATGCCCCTGTGTACTTTTTTGTGCGCTGTTTTCCGTAGCGTATTTTTCCGGTCACCCTTGAATGTCAAAGAATCCTGTTTTTCTGCTTCTGAAGAAAATTTTAAGGGAATAGAAAATTTAGAAAAGTTGCTAAAGATTCTAATAAATTAAAACTACAATTATGATAAATCTCTTGACAGATTCAGTTCCAGCTCAACAGATTGTCTATGTGTGAGATGCACTCTGCTGTGGATAGGCTACCCACCTTAGATATTGTTTTCCCCGACTTGGACAACTTACCTGACAAACTTGAACTTGATGACAGGTACCAACATTTTTTTCCCCCTCTTTGTACAATTTATTTTTTACAGCTTTCATTTGCTTGAACAATCATTCTTAAGTGCACATAAATATGTAATTAGTGTATTATAATATATATGTAAATAATCAATTACAGTGTATTGCAAGACTCGAATGAGAGTAAACGACTGAACGAGAAACAGAAAGATGCAGTGAGGCTTATACTGGCTGCTCAAGACTTAAAATTACCTCCCCTGTTGATTGTTGGCCCTTTTGGGACGGGGAAAACATTCACCATGGCACAGGCGGCCAAGCAAGTCCTGAAGCAGGAGGGGACTAGGATATTGATCTGCACACATTCCAACAGGTACCATTTGAAAGGGAGTGCTACTATTGTCACTGAGTGTGAAAAACCCAATTGCAACTAATGTGTTAAGTTTGCAATGTGATGTATCACCTTGTTGATCATGTTTCTATTGTATCACTATTGTGCAAAAAGTACTTCTATGCTATTCTTGCTATTCCATAGTGCAAGAATCTGCACAATTTTATAAAAGATTATAGACAGTACTCGGTTCTTTGTTCAATTGCATACTATTTTGAGCTTGTTTTTGTGTATATGATGGCATCAGCATTTTCAATTTATTTGAATTTATTTAGGTATATAATTTATTAGAATTAAAAAATCTGGCCCATTTTAGATTTACCATCATCATGGCCCATAACTCCAGCCAGGGTATAGGCTTCTACTACATCTGTCCAGAGTTTGTGTCCTAAATTATTCTAGTATAACTTTTCTTTGTCTTGTCTACTGCAAGCCCTTGTTGCAAGGTGATTTTGAGGTGGCTTCTCACTCTTTCCTTGGGGAAATTTATTTAAAATCAAATAATTTTTAAGCTTGGCATCATTTAATAAGATGAAAGCATATCTCAATAATTTTAATTTAATAGACATATAAAATGCAACAAAATATAGGATGAGTTGTTTTTGTATATGAAATATTGAAAATGGATTTAAGACAATGTCACTTTATATTCTTAGTGCGGCAGATCTGTACATCAAGGAGTTCCTCCATGACTATGTGGAAACAGATGACCATGCTGAAGCCAGACCCCTGAGGGTGATGTACAAGTTCCGCTGGATCCAGACAGTGCCAGAGGTGGTACTGGAGTACACCCTCCTGGAGAGGGAGGGCCCCATGGCTGGCACATTCAGGCCCCCGACTGTTGAGGACGTCATGAAGCATAGAGTTATAATAGCCACATTGAGTAGTGCTAGATATTTAGTTGACTTGGACCTGCCCAAAGGTAACATTTGCAAATTTAACTTAAAGAAAAAATACCAGTATGAATGTGGCTATACAAAGTGTACTTCTTTTTAAGTAAGCAAAAAAAAAATTTGATTTGTAACTAGTTTTAATACCAACTATAATAATGCATGTCCAAAGCTTTTAGGTTCAGACATCATTTTAAAAAACTATTGTAAACTCAGAAATTAAACTATTGATTTCTAAAATTTTGACGATATAAAAAAAGGCCTGAAAAATTTTAATTTTGACTAAACGGTTTGTGAGAACTTCTCTTTCACTATCTGACTTTCCAGATGCATTCAGTCATATTTTCATTGATGAAGCTGCACAGTCATTGGAGAGTGAGACCATCATTCCACTTTCACTTGCTCATGAGAACACAAGGATAGTGTTTGCTGGAGATCATATGCAGGTTGGTGTTAAATAGTCTCTCATGATGTGCTTGTAAGATTAGTCAAAGGCTACGTGGATACTTTAGATTCTGACCAAAAAAATAAAAGCAGGCTCAAGTTGGAATCAAGTGATCAGGCCTAATGGTGTATAATATGTTAATACATAAAATGCTTAATTGTGTTGGAGGAATCTCCATAAAAAAATTTCAATTAAAAACAAAGAAAAAGATTACTAGTGAACAGAGATATTCAGTCTAAATATATTTTCCTGAACTAGTTTTTCAACAATTTCAAGTGTAATATGTTTTTCAGTATTCACAAATAAATATTTTCATTACCAAGTTTGATGGTAAAATAAAGGTGGAATGTTTTGTTTTGTTATTACACAGATGAGTCCTGAGGTGTACTCGGACTTCACAAGGCAGCAAGGATTCCACACATCCCTTCTTGAGAGGCTACATGAACTGTATCCCAAGGATTCTGTTTACATGGTACATATAGATTTTTAAAAATTCTTACTTTCCTAGAATATGCAAATACAAGAGAGAAAAAACTTCCAGTTATTATCTAATATATAAAGCTCAATTCTGTATGTAAAAATAAATATGTTTGTCGTTGACATACTTCAATGGATTAAAGTGTTAGATAATTACAGTCCTTATGGTCTAAATTTATGAGTTAAAAAATTAATATTGAAAGTTTTGGGAAATAATTTTCATTTATCAAACTGAAAGTAATAATTGTCAGCATGTTTATTAAACACAAGTTTTAAAAATATATCATCTTTTACAAAAATTCTAATTGTCTTTATTTAGTCCTATAGCACTTACTTCCCTTTGATAAATTAGGAAAACGCAATTACTTCCCTTTATAAAACCATTGCATTTGTGGAAAAGAATTTACTTTTTATTACTTTGTTTTGGTGTTGGGAAAAAAAATAATTACATAATTAGCGGGGATTGATCAAGTGCAAATGTTGTAGGTATTTTACGGATAAGCTTGGAGTATTATAATTGTTCATTAAATTGAAACAGTCGCGTTCGTTTAAGTGAGTGCAAAAGACTATGAATAAGTTGGGGTACTATAGTCGTTTATTAAGCTAAAACAGGTGATTCCGCCCCGGTCGTTTATGTTCGCGTTAGTGTTTTCTTTGTGTTTAGGTGGGTTTGCGTTAGTGGTTGCATTTTGATTTGGTTCGTTTTTGTTCTTTCTTTTTTCGTGTTTGTTTGTATTTTTTTCTTTGGGTTTGTATTTGTGTTTTTGGTTGGTTTTGCGTTTGGATTTGGTTTGTTTTCGTTTGCTTTTTCGTTTTTTTGTGTGTGTTGGTATTGGTGTTTGTGGTTGTGGTTGGGTTTGTTGTTAGGTTTTTGTTTTCGTTTGTATTTGTAATTGTGTTAGCGTTATGTTTGCGTTTTGTTGTTTTGGTTTTGGTTGGTTGTGGTTTGGGTGGGCAATGCCGGGTTTAGAATGATTACTAAACACACAGGTAATGGTCTTTAACAGAAAGGTTTTTCACAGAAGCCAGAGCAGGGCCTGGCCGGGACGGCTAGTAGTGTATTATCTGTGATCGGATTTCTTTTTTTTTTTTAAATATTTTTTTTTTCCATTTTTTAAATGTAAAATATTTAAAAAGTAAAATATTTAAAAACTATTTTTTTAACAAAAAATTTTGTTTGTAAAGGTGATGCTGTGTGAGAATTACAGGGCCCATGCAGCCATTGTTGACTTTACATCAGAACTCTTCTATGACAACAAATTGATTTCAAGTGGCAACATCATAGCACATGACCAGTTCTACCCACTGACTTTCTTTGCTGCAAAGGGGGAGGAAATCCAGCATGAAAACAGCACTGGCTTTTACAATATGTCTGAGGTTATTATTGTTGTTTTCCCTTAACGTTTTGATATTTTTTTCTATAAGTAAGATAATTTTTAAATATACTTATTTAAATATTTGGCATTACACATTTGTTTTTAAAAAAAATTAATTAACTTGCTTAAAAGATGAGATTCATTTATGCTTGTCTCCTCATTTAGGTCTATGAAATTGTTGAAAGGGTTGATGAATTAAAAAAGAAATGGCCTGAAGCATGGGGAGCATTTGATAATAACGGAATCAGTATAGTTGCTCCCTACTCTGATCAGGTAAAACACTTTTGTGTAGGATAAGTGGGTTTTATACTCATTGTGACATTTTTTTTACATTGAAGTCTTATTTTTAAAACCAGTTTTTTGCAAACGATGTGGTGAAAACTGATTTTTACTGATTTGTTTCAAAGCTGTTTTTTTAATGTAATAATTAAGCTTTAACTACCTTTTTATACAATATAATTTAAAGTAAAGGATGAATCAGTTGTTGTTCTGATTTATATTGGTATGTTTAAAAATAATAATTACAAACTATTTTTTTTTTGTCTCCTAGGTTGCTAGAATACGAGCTGAGTTAAGAAAACGCAAACTTTTTAATGTTAATGTTGAAAGAGTTCTTAATGTTCAGGGTGAGTTTCCTATAAATCTTTTTATATAATTGGCTAAAAAATTCAGATTTTAAACATTTTAAAGCCTTGTAACTAATATTAATATCAATGTATAAATAAGATAAACAGTATGGTACCCAGCCCTGGCATATGACATGAATATTTAACTATGTTTCTTACACAATTTCCCCCACAGGTAAACAGTACAGAGTGATCATGCTGTCAATCACCAGAACTCGGTTGACTTGCCGCTCAGATCCCAATGTGGAAGAATATTTAGACTTTGGCTTTCTTTCCAATATCAAGTTGCTCAATACAGCCATCACAAGGGCGCAGTCCTTAGTCGTTGTTGTTGGTGATCCCGTCTCTGTTTGTTTAGTTGGAAAGTGCAGGTTTGATTTTTTTTTTTAAATTGCAAGCTTTTGTTAATAAATGAAGTCAAAGAAACAATTAGAGTTGTAAGTTTCTAAACTGATAGCATTGGGTTTAATTCCTGATTAAAAACTGTTGGTTTGTAGGTTTTCCCTTAGTTACCAGCAGATATAAATGCTACCCTATTTAAAGTTATGTCTAAAGAAAACAAACTAGAACTTATTAGCAGTGCGTATAACATGGAACTATTTATTCACATTATCTATAATTCCTGTAAAAATTTGGTCTGGATGATAGACTTTCCCAATGTCACAGAGTGTACATGGCCATATATGCCTATACACTTTGAATATCAAGACTAGCGTTAGTTGTAAATAAATGCTGTGTAGATATGCCTGAGAAATTTTTGTTCCTGTAGAGATAGAACACTATACAGCTCTAAGGTTATGGTTTTTTGTTCACTTAAATGAAAACATGGCTAAATTCGAAATGAAGACACAATGGTGCCATTTTTTATCAACAGAAAAATCTGGGAGTATTTCTTAGAAATCTGCCACTACAATGACAGCCTCCATGGTATATCCTGGATTCCTCTACGAGAACAGCTGGACAGAGCCGAGCTGACCAAATCTTTTGTGCTGAACCCCTTGGCACCAGAGTTCATCCCCAACCGTTTGTATCACACATCCCACGCCTCACAACAGGATCACAGTGTCTTTTACCCAGGGGTTCCCCATTTCGGAGGCTGGCCCGCCTACCCTGGCATGATGCCTGGAACTTTCCCTCAGGTTGGTACATTGTACTTATAACTTAAATGTCCAGGTCACAGAAAGAGGTTTACTACTTCATTGGCCATCAGGTCCGTAAAGGCAACTTTTTTGTATATTGGGACAAGGGTGTACAGCCTGCAACACTATGTAGCTCCTTTAACTGAATATATGCCGCTCTTTATTTGGAAGTATTTAACTTGTTTCCCCCCCAAAAAAAAATCTAAAGAGGGGGAGGGGGAAGGAGAGAAAATAACATTAGTTATAATGTTAGTTTTAAGTTTAATGAAAGTTAAAGGATAACTAATAATGCAACTGCACTATTTATGTTCAGCAAAAGTAATTTAGTATTTCTCTTGGTCTAGGGTGAGAAAAATTTAAACTTTTGACTATAAGGATCATCATTTTGTGTTATGATATAAGGTGTAATGTGTTAAAAAATTATTGTCAGATTCTGTATAATGTATTTTATCACGATGAATTAAAAATGTTGAAATGCAATCTTTTCAGATGTTTCCACCCATGTATCAGCACCCCATGTACTTCCCTTACAATGCTGGGCTTGTACCCACCATGTACTACCCACAGACTCTGGGGAGGGGATTCATACCAAACAGGCAAATGCTGGGAAGATTCATTCCTCCTCCTGGCGGATTCTCCTTTTCCAGAGGTACAGGGCCTGTGCGAGATGGCATCCAGAGGACGGTTGAGATGCCAGGCGGACGAAACGTCAGGCACGCTAAAGGCAGGCACATGTATTACAGTCCACCCAGGGTCCAGTCGTTTGCTGCTGTACCAGGCTACCCTCTGCTGCAGCCTCCTCAACATCCTTCTGGTGGCTATTTCTACCACCTCCCCGAAGACCCAAGAGCACTTGCGTTCTCCCCTGCTCATTCTAGCATCCATCCATACCTGACGCCCGGCGCCCAGTTTTCCGCGCACTCCATCAGACAACCTGCTGCATTTGGAACCTTACCCCATCACCCGGGGAGTGGGTTTCACCCACTTCCCCACGGAAGCTCACCTAATTTTGCCAGTACCAGAGTCTTTTATCAAGACCCGCGTTTGAATAGGGAGAGGTCTGACACTGGGGACAGCAGGATGTCGGATTCCCCCAGCTCTGGCATACAGCTCTTGCCTAATGTCAAACATGTGCCAGCCCACTTGCGAGGGAAACCCGGGGAGACTTCACCTGAGCAGCCCGGCAGTAATTCAACAACCCCGCCCATCAATGCTCCCATAGGCACCCCCATGCTTCGAGATGAAAGAACAGCAGCCTTGTCGAATCGACCATATAGTCCTGCTAATTACGTCAGGGAAAGATCCGGCTCAGCAGAAATGGTGAGGTCGTACAGCCCGGCGAATTTTATACGCGAACATGCTGGTGACGACATACATTCACGTCGGTCATACAGTCCTGCTAACTACCCGCGTGACGAGCGTAGGAGCTCGGCTGATGATGTAAACTCCAGTCATGAAAGATCCATGTCCCTTTCCCCGCCAGTAGCCCCCAGCAACATGATGCCACCTGACACGGGGCAGCAAGAGCAGAGAGTCGCAAACACCAATGGAACTTCAAAGCTGAACAGCCGAAGACAGAAGCCCAATCTTAGTCTCCGCACTGGGTTTAGCCGACAGTACAGTGATGACCTGCCGACGCCCACGGTGATAACAAACATGATTCAGATGATAGATGAGAACATTGACGAAGGCTCAACGGAGGAAGACTCGCCGTCAACAACAGGTGAGAGGAAACACCTGAGGCTGAAAATGTCGGTGGCGCAGAGGCTGCAGCACATGCAGGCCATAGAGGGCAGCGAGGCTTCGTCGTCGTCCACGCCACCTTCTGTGGAAGACTCCCACCCCTCCTATGCTAGCATGGTGAGAGCGTCCCCCAGGCACATAACAGCTGAAGAGGCTGCTCAGTTGGAGATACAAACACCTCGTACCCCTAAGGGCTTTATCACGCCGGGTGCGGAAGTTGAGGTCGACCCATTTGGGATCCTTAAATCTTTAAACATCGGAGGCGCCCCTCACCTGAAAGACTGAGACCTGTCATTTAGCATAGTTAGAGCCTCTTTGTTGTGTCAAATGATTATGTTGTCCGCTATACTGCAGCAATCCTATGATTTTTGTTCTAATGGGAAGATTTTTGCCAACAATATGTTATTTGCAGCAATATAAAACATGACAATGGGCTTTTTCTCCTTATTATTTTAACATCTACAAGAAAAAAAAATCTATTCTTGCTGTGGAGGTTTACATTATATTCCTTTCTGAGCTCTAAATAATTTTCTATTTCCATATTTGACGTTTGTTTCAAATTAAACCCTTTTCTTATGACAATTTCTCCCCTCTATTGTTTTTCCTTCTTGAAGCCCCTTCTAACAATGTTGCTTTGATGCATATGTTCAGTGTTGTAAGCATGGTTTAAATTTTTATTGTTAACAAATATTTTATCTTGATAAACAAGACATATGTATAAGGTAAACTTGGTTTGGCAGTTTTAGTTCTTATAACCAATCGCTTGTATTATTCCTATTATTTATCTGTATGCTTTTGTGCATTTGACCTTGCTGGGCACTTTTTTTAAGTATAAAGATCCTACTGTTCTATGTTTGTAAGAGTGTTATAGTGTAATATGACAAAAATTTTAAAGTTTAAATTTTTAATGATTAAACTTAACTCTGTAGGAGGTGGATTAGTCAACATTAATTCTTGTTGTACATGGTATATATCAAATGGGTTCTATTTCATGTGCCTTCTAAATGCATCATCTTTTCTCCCAATCATTCAATAAGAAAATGTATTTCCCCTCTCTTATAATTCAACTCCTTCAGTGTTAATCAAAATAACAATCTCTTACAGTTCCGTTCAATAGAAAAATTATTTTTCTTAACTGTACGCAAATACAACTCTAAAGATTAGATTTGTAATTGAAAACCATTATTAAATGTTTCATAACCAAAGTTTAGTTTTGTTTTTTTAAAACTTGTTTTAATGATGACATTCATTTTTAGTGCTGTGTTTCTTGTTTAGTGATAACACCAATGTCAGTATTGGTCAGGTTTTTTTAAAAAAAACAACAAAGAAATAAATAAAATTTCTCTATCTTGCTCTTGTACATAGAGTTCAGTAACCCGCAGTTATACATTGTGTCTTTCAGGGTGGATTTAGAACTTGTTTTGTCTTATTAAAATAAACATATATTTTCTTTTTTTGTAAAATAAACTATAACTTTTTCCCAGAGCAGTAATAATGCACTGAAAAATCATATTTATTTATAAATATATGTAGTCAAATTAGTTTTTTTTTTTAAATTCTTAAAATTCAGATATAATTTTTTTAATGCACAAACTAGTATGTAAATTCAAACACTTTACTTTTATTTATAGTATAGTATGTCATTGCAGTAAGAAAATGACATACTGTTTGAAACTTCTTTTGTTTTATGTTATTTATTGTAACTTGTGTAAAAAAAATTTGCTGATGTCATAGCTTTATCACCTATTTCTAAATTTTTCTAATTCATGGGTCATCTTAACACAGCATGTAAAAAGGAATACGTTTTTTTTTCTCAAATTTCACAGATACAAATAGGGAAGTTAATCAACTTAAATATTAAGTTACATTTATTGTTAATTGTTTCATTACTTGTTTTGGCCCATAAAAAGTTTTCAATCATTTTGCTTTGTTATGATAAATTGATATTATATAATTCCCTTATTTTTAAATGAAATTAATTCAGGTGCATAAACCGGTGAGATAAGTCTTTTTGCCCTTCTGTTGGTTAGATTTTAGGAATATAAAAATTCTTTGAAAGCAATGACATTTACATACATAATCAAAATGGGAACATTTTTTATAAACATTATTCTGAAAAATCTTTATTAAATGCTAATAAAAAAGAATAGTAAAACTTTGTTCCAGAAACTTGTGCTTATCTAATTAACAAATATTTTTACTACAAATTTTACATCCAAATAACTTTAAAAATACAATTGTTAGTGCATCTAAATGGCAGCATGTTTTTTAAAAATCTTGTAACAGTATACACAATGAGTGTTTCTGCATTAAATTAAAAAAACAAACAACTGCAGACAAAATATGTAATCATGTATTTTATAGACTAGGGCTAATTTTTTTTCAACAAAAATATGAGTTAGAACAAGAGATTTAAATTTCAAATTTTTTAACCAACCAGAAGTTGCTGTTACATTTATCCAAAGAGTTTATAAAAAGTTTTAAACAATACACGGTTTATTTGTATAATTTAATTTAAAGGTTAACCCACCAGTGTCAGCTGTGTTGCTAAATTTGACCCTTTAGCTTTGGCATTACCTCCCCATTGCATTCTTGAACAATAGTTAAAGAGCTTAAAGAGCTGGTTACATTTTGTTATAAAGGCCAAGAAAGCCTTAACTATCTGATATTCTAGTAATATGTTTTAAATGACAAATACAAAAATACTTGTATACATATTTTCTTGTTAATTTTTAATCTCACCGTCTGTTGTTTGAAGGCTTATATTCCTCACTTCATTGGTTTTTAAATGTTAAAAAATGTTTTTTAGTCTGCAGTTGTCAATGTTGATCACATGATGGAAATCTGGACCATAGCATCTGTTTTTAACTTCTTATAACGGCATGGGATTTTGGTATTATAGTCGAACTTTGATATATTTTCAACTTTATACATTTTTTTTTTCTTCTTCCCTTTACATGTTTGAATAATGATGAAAAGCAGTGCCTTAGGTGCGGCAGCCATTTTCCTAATTGATTCGTGGACATTTAATTTTTCATTTTTCTGCAGCCGAATGACATTAGATTAGATTTTTTATTTTTATTTTAGGTGTAGTTTTTTTTAAGGCTAGACATGTGTTGCTCAAATAGTTTTTTTCTGGTGTTAAAATTAAAATAAAAAATCATTAGGTTGTGTAAAATGAAAATATGTCCGCTAATTATTTGGTTGAAAATGTTTAGACTGCTGCATCGAGCACTGTCACTGCGCATGGATCTTGTATTACAATTTTAAAAAAAACAACAGAAAGAATTTTTTTCTACGATAAAAAAATTCCCTAATACAATATTATTAAAATCTGTTTTGTTGTAGTATTTAGTTGTAATGTGTACTTATCCTAGCCAGGAATAATATTGTAAACAGTAGTCCTGTATTCACAAGCTGTATGGATTTTGGTTTTTTATTTCGCTTCTTACCTATCTAAATATATTATTTATCCTGCATAGTAATAAAATCACTGTTGTAGCATGAAATATGAGTTGTTTTTATTTACCTTGTTAACATTTTTTTGTTTTTGTGTTTAAAAATGTACAAGGATGTGCACAGAAGTAAACCTTTCCAATTTTAAAATTATTTTAACTTTCCTGTTAAGAGCTGTATTTGCTTATGAGCTGATATTGATTCATGTCGTTTTTCATTCAGGCATTTTTAAAAAGAGGTGATGGTAGGAAATGCGTTTGGTTGGTGGGTTGGAAAAAATGGCTACGTCTATGCCGGGGGGGGGGGGATTAATATACGTTGAGCCTAAATGTCTGGATACTATATATATATATATATATATATATATATATATATATATATATATATATATATATATATATATATATATATATATATATATCGTGAGTCAATATGACGGGAGCCCATGTGGCGGCAACCAATATGTCGGGCCTATTTTTACTGAGTTGTTTTGTCCGGGGCCGATTTGTCGTTGGTAGTTTTGTCGGTGCACCTGTGCCCCCCCCCCCCCCCCCCCCGAAGAAATTGAAAATGTCTTAAAAAACAAACCAATGTCTTCGACCAACACTAAACTTGGGAAAATAGAATCTATGTATGCTAACAGACTAAGCAGGATCTAGCTAGATCTATATATTTGAAAACAAGATCAAGAAAGAAGGCGTTACGCATTACGTTAATGTTTTTCTCCGGAAAGGGGGGGGGGGGGACTTGAAACATTCGTTCGGATGAGGGGACGCGCTTAAATTTCCAGCGGTTAAAGTAGATATTTACTATATAAATGATACATTTGTTATTTTTCAAGGCGGGGGGGGGGGGCGCTGTCCCTAACCCCAAGAGATGTCTGAAAGAATCTGATAATAGCGGTAACTACTGTTCTGTTAACTCCCTTGTTGATGAAACAAAAAGCGAAAATAGATACAGGGCTATCTATTTACCGGAAACATTAAATTCTATTGAGAATTCCCAATGAAAAATCCCAGAATTCCAATAGATCCTGTCAACGTGGCATGAATACGCATGTACGGAAGTGAAATACAGCTTCCCGTACGTGGCAAAGTGTCCGTGGAATTTGTATCTAAATTTGTTGTCGTTGGCAATAATGATAAGAATTGTATGAAAAGTAAGTATTTCTTTGCGTATACAAAATTTACATATACATTACATCGATGCTGGTTACACCTCTAATTACACGTTTATAAACTTTAAAACTCAACTGACGTATTTAATAGGTAACCACCGCCCACAAAACTAGATTTTCAATTTTAGATCTCAGACTTACCACTACCAACCAGGCACTGATTGCTGATTCACTCTGACTCCAACCAAAACAAAACAGTACAAAACTGACTGCTGTCTAGATCTATATCTAAATCTACTTGCTATATACTCACATTCACTGGTATTCTATATTGTTTGGTGTTTACGGTCAGCTGCAAGTTGATTTAAAATAAATTTTGTTTGTAGTTTGTAGAGTAGATCTAGATCTAGATCTAGATCTAGAGACTAGTAGTGAAGGATGCTTTTAAAATTAAAAAAAATTTAAAGAGCTAGATCTAGATCTTGTTAGTAGGAAGTAGACCAAATATGTATCTTTTGGTTGTTTTAGTTACTGTTGTTACTAATACTTGTATATCTAGTACTATTGTGCCTGTGTTGTAAAGGTATACAATCCAAAGAGGAATTAGTTCTCAAGATAAGGCCTTGCGTGTAGATTTAGCTCATTTTAGCTAAAGAATATTCCTATGCCAAATTTAAAGTAATTTACTTATTATTAGATTATTAGGTCCCACACGTCTATATTATTTAATTTAGGACTTAGGTTACTTTCCAAGGATTGATTATTATTGGTGCATTTTATTTTTTCTGTTGGGTTATTTTTCTGTCACATTTATTTAGTATGTGTGGTTTTTTCTGGAAACCAAATAATCAGTGTATTGAGTTTAGGCCTACTAACATTCATTTTTAAATTATTATTCTAGTATAACCGAAACCAAAAGATAATCAATGAGTGGGCAGTTTCCATATCCAGGAGGACCTCCACCTTCTAACAGTCTTCCTGGAACTCAACAGCCTCCAGTTTTCAATGGGGTCTTACAGCCAGGTAAATCCTCCAAACATTTAATTATCAAAATCCAATTAGTTAGCCCTACCCATATCAGACGGTAACTGTATTACTTAAGTAGGTACAAATAAATACGTTTGTGTTACTGGCAACCTGAAACAAGCAAGTTGTTTTAACTAGTTTATTAGACATTTATAAAAGTTGCTACATTTTTAGCTTTTAATTTTATTTTGCCTGAAGTTTATTGTTTGGTAAATTATTAATTTTTTTTTAGGTCAAGGTTATGGTCAGTCAGTTCCAGGAAAACCTGGACCTCCATCTGTTCAAAATGGCCCACCTTTTGGTTCACAGATGAGACCTCAGTATCCACCTCAGGGGTAACAATTTTATTTTACTTGATAAGTCACTCTAAATTTTCATACTTATTGCTGCAATCTATAAAAATAGTTGTATTAAAATATATAATTTCATTTCATATATTGTTTTCCCAATGTGTTTTTCAGAACTCCTCCAGCTGGTGTTGGACCCCAAGCTGGATTTCCACCAGGTCCTGGAATGACTAGACCTCCCAATCCTCTGGCATCAGGGCCACCAGTATCTCAGGTACTAACATAAGTGCTATTTTTAAAACAATAATCGTACTGGCAAACCATAATTATCTAAACCTAAATTGTAATACTAGTTATAGCATGTTGTCTTTGAAACTGTGACAATCAGAATTTTCTTTTTTTAACAGTTTAACAACATGAACTTGAATGAAGCATCTGTTCGACCCGGTATGCCACCACCACCAGGCTCAATGGGACCTCCACCTCGTCCTGGTTTTAATCAAATGAATGGCCCTCCTCCTCGAAGTAACATGGGCCCTCCATCAGTCAACATGGGCCCTCCACCAGTCAACATGGGCCCTACACCTGTTAACATGGGCCCTCCACCAGTCAGCATGGGCCCTCCATCAGTAGGCATGGGCCCTCCACCATCTGGTATGGGTTCGTTACCCCCCAACAGTATGGGTTTGCAGACAGGTGGTATGCCACCCACTTCTGGGATGGGTCATCCAGGTCAGCGTATGCCGCCACCCACCAGTATGGGTTACAACCCAACAGGAAGTCACCCTCCTCCACCATCTGGCCCACCTGGTGGTCTGCCTCCCACTTCCTTAGGTCAGCCACCTCACATGGCCAACCAGTTTCCTCCACCAGGCATGAACCAGTACCCCAATCAAACTAACATGGGTCATCTTCCACCCCAGGCAAGTCAGGGACAGCTTCCACCTCAAAGTAATACAGGACATCTTCCCCCTCAGATAGGCCAGCAGCCAGGGAGTTTTCAGGGGCAAATGCCACCTCCTACACAACAGCAGCAGCAACAGTATACACCTATGTCTGGTTCTAATTACAATATGCCAACCCAAGGTATGCTGCCCCCTCCTGGACAATCACTACACTCACCAACACAAGGTGGCCCACCCAACACACCTGGTCAGATTCCACCTCAGGGTGGCGTCGGCCAGTTCCCAGGTTCTGCCCCCTACACACCCCAACAGATGGGCTATCCCAACCAGCAGGCCCAACCTATGCAGCCACCTCAACAACAGAAGCGGCTGGACCCTGATCAAATGCCTAGTCCAGTGAGTGCATAATGTTCTTAAAATTGTACTTACGAAATTTAATGTAACTTTGATTATTTTTTGATTAAATATATTTTTTAAATATCTATTTAGTTCTTGGAAATTTTATTTTTCCAAAAAAAAAATTATTTAAATAATACAAATAGAATTTTGTAATATTTCTAGATACAAGTGATTGAAGATGATAAAAGAAACAGATCTGGATTTTACCAGACAGGAACTAAAGGAAGTGTTCCACCTCTAGTAACAACAAATTTTATAACACAAGACCAAGGTTAGATATGTGTGGTTATATTTAAGTTTTAAGTGTTGATTGTCCTACAGTTGGTTTTGTTCATATGTAACAAGTTATTGAAATGACTGATTATCCTATGATCTTTGATTATGCTTAGCTGATCCTGACCATCTCATCTTTCAGGTAATGCCAGTCCAAGATTTATTCGGTCTACCATGTACAATGTACCTTGTACAGCTGATATGCTTAAGTCCGCCCACATACCTTTTGCACTTGCCTTGACACCATTTTCTGAGCTTGACCCACAAGAAGTATGATTTAATGATACATACAATTTTAGTACTTTGAATATTATTACAAAAAAAAAGTTAATACAATAAATGTACAGGATAAAAATTTGAATGGTGGGAATTTTTTTTTTACAAACAGCAACCTCCACCTTTGGTTGACCTTGGCGAACTAGGCCCTGTCAGGTGTAAGCGCTGCAAGGCTTACATGAATCCTTTCATGCAGTTTATTGATGGAGGCAGGAGATTTCAGTGTGTTTTTTGTGGAGCTGCCACTGATGGTATGAAAATTTACAGCAATAACACTAAAATATATTTATGACAGATCTATTTTAATTTTGAATTATAAGCTCTTTTATAAATTGCCAGCTAAATATTTTTAAAATTAAAAAAAAAATGTCACATTAATTTTCCAGTACCAAATGAATATTTTGCACACTTGGACCATACTGGCCGTAGGGTGGATTGCTACAGCAGAGCAGAGTTGTGCTTAGGCTCTTATGAGTTTGTAGCAACTAAAGATTATTGTAAGGTTTGTGACATTGTTCTTAATGTTTAGGTATTTACATTGCTTTCAACTGGCTGCTCCCTTCTAATTTATACAGTATTTACTGAAAGGGTTAAAGTTGGAATAGTGTGGCATGATTGCCAGAAATACTAAATAGCATTTTAACTATGTGGAGCAGCACATAGAAAATGCTCTCTCTTAACAGATATATTCTCTCTACATAAGAGCAATAAAAAGCAGTTTAAAATCAGTAAAGTTTAATTTTTTTCAGAATGGAGTTCCCCCAAAGGAGCCTGCATTTATATTTATGATAGATGTTTCTTACAACAGTATAAAAAGTGGTCTTGCCCAACTTATTTGTGATAAATTAAAATCTGAGATTCTTGTCAATTTACCCAAGTAAGATTTTTTTATATATAAATTTGTACACTGTTTTGTTTGATAAGGCTTTTATAATTGTAGCTACCTCTTTAATTGAGTTGAGTTAACCATTGTTTTCTCTTTATCTAGAGAAACTGGTGCTGTTGAATCAGAAATAAGAGTTGGTTTTGTGACATACCACAAAGAGCTGCACTTTTACAATGTTAAGGTATGAAGTGACTGATGTAGTGTCATTAACTGTTAAAAAGATAGATTCAAATAAAGACGAGCTGTCTAACTGCTTTTATTGATGTTTTGATATTTTAATGCATCCAATATTTAGTCCTTTTTTTAGATACTATCTGTTAATTTTTTAAAAATTTCAGTTTTCAGGAAGTGTATTTATATGATAAACATTTTAAGTGCTAATATATTTTTTGTGTCTACAGAGTTCATTAGCGCAGCCTCAAATGATGGTGGTGTCTGACTTAGAAGACATGTTTGTACCACTGGTAGATGGTTTTCTGGTTAAATTATCTGAATCTGAAGGTGTGATTGACAGGTAAATTCACAATCCCAAAATTTAACTTTATATTGGATATTACTTTGAAGTACTAACCTTATACACCCTCTGAATTTGCAAAATATTAATTTTATTTCAAGTTTTAGCCATAATATATTGCTGATATTAAGACTTAAATCTCATACTTAACATTACACCTTATTGTTACACTTATAGTGCAGGAACTATCTGTATGAATATATGTGTATAACCAGTTGCTCAGGATATTTTGTATCCTATATGACATGAGATCTATTCTTTATTTTCAGCTTGTTGTCTCAGATCCCCCAACTGTTTGCAGAGTCCAAAGAAACAGAGATAGTTCTTGGACCGGTGATACAAGCAGGTCTAGATGCTCTCAAGTCAGCAGACAGGGCTGGCAGATTGTACATATTTCACACTGGGCTCCCTACTGCAGAAGCACCCGGAAAGTTGAAAAACAGGGATGATCGTAAACTCTTAGGCACAGAAAAAGAGAAGGTGAATAATTCTGAACTTTGTCTTGTAAAACTGTCAAAGCTGGATTCTTTCTAAATCATTACTTTAACTTTGGTGACAAGGTAATATAAACGTAAATAAAGTTTTCTGTGCTTACCTTCCAGAATCCGTTACAAACTTAGAGTAACAAAATTCACTCATAGTTGTACTCTAGTTCAGTTAGATTTTGTGCTGTCGTCTGGGGCTAAAATATTTGGTTTAAACAGTTATCAGCTGGTGTTTTCGGTTTTACAAAAATTTATTGTAAAAACTTGAATCTTGAAATTTCAGTGTTTTTTATGTAAATCTTTTTTTTTCAGACTGTATTGACACCACAGGTCAACTTTTATCACAAGCTTGGTACAGAATGTGTAGCTGCAGGTTGTAGTGTGGATCTGTTCTTGTTCCCCAACCATTATGTTGATGTAGCCACTATCTCAGATGTCTGTAGAGTCACAGCGGGAAATATCTACAAATATAGTTACTTCCAGGTCAGTTTATTCACCTTTACATTTATACTTTAGAATAAAAAGATAATCACCTACCTTTTTAGAGCTGGTTGTAGCTAGATTTTAAAAAAGTAATTTGTCAATTGGTTTTAAATGCTGTTGAATTTATCCTGAAATTATTATGAGATGATCATAATATTGAATTGAAAGTATATTGGCTCATAGCCATCTTTATATTTAAAATTCTTACTTTAAATTCAGCAAATGTACTATAGTGTACTTTGTTTGATATTGACTACTAAGACCCCCAAAAACACAAACCTCACTCATTAGCAAGGCTTAAAAGTACATTTAACTTCTTTTATAGCTCTCAATCAAACCTGTTTGCCTGCACTGGGTATAACTTTGTATGTTAACAATCTTGTACTATCTTTAACAGGCTGACCTGGATGGTGAGAGATTCATTGAAGATCTGAAGACCTCTGTAAAGCGCTCACAAGGGTTTGATGCCATTCTCAGAGTGAGAACAAGCACTGGTGAGTTTCTTGACTCTTGCACTAATGTGATGGTACTAAGCATTTCTCATCCAGAAATAGATTTCTTTTCATTCAGATTTTATGAAAGTCAAAGTTAGTTGTTAGTCTTGTGTTAGTCCTAACTTTATTGCCTTGGGCTTAAAAAACAGTCTGATGCTATCAGCAAAAAAAAGTTTTTTGACCATTATATTTATTTTAGAAGAAATATAATACATCCTTATTCATTTAAGGCTAATGAATCCACAAATAATAAATTAATTTACAATTAAAAAATAAAAATTGCTTAAAATATTTTACTTTAACTACTATTAAAATAAAGCTAAAAAAAAGGTTCGAAAATATTTATCGAAATATTTTTTCAATAACCTTAAATTATGTATATATTATAAAAGGCATATTCATTCTTTTTTTCACAAATAATTTCTGGCAACATCAACTTTGAAAATCATTTAAAAAAACCAAACAGTTGCATCATAACCTATTAAATAAATGTTGTTTTAGTTGCCTGTGCATTCAAGGAGATATAAATTACTGTTGCATTTTGACTTATGTTTGATGTGTTACATCTTGAGTTACATAAAATTCTATCTTCTACCCAATAATTTGTTTCATCAGGTATAAGGCCAGTTGATTTCTATGGCAACTTTTTTATGGCCAATACAACAGATGTAGAAATGGCATCTATTGACAGCGACTCTTCTGTTTGCCTGGAAGTCAAACATGACGACAAGCTTAGTGAAGCTGAAGGTGCTTATATACAGGTCTGTATAGTTATCTCTAGCTTATACCTACAGTCATGTAACTTTTTCTTGTATCCAAACTAGAGAAAAGTGTCTGAGAAACTTGAATGTGAGTATTCTCTTGTAGGTCGCTGTGCTGTACACCACAGTAGGTGGACAGAGAAGACTGAGGTGCCAGAACCTTGCCCTTAACTGCTGTGCTCAAATGGCAGATTTATTCAGGAGCTGTGAGCTTGATGTACTCATTAATTTCTTTGCTAAACAAGGTAAATACTCAGGTCAAAGTTGCTTTGTTTGTGAGTTGGTCTAAATGTTGATATATGCTGTAGTTTCATTCTTTTCTTTAGACGGTTGCAAATCACCCCCAGCAAAAATTAATAATTTTAGTTAAGTTAAAAGTTTTAAAAAGAAATTTTTAGTACTTTCTTAAAAAATTGATATTATATTATATACATTTTAAAAATACTTTCAGCAATCAGAACGAGCCTGAACGCTAACCCTAAACAAGTAAGAGAACACATCATGAACGAAGTGGCTCAAATTCTGGCATGCTATCGTAAAAACTGCGCCAACCCTTCCTCTGCTGGTCAGCTTGTGTTGCCTGAGTGCATGAAGCTGCTGCCTCTGTACTCTAACTGCGTCATCAAGAATGACAGCATATCTGGAGGCTCTGAGATATCAACAGATGACAGGAGCTACTTGATGCATTTGGTCAATGGCATGGATGTCAAGTTGTCAAATGTCTTCTTTTACCCAAGACTTCTGCCTTTTGTAAGTCTGGTTAATTATTCAGATTTTTTTTCTTCTATCACTTACCTGCTAGTGAGGGAGATATTTCTTTTTAACATTAATGTGGTCATAGTTGTAGGTTGTAAAGATGAATAAAAGCTGTAGGTTGTAATGATGAATAAAATAATATTATTGCTTTCTAGCTATGGTATTTGCTGCCTAGTAAGGCTCTGTTTATGCCCTTGTTGATGAATCATGTTACTTGTGTGGTGATAGTAAGGAGGTAGAGGAATAAAAATCGAATTAGAAATATGCCTAGAGTATGAAAAATAAAAATAAAACCTGCATAGTATGAAGTAATGTTGCAATAATTTCTTGTGACATCATTTGCAAGCGCTAACTGTCATGTGTTTAATCGAAGACAGTAGTAGTCAGGCACCAAAATATGCACTTCTGCTGTTCTGCACTGTTTTACATACCTAACAGTTTGTAGTAAATGAAACAACAAATGTAATGAATTTACTGCTTATACAACTTCACCACCCTTGCTGTGCTACTACTTTTAAATCCTAATAGTGTTCATAAATTCACGGTAATTTTTCTGTTAAATGTGTGTAGTGTTTATAAATTCACATGAATTTTTCTGAAAGAATTTATCCTGTCAGTGAGTTGTAACTGTATTTTTGTAAAATTTTTGTCTTTTGTTTTAGCACACACTTGATATGGAATCAAATGACATGCCAGTAGCAATTAGATGTTCCATTGAAAGACTGGAAGACACCGGCATATACTTATTAGGTTTGTTGAAATTTCCATTGAAGTTTACATTGATGTTTAGACAATCAACCAAATTTACTTAAAACAACTATTCGCAATTATTTAAATTTCCTTTCATTTTCAATGTTTTTCCCCCAACAGAGAATGGTCTCTCTATGTTCCTGTGGATTGGATATAATGTGAATCCTGATTTGATCCAAAAAATATTTGCAGTGCAGAGTGCTGCCCAAGTTGATATTGATAAAGTGAGTTATTTAAAAAGAACAATGTTTATAAAATGTTTTAATGTTGTGTCAGAACTGGAATGAGTTTTGTTGATGGTGTTGCAGGTGAAGGTGCTCCAGCTAGACAATCCAGTGTCACGTAGGTTGTGTGACTTGATAGCTAAGATCAGGGAAGAAAGGTCAAGGTATCTTAAGGTATGTGTACTTAAAACCACAAGTCATCAATGGCATAGCTTTTCCCTTACTGACTTCATGACTTAACCATTGAAATGTATACATTCTGTGATATGTACAACTTTCATATCAACTTAATTATCTGTAATAAAATTTACTAGCTTTATCTTAATGGTTATTGTAATTATTAAATGTATTGACACTTAACAGTTATGGAATAAGGTTAAACAGGTTACAAATTATGAAGATGCAAATGTAAATAACATACAACATAGTTTCGAGTTCGGATCCTGTGCTTGAGTTCATATGATGTCCCTGAGTCCACCCAGCTCTTATGGGTATTCCACTCACATTAGGGAAAGTAAAGTTGGTTGGGCAAAGTGCTGACCACAATATGCCCCATGGACCAATAAGAATTGAAACGGTACATTACTTGTAACATTATGTAACATCCAGGTTAGATAATGGTTAAACTTTTGTCCTCAGCTGACCATTGTAAGACAGAGGGACAAGCTTCAGGCCTGGTTTGACCACTTCCTGGTAGAAGACAAGGGAATGAACTCAACTAGCTCCTATGTGGATTTTCTTTGTCATATACATAAAGAGATCAGAAACATACTCAACTAACACCTGACTACATTTTCTAACTGAGCAGCTGAGGTACCCAACAAAAGTTGACATGACAGATCATCTGACAGACAAAATCTGTTTGTTCCAAGTTGGCATTATCATTATTATAATCGGCTTTAGTCTGATTTTAAAAATTACAAAAAAATACGTCATCGGTTAAAGATAAAAAAAAACTATTGTGATTAGTTTTTGTTTCTATTGTAGTATAGTGGTTACTAGAAAGTGCAATTTCTAATGTTTGATCACAATGTTGTAGAGAATTTGTTCAATGAAAATATACTGCTTGGTTTCTACTTGGTTTAACTGTTTTGTATAAAGATTTTTTTTTAACCATGAATTATTTATTCAACCAAGTATTGCAGAGTGTCTCCCTAATCATGTAGAGGATTACATTTTTTTATGTCATAAATTTTACACTTTTTTTCCCATCTTTGTCCATTAATAAAGTTTTTTTTTTTAAAACATTGAAGGCTATGGTTTTATTTTGTATCTTGTTATTACTAGCATTGAGTTTTTTTTTTTGTTTAAAATTTCAAATCTGTGATTGATTTTTGTTTTCATTTGGATACAGCTGTTAATCAGTTTTTATCCAATTAGGTAATGGGAGTAAATAGTAATTACACAATGAAATAACAAGAGTGAAAGTCAATTTTTGTGTAATGGAAACTGACTTGTGGTGAAAAAGGCGTTGAGAAAAATGTGAAATGACTAACTCTGCTATGAAGCAACAATGTAAATACTTTATAACTAAATTATATGTACATATAGCATGCCCTGTGCATGTTGCTATTCAAACATTTATAGTGCAGGGTTTCTTTTATTGTTTTATGAAGACTAAATTCATCTTATAAAATTGAATGGTGATTTTTTTTTTTCTGAGCTGATTTAAATGGTCGGTAAATATGAATTATATTTGTTGCATGCAATCTTGATGTAAATAAACAGCATATTTGACTTGTATGGTGTTTGTCATTATGTGTTTATTCATACTAGGCAGTTGTTTTTTTGTGTGTTTGTTGTTTGTCATTTGCTACCCCATCAAATATAATCTCTTCACCAAGTATTTAAATAAAGTTCTCAGGCCAGTATTTGACCAAGGTCTTTACTAAGACTGCAAAATATTTTCTCTTGTCCTGGATGAATACTATCTTTGTTAAAGATATTGGCTTAATAAATTTAATAAAGACTGCATAGATAAAAAGTCCTAGTATCCAAATTAAGATTTTATGATATACCATAATACCAGCATTCTGAAGCACAACTTGTTATTGTCCTTTATATCATGCCACCAACACTTATGGTATTGAAATAGTACCAAAGTATTACATTTCAGAAGTTAACTCAACACGCGTTGACATTACTGTATATAGCAAATTTCAAAGAAAAACAATATACATTGCATTTTAACAAATTTATTAACTCATTTCAGTTTCGGAATTGTTTTTCAAAAAAAAAAATCGTGATCCAAATAGATTGGCAGGAATCCTAAATCAGTTTGTAAATGATGGGGACAAACTTGTTATTTTCTAGCTGGTTTACAGAGGGCCTGGCAGTCTTCAACAGTGAGGAAGTTGTTAGAGTTGCCGCCACATCCGCCATAGAAAAACTCAGCACAAGTACCGCTGACTGGGTCGTAGTAGAATCGTGGAAACACACCTCTGCATGATCCGGCGTCTGGTGCTTGGGAGCAGATCTCAGTGGCTGGGGCTGAATAGAGCACATGAGAAACATTCTTAAAATAGCAGACCTCAGCTTTTCGGGTAAACTACTTTCATCAAGCGTAGTAATAAATGTGGCCGAATTTTATGTAATGGATCATATTAAGTAGATATCAAATAACTAGCTATTTAGATATCTAGTCTCTAAATCTTGCATATATTTACTTCCTAATACAATGTTTAAGTAGCCCTAAAACTAGTAATGGATAGATTAGTTGTAAACATCGTCCTTAAATATATTTATTATGCTTGAAACACATAGTTTGAGCGCTATTTTACAGTGGAAGACGAACAATTAAAAATAATTGAAACACAAAAAATAATGCGTTGAACCTTTACTGGAAAGAGGTTCAAAAGATAATCAATAGATATGACCTTTATTTTTTCTTCAACAAATTTGATTAGAAAAAAAATCCTATGGAGATTGTGACTACATCAAAATTAATTCGGCTTAGAAACTGTTGTTGATAGTAAACTGTATTTAAGGCTACGCTATTCAATCGGAGAGGAGAAATTATAACAAAAGTAAAAGAATAAGCGCTTTATTTACGCTGGATAAATGGGTAAACAAATTTAAAGCGAATTTAGCAGTTTTTATTGTAAAAGACAAATATCTTCGATATATTAAGTCCATGGTCGGCTAGCAGACGTGAAATCATCCGATAGCAAAAGCTCGGCGAGTCACCTGAATGACTGTGAGATCGCTATAACGTAATGCAGTTGTCTCCATTTTGTTAGTAATATTACGTTAATTTTTGCTGACTAATTTAATATCAGACGATATATTAAAAATTGCATATTCTAACATTGTATCCGGATATTAAAACAACAGAAATGGCCCAAATTGAATTATAAGATTTGTCACAGACAGAAGTACAGACATTATGAACTAAGTAAAAGCTTAAAAGAATGAGCTGTTCTTAGTGTGATTCACTTAACCAGTGCAATATAAGGCAAGTAAAATAGACTTACTAGTCTGTTGAACAGACAGCTGGATAAACAGCATGGCGAACAGGCAGATGGCGAATTTGGTCATCATGATGCTGGTTGTGTTGGCTGAGGTCACGTGAAGACGTCGGTGCTGTGGTGCAGAAGGTACCGTCTGTGGTCAACACGTCCGGCTTTTATAGCCAAAACTTTCAGGGGCAGTGGTGACGTTGTTTTAGCCAGGTCTCATCTTTTATTCATGAAACAAAAAAAAAAAGATCTATAAATCTGTAATACGTCACGTGATAAGTACGTGTCATTTTGTTGTAAAATTTAAAACTAATATAGTTAATAAGCAAATCAAGATATTTATAATTTATTTATTCCGTGGAAGGTGCTACTACTCTCTACTTGACTTTAGTAGCTATCCGTAAAACAAGAGTTTTCGTTCCTTTTTATTTAAACAGTGGATCTTGAGTGGTCCATAAATGACGTCAAGCAAGTTTAACCTATTTTTACTCCGATCTTTATCTATACTTTTACCACACAAAAATCAAGATATCCAGCACTAATAAACTTCAGTTTTAACATAAAACAAAAACTTTGTTATCATTTTATGTTTTGAGTTATAGATTGCAATGTTAACCGCATCACATTTTCAATACACTGCGAGACTCAACGAGACTTGAAATAAAATGTAATAAAAGAACGAACATTCTTATTCGCGTGGGAAAGTAATGTAGCCTCAGAGGCGTAGCGAGGGGGGGGGGGGGGGGCGGGGGGGGGGGACATATGTCCCCGGGCGCCGACCTTAGGGGGGGCGCCAAATTGACAGTTTGAGGGGGGGTGCAAATGAAAAGTTCGAGGGGGGGGGGGGGTGCAAATCGAAAGTTTGAGGGGGGGGGGGGGTGCAAATGAAAAGTTCGAGGGGGGGGGGGGTGCAAATCGAAAATTTGCTCCCGAGGGGGGCGCCAAATTGAAAGTATGTCCCCGGGCGCCGGGAAGGGTCGCTACGCCTCTGTGTAGCCTATATTGTCTTTCATAGGTCAAATGAAACCATAGCAAATACAGTTGACGGGATACAGGCTTACTGTATATTTTTTAGATAACCATTTTCTTGTTTTACGTAAGGGTAGAGATCGATTACAAAACATCTCTCGTCAAATATTCCAGATATTAAATACATCACCGAATGACTATGGCCAATCAATTGGAAAAACGATAACTAAACAATTAATTTTTGTTTCAATTTTCTAGAAAAAATAGCAAGATTTCTACTTTATGTGTATTTGCTTGAATGCAAACTATCTTATTACAACTATAGTATTATTATAAAGAAAAGCGTGGGTATCTTCCTAATTATTAGTACAGGATTCTAATAGATAATTTAGTAATTTTTTAAAAGCAGATGTGAAAATTTTAATCAAATCGTTAAAAGAATAAAAATAAATAGTAAAGTTACTTCCACTATTTTTAAGTTATTTAATTAAAATGTAGGCTAACTTAAAAACAAATACAGCCTGGGTACAGTTTGTTATTATTTATTCGAATCTGTAATAAGTTATCCTAAACGTAGCTACATTAGCCTATCGCTACATAATTTCCTTCTATTGTTAGTAAAAATATTTATAATTGTTGCATTTCGGGTAGTCTTGGTATTTTGAAATATAGAAGCGAGGCCTAGAAACCAAAAGCGGCCAAGTTTTGTTCATGTTATCAATGAGAATCATGTTCACAACAATTAAATTAGTTCGAAAATTGATATCTCTCCCTGGCTAATGAGATTTAGTATTTTAAATGTGAGAGAACGAGACATACAAGCGCTATAACAGAAAGGAAAATAACAATAAATTCCTTTAAGGGGATATGCACAGAAAAAAATCACCAAAAACCTGTTTTTTCCGTCATAATGAGTTTTTTGCTCCTTTAGATACTTTATCCAGTTTTGTTTAAGAAAATAGTAACTTTAGTGAGAAAATCTTTTTTCAATGAATTTAAATTACAATTTTTTCGAAAGCATTAATTAAAACATAATCTTTTCCTCTGTCGAACTTTTCGGACTGTCGAATTCTGAACAGAAGCTCTATCAAAAAGTTGTCGTGAAAAAAGTTTTATTGTATTCTGAAATATAAGCAGAGTAAATTTGATTCCTTTATGTGTATAGATAAACAGCTCCTTAATATTTTTAAAAGTGCCGAAAAATTCAAAATGGTGGAGGTTTTTCGGGTTTCCATGACAACAGAAATTGTTTTCAAACCCCTTTTAGTAGAAATATTAAAAATGCATCTGTATTTGAATTGTAAACATGCAAAAACAAAACGGAGCATAGCCACTTAAATATAATAATGTATCGCGTGTAATATATATATATATATATATATATATATATATATATATATATATATATATATATATATATATATATATATATATATATATATATATATATATAACTAAAAGCGCTGCTCGCTCATACAGCTTTAGAAAAGGTATTCAGTTGCCAAGCATTATTAGTACACTTTACTGTTACTAGTACACTTTTTGAGTAAAATTGTAGAGCACAAAGAACCCTCTGTAGGCCTGTTCATAACTAATAATGTGCCTACCAATATCCAAACGTATTCAATACATACAATTTAAGCTTATTATTTTAAATGTTCTAAAAAGGTTTTTTATTATTTAGTTATGTTTTTATGGTAGTCTTTTTTTGACGCAAAAGTTTTTAGGTGCTACGCTCAGTCCACCAAGTTCTAACTGTGCATGCATTTCTGGATATAAGAAATCGTTGAATTTTCTGATATCGAATTAGTTATCACAAAGGTCATTAGGTACTGTGGGTAGCACACAGCGCAATACGATATGTGTTATTATTCCTAATTTTGTTTTTGGCTAAATATCTACCAAAGGTTGACCTTTGAACTTTTCAATATCCACGTCTGTCCTGTTAAGAATTAAAAAAAAAATTCTTGCATTATTCATGAGACGATCGTAAAGTTACAGCAGCAATAAAGATTGTGGTTCAAATCGAAGGCTAAGAGAGTTGTAAAACTTAGTGGGTAGTTTAGATTCGCTCTCCTTCTAAGACAATAGTTCTATTACAGCATGGTGGAGGAGATTTTATTATTGTTATGTGATAACTATGTTCTCTATTATGTATGGCGTTTGAATTTTTTTGAGTTCAGAGTGCTAAGTAAACGGCGAGGAGCGTGTGTGTGTGTGTGGGGGGGGGGGGGGGGATATCATTGCTTGCTCGTAATTTAACTATTAATTTTACTATTAATTATTAAAATTAGTATGTAGGCATTATGATATTACAAATGTAGCACAAAAATCTTGAGGCAATCATAAAATGACCATAGTAAAATGATGATGAGTAATGAGCACATACAAGATGATTACAGTCTTTACTTAAAATAGAATAAAAACTCCACGAAAGGAATTTCAAAAATGTATTGCATGAACGATCCTTTATAATAATTGGTGTGTTAGAATTTAAGAACAATAGCTAATTAAAGGCTTCACAAGAGTGTGTGCAAATCGGGGCTACGAAGAGTTACTTCATAGCCAAAGAGTACTCCACAGTGGGTATGAGACCTTACAAAACATAAGCTAAATTTAATAGAGCTATTTGTTCGTAATGTGTCTAAGACTTCTGTGATGAACTCGTAATGTGAGGCATGCTATTCCACCAGACTGGTCACTTCATTCCACACTGGACTGACCAGATGTCTTTGCATACTTCTGCCCATGTTGGCAGCAGAGAGGGGTGCAGGGAAATGAAGTGGGTCATCAGGTAGGGGGTTTCTTTCAGTGGCGTAGCTAGGGGAGGGCGGGTGGGGAGACCGCCTCGGCACCGGAATGGGTAGCTACGCCTCTGGTTTCTTTTAGATTATTTATTTCTCTCTGTGGAGGTGAACTTGAAACCTCCAATAGTTAAAGTACATATTTTTCTATATAAATTTAATATTCTCATCAATCCTATCCGTTTGTGTATGTTGTGTGTGTATGGGGGTGGGGGACTGATAGATACCTGATAGAAACACTTGTGGCAAAACGACACCCATCACCTGTTTTTGACATTTGTATAGAAGAATTAACATCTGTACAATGCGGCAGCTGTGTTTGTCATCTCGAATTGTTTACATAGTATTGGTAATGCTAACATTGACATGTGTACACCATCAGCTCTATAAGATTGACACATTTTTATGTGTTTGTTGATTTTTGTATCTCGATTTTTTAAAATTACAATTAAAAATAAGCAAGATAGTTTTATCTGGTACTTGTGAATATTGTTTTCCAGATTATATATATACGAGCTGACCCGCGTCGTAGCATACGCGGCTAAGTAGTTGTTTTATTTTCTACTTATCGACAATTCATAATTTGTGAATTCGACACTATACTTGTGTTGTGTTTGTGTTGTGTTTGTGTTGTGTTTGTGTTAAGTTTGTGTTATGTTGTGTTTGTGTTGTGTTGTGTTGTGGTGTGTTGTGTTTGTGTTGTGTTTGTGTTGTGTTTGTGTTGTGTTTGTGTTGTGTTTGTGTTAAGTTTGTGTTGTGTTGTGTATGTGTTGCGTTTGTGCTGCGTTTAGTTTAGTTTTGTTCCCAAGTTGGTACATTTAAGAAAGATTTACCGTGGCGGAGCACGGGTATGCAGCTAGTATATATATATATATATATATATATATATATATATATATATATATATATATATATATATATATATATATATATATATATATATATATATATATAATATATATATATATATATATATATATATATATATATATATATATATATATATATATATATATATATAATATATATATATATATATATATATATATATATATATATATATATATATATATATATATAATATATATATATATATATATATATATATATATATATATATATATAATATATATACAATCGCGTACAGTAATAATGGTTGAAACACTTTTTTAAAATTTAGTGTTATGATAATTTTAGTGAACGCTAGAGTTGATTCTTGGCACAGAATTTTTAACAGAGAATGGAAGGATTTTGTGATTCAATACGGTTTACAAAATATGATATACTGAACATTAAAGATATAAAAGTCGTGTTTTAGGATGTTTGATTTTTCGCATGTCAACTTTAAAATGACATGATAACCTTTTTATAATGATGGCCTTTTATCTGTATCGGTCTTTTGTATGGATCTCCATTCGCTGAGTTTAAAACATGTATGTGCCATAAGCTGTGTTTGATGTATCTGTATGTTGTATTTAATATCTCTGTGTGTTGTGTTTGAAACTTGTATTATAACGTAATCAGCTGTGGTAAAGGCCAGCCGTTTTTATTTTTATTACCTGTCTTTGGCACCTTACGTTTAGATGACATTATGCAACCAAACATAAAAATATCACTCGTCAATATTTGGTTAACAGAAAAATGGCTTGATTGTATCTAGAATTTCTAACTGTTAGTACGAGATTCATGTTATTTGTATGGTGGCTAAAGTTGCATTCAAGTGTGCCCAGGAAAGCTGACGAACAGAGACAACTAAATTTAGTACCAATATTTCTTTCATCATAATTTAGATTTTTGATTTACCAGCTTTCTTATAAACAGCCTACAGTTGCGTTTTATTTGATGATTCCAACACTTTGGGTATTGAAACAATACAAATGTATTACATTTAACAATTAATAAAAATATATACATCAACATTATATAGCTGTGAAAAAAATGAAAACAAAAGATGATTTAGTTAATTTGTATTATAATTTTTATTCATTTCAGTTTCAGAATTTTTTTCAAAAAAATTGTGACCCAAAACAAAAAATTGGCAGGAATCCAAAATCAGTTTGTTTATGATGGGGACAGACTTGTTATTTTCTAGCTGGTTTACAGAGGGCCTGGCAATCTTCAACAGTGAGGAAGTTGTTAGAGTTGCCGCCACATCCGCCATAGAAAAACTCAGCACAAGTACCGCTTACTGGGTCGTAGTAGAATCGTGGAAACACACCTCTGCATGATCCGGCGTCTGGTGCTTGGGAGCAGATCTCAGTGGCTGGGGCTGAATAGAGCACATGAGAAACATTCTTAAAATAGCAGACGTCAACTTTTCGGGTAAACCATTTTCATTAGGAGGAGGAACACATTGTGTGATGTATGCGGCCAAATGTTACCCAAATGGATCAAATTTATAGCAGATGTAAAATAATTTCTAATACAATTTTATGTAGGCATAGGCATGTAAGGGATATGACAGAAGCATACTTCGCCCTAAGAATATACTTCCGAATTAGAAACATAACAATAAGTTATTTAAGCTTTCTTTCACAGTAGAAGCTGAACAAGTTTAAAAAGTTTCTAGTAAAAAAAATTAACCCAGTTTTTCTTTACCAGATATTCAAAAGATAATGTACTAGATAAGGGTATCTTACTTTACTTTTTCTTTTTTTATCCAATATTATGGTTAGATATTGTTAGTTGTGAAATGATGGTTTCATTACACTATTTATATTCATCATTACAAGTAGAAGAATAAAAACGAAAATAAAGAAGTAAGCGTTTTATTTACGATGCTTAAAAAGGTAAAGTTATTTAGTCGGGAGTTTTGCACTCTCATCTCTTAAAGACAATTTTCTGCCTCTAATTAAAATCCACCACAGGACAAAAGGAAAAGAGTCAGACCAAGAAAGACCTGGATACGTGACCTGGAAGAAGACGCCAAGAAGATTGGATACACCTGGGACAATTGGAGAGACTAGCCCAGGACAGAGAAGCCTGGAAAGCTCTTGTCAGCGGCCTATGTCCAAGGAGGGGCGACTGGCTATCTAGCCTAATTAATCTACATAAAAAAAGAGGCATGGACACTAACAACTAGCTTAGAAGACGAATGTAGCTGTACTTGGTTAAAATAGAATTATAGACAGATAGAAGAACAGATATTTTGAACTAAGAAAATGCTTAACAGTTTTCTGAGTGATTCTCCTTAACCAGCGCAATGTAAGGCAAATAGACAAAGTAAAATAGACTTACTAGTCTGTTGAACAGACAGCTGGATAAACAGCATGGCGAACAGGCAGATGGCGAATTTGGTCATCATGATGCTGGTTGTGTTGGCTGAGGTCACGTGAAGACGTCGGTGCTGTAGTGCAGAAGGTACCGTCTGTGGTCAACACGTCCGGCTTTTATAGCCAAAACTTTCAAGAGCAGTGGTGACGTTGTTTTAGCCAGGTCTCATCTTTTATTCATGAAACAAAAAAATTGTGTTAAGTTCTTCAGGATCAGTTTTTGCAAGTACCCTATATGTCATTATGTCGTAAAATATTTGAATACAGTTTAATATCATTAACTTTTTAAACTGGGTTAAGGTCTATAGCTCAGCTGCGGTGGCGGAACAAGAAAATCTTTTACAGCCGACGCACAGGTGCGGCTGCTGTACGAAATGACCTGCCGGTTCGTTCAATAGCCAATATCTCCCCTGATATACAGGCAAAGAACCAAATTCTATTAAAGATGGATTCAAGAGGGTTCATAGCCTCAAACCAAGAACCATTACTGTAGTGTTTTCTTCACGTAACAAAGATTAATACAAACGATATACGAAAAATCAAACTTAAAAACCAAATTTTTATTCTATTTCTTGGTCCGATGTATGTCCGTATGTCCCTCTTAACCCTCTTCACCCACTGTGCTTCTTCCAGACTTTTCTCTTCCAGGGGGGGGGGGGGGGGAAAGAGGGGGGCACTTGAAATTTGAAATTTTCTGAGGGTGGGGGGCGTGCTAAAATTTCCGCAGGGGATGGGGGGGGGGATGGGGGGCGCAGACACTGTTAAAGTATATAGTTTCTAGATAAATTCTATTTCGTTCGGGGGTTGGGGGGGGGGGGGTGGGTGGGGGGAGGGTGGGGGGGTTGAAATGCCTGGAAGAAACTCTATTCGCCCACCTCGGGGTTAGGCGACATAGTAGTTCCGCCTTTACTTTTCTTTATGACGCACAATCTGATTTATTTAATGTTCTCTCTTCTCGTACGTTGGTACAACAAGGTTACCCCCCCCTGAACTTTGATAGGAGATACACGTTTGTTCAGCGTTGTTTGTTACATTTGTTTTAATACATAATTAAAACAAAGAGGGGGGAGTTAAGAGATGAAAAAATTTATTTAAACTGGTAGAACTAAAAAAAACAATAAAAAAAAACTTTCGTTTAAAATTTAGTATTTTGCTTTATCTGGGGTAATGTAAGCAAAATAATAGTAAACGTGATGTTTATTTAGTATAATGATGTAGTTTATGATCAATGTCTAGCGTCGTTGTCTCCTTAACGGTGAATAAAATTTTATAGGCGGTATTCTGAATTCTTAAACTATTATGACATTAGCCATCGGAAATCATGTTAGATTAGTTTCCTTTGTAGAAAGGGGATGGGAAAAAGTTGCTGATGTGAAGAGATATAGAGGGACTAAAAGAGATGGTGTTGCAAAGAGTGATGGGTGGATTGTGAGTGATGGTTGGGGGGGGGGAGTGATGAGCTGGTGATTGATGGGTGGGCGATGAGTGATGTGTGGGCGGTGAGTGATGGATGGGGGATGAGTGATGGTTGGGCGATGAATGATGGTTGGGTGGTGAGTGATGTTTGGGTGGTGAGTGATGGGTGGGCTGTAATTGATGGGTGGGCGGTGAGTGGTGAGTGATGAGTGGGCGGTGAATGATGGTTGGGTGGTGAGTGATGGGTGAGTGATTGATGGGCGGTGAATGATGGTTGAGTGGTGAGTGATGATTGGGTGGTGGATGATGGTTGGGTGGTGAGTGATGGTTGGGTGGTGAGTGATGGTTGGGGGGTGAGTGACGGGTGGGGCGGTGAGTGATGGGTGGGGTGAGTGAGGGTTGGGGGGTAAGTGATGGGTGGCGATGTGAGTGATGGATGGGGGATGAGTGATGGTTGGGCGATGAATGATGGTTGGGTGGTGAGTGATGTTTGAGAGGTGAGTGATGTTTGGGTGGTGAGTGATGGGCGGGTGGTGGGTGATGGGTGGGCTGTAATTGATGGGTGGGCGGTGAGTGGTGAGTGATGAGTGGGCGGTGAATGATGGTTGGGTGGTGAGTGATGGGTGAGATATGGTTGGGTGGTGAGTGATTGGTGGGCGGTGAATGATGGTTGAGTGGTGAGTGATGGTTGGGTGGTGGATGATGGTTGGGTGGTGAGTGATGGTTGGGGGGTGAGTGACGGGTGGGCGGTGAGTGATGGGTGGGGTGAGTGAGGGTTGGGGGGTAAGTGATGGGTGGGGCTGTGAGTGATGGATGGGGGATGAGTGATGGTTGGGCGATGAATGATGGTTGGGTGGTGAGTGATGGTTGGGCGGAGAGTGATGGTTGGGCGATGAATGATGGTTGGGTGGTGAGTGATGGTTGGGCGGAGAGTGATGGTTGGGCGATGAATGATGGTTGGGTTGTGATTGATTTTTGGGGGGGTGGGTGAGTGATGGGTGGGCAGTGAATGATAGTTGGGTTGTGAGTGATTATGTGTGAGTGATGGGTGAGTGATGGGTGGGCGGTGAGTGATGGTTGGGTGGTGAGTGATTATGTGTGAGTGATTGGTGAGTGATGGTTGGGTGGTGAGTGATTGGTGGGTTGAGTGAGGGTTGGGGGGTGAGTGACGGGTGGGGCGGTGAGTGATGGGTGTGGTGGTGAGTGATGTTTGGGTGGTGATTGATGGTTGGGCGGTGAATTATGGTTGGCTGGTGAGTGATGGTTGGGCGGTGAGTGATGGTTGGGTGGTGAGTGATGGTTGGGTGGTGAGTGATGGTTTGGCGGTGAGTGATGGTTGGGTGGTGAGTGATGAGGTGAAGAGTAATAGAGAGAACTTGTAGACTTGAGCTCTGCCTCTACATCTTTAAGCTGCTGTAGACATACACATAGATAGACATTGACTTGACTTGACTTAGTCCTGTTTGCTCCTTATGGAAAATAGGGCCTCCACCATTTCCTCCCTTTTCGTCCGATCCTCGGCTATTAATTTTGCCATCTCTCAAGACATCCCTGTTTGATTCAGTTCTCCGAGAAGACTCCGCCTCAAGGTCTGTCTTGGGCGCCATCACTTTCGCTTCCTCTGCGGGTTCCACTGATGCGCCTGGATTGTCATATTTTGGTGAGTCTTTCACACACCGTTTTTGTTAAGTGTTATAAAAAGGCAAAAGACTTTAATCATAAAAAAATCCATTACCTAATGGACAATTGCCCAAATGCACACTTGCCAACATGCGACAAAAATACCAGAATGGACGTTTGCCCTAATTGAAAATAGCCCCTTCGGTCAAGTGTTTTTCGGAAAAACGTCTGACTCACGTCCTAAATATAGACCCATCCATAGCTTTGATCGTAATGCTGACGTTAATCTAAATCCTAAGAAACACTAAAGATAATCTCACAGCAATGCATATAGAGCAAAACTTCTAAGGAATAATTTGGAATAATTTACTAAGTATTTATTTTAATTGCAAATTTGGGGACCATTGATCCTGCTTGTTACACCTGCATTTTAAACAACACGCGACTGGCGAATTGATTCGTCGCTGTGTGAAGTGGTGAGTTCGGATCCCGTCTGTTGAATCTGTTCTGTTTTCTCTGGTATTATATTTTATACCCGTGTCTACCTTTAGCTTTAAAATAACACTTTAAGTAAATATTGCTATCTCAGTAACAACGCCTGATTTCAACCCCTCACATGTCTACTCATGTATGTTCTAACTTGCTTTCAAAGTAAATGCGCAAAGAAAAACTTAACGAAAGATGCCAGTGTCTTTAAACTTATGCTAGTGTATGGTGTAACAGAAGGATAGTTTGGAATGTACCATAGGATATGTTGGTCACTTATATTAGTATAGCTTTTTTAACAGACCAGTCTATATAACAGGTCTTTACAAACAGCAATACATTTTCTAAATTGGTTTATTCAAGTCTATTATACTAATAGCAAAAACTACAACAGAACTCCAGTGGTTGTTCAATTGTGTTGGTTGATTTTGTTGTTGAAAAACGTGTAATGGGAGCGGAGTGGGGGAGAGGGTTCTGCTGTCACTGTTCTTTTGATTAGACATATTCTTTTAAAATAAAGATTTTAGATTATAACTTGGTTCCAGAAATTCTTTAACGACAAGCAGATCGGCACAGTCTTAACAAAAGGGACTCAGCCATGCCCATGCCCATGCCCATGACCATGACCATGACCATGACCATGACCATGACCATGACCATGACCATGACCATGACCATGACCATGACCATGACCATGACCATGACCATGACCATGACCATGACCATCTTGTTAGTCGAGTTTTTAAAAGGAGCTCTACCGTTAATAATGGCTAAAAACAATCCTTAAAATCATCTTTTGATAAACGAACAATATATTTATGAGGAGACAACGAAGATCAAAGTTAAGATGGTGAATCAATTACTAAGAAATGTTTCAGCCATAATGTTTAATCTGTTTCTATTGTGCGCCCGTGTTCTAATTTGTTTCTATTACGCGCTCGCTTAACTGTTCTATTGTTTGTTTTCTTGCAGATAATTGTAATTATTTTTTCTTCTCTAAATCTGATAGAGTGAGCGACATCAAATCAAGTCAGAGTTTCTTCCAGGCATGAGCACCCCCCCCCGCCCCCTCGAAGAAATTCTATCGCCCCCCCCCCGAACGAAATGGAATTTATATAGAAAATATATATTTTTACCCGTGTCCGACCCCCCTCACGGAAAATTTAGTCTGCCCCCCCCCCCCCACAAATATCAAGCGCAAACCCCGAGAAAAAAGTCTGAAAAAAACACTGACTCAAGTCCAACCCAAGATGTATTCTAGTTTCTTTGTTTTCACTTATCAATATCTTACTCTTACTCTACTGTACTACACATTACTTCTTACTATCTCAACTATACCCTAACTAATCTCCAAGTGTAACTCAACTATTTCCTATTAATATCTATCTACAACTTCTTCTTAACACACGGCTGTCCGCTCTACGCTCCCATGACCAACTGCTAACGCTGATGCTTCAATGGTAAACGGACAGTCTCACTTGACCGGTCATCCTCTCGTATCTCATTTGGTCCTATCTATACTTGATAATCTACCTAACTCGTCTGCTTGACCTCTGCCTAGTGTCCATTTCTGTTTGACCAACTTCTAAAACTTGTGTAATCGCACCCCGGCTGTGCCACTGTCAACGTCTTAGCTTACGTTCTGTTCAATTTAGCTTTTAGTATACGTGTATGAAAACTTGGAAGTTATCATGATTTGTATAAGTGTTCAATTTTTTAACATGCCTGTTTGTAAATTTTCGTTCTTGGTTTGAAAAAAAAAGATTTAAGTGAAATAACGTGATTTTTAAAAATAATTTTTAAAAATAATTTTTAAAATAAAATAAAATCAGAGGTCATCAAACCAGATGAAGTAGAGTTGGAACTTAAAATAGTTCACGGCAGACTGGCCGCTTGTAATAAAGTAAGTCGCGTGTGACTTCATTTAGAAAAAATGTAAGAGTCTTGGGTGACTTCATTTAGATCAAAGTCAACTGTCATGTCCATTGTTGACCATGAAGCTAACAATCCAGAGTAAAATCACTTCTCACATTCGTCACCCTTTTCTCTTGGACACCATGCATCATGGTTGTTGCTATTAGCTTTCGAGTTCACCCAGCTCTAATGGGTACCCGATTAGAGTCGGGGAAAGTAACGGGTCGAAGTAGTATTGACAACATCAAACGTTCAAACGGCGAATTCAAATAATCAGTTGAACTCAGTTTCATTTCAGATATGCATCCTCGGTTCTTAAGGAAATGGGTTTTATTTTGTAGTGAATTATTCTACAAAGTTTGTAAACACACATAGTAAAACAACGTGTGGCTTCAACAGTATTAAAAAAACCCAACGAAACAAAAAAAACTGCCTTGATGCGTAATTTATAATATTTTTATTGTTCACCAAAATTTCTTATAATTTTTAGTTTGTCCTGGAGAAAGTAAACATTTTACTTTATTCGTTTTTATAAGAATGTAGCTGGTTGATGCACCCAAGCTTTTTATTTTCGGTAAATGATGCCGCATGTATTTTCACATTCCTCCAATGTATCGAATTTGTTGCTGTTGCCTCCACAACCTCCGTAGATAAATGGCTGGCAGTTATGGGTGGTCGTGTCGAAGTAGTATTGCTCCAAATACAGCTTGCATTGTCCCGGCTCTGGGGCGAGTGTACAGTCAACGGGGGTGGGGGCTGAGAATACATAAGAACATGTCCAAAAAATTATAATAGCAGAAGTGGAAACTCGATAATAATGAAGTGTGAAATAAATCAACCAAAATTTTGTGACACTAATTCAAAGTTGGCGACATTAAACTCAAAGACTTTGTTTTTAAATAAACAACATAAAAGATTAGTTTTTAAAGTAAATAATTATTTTTAAAATCTTATTTATATTGTTGGCAATTTTTCGTCGAGGCTAGTAAAAATATACAAACGTTTAAACTATTACTGCTTCTTATTTAATTAGCTATATTTGCTTACTCAGCTAAAACTTAAAACGTGAGATCAAAATATAAAATTACAGTATGACTCACGTATAACTCTAAAAGTGTATGCCATGTTACTAACCAATAAAGACTAGTTAAAATGTAATCATTTTTTTATTACATTAAGTACTACTACTAAAATGATGTTTTACAAGAAACCAATTTTTCATAGCTAAAGTTATTGGCTTAACCTGTGCACTACGCGGCTACTAAAATCGACTTACTAGTCTGTTGAACAGACAGCTGGATAAACAGCATGGCGAACAGGCAGATGGCGAGTTTGGTCATCATGATGCTGGTTGTGTTGGCTGAGGTCACGTGAAGACGTCGGTGCTGTGGTGCAGAAGGTACCGTCTGTGGTCAACACGTCCGGCTTTTATAGCCAAAACTTTCAGGAGAAACTGTGACATTGTGTTGGTTTTTGTCAGCTTACCTGTTTCTTTTTAATAAAAAAATGCATACTGAAATTTATGAGTTATAAAACCCCAGTTTAAATTACTTTAGTGTATGTCAATGCCATAATGATATTGCGCTATCGTAAAATTAAAATTTTATGGTTATTTTAATGATTGAGCCAAAGGCGTATGCAAGTGGAGCGGTGGGTGGGGAATCGAGGGTTGGGGGAGTAGACTTTCAGCATATTTATGACAAATTTGTCTTTTTTGTCGGAAAATCAAAATTAAAATTAATTAAAACAAGCAAAAAAAGTCAGTGATGATAGGATGCGCCTATCTTGATTTCGTTTTCTCTGGAAAAGTGTTGGATAACGAAGACGCCTATCTACGACATGGCTGACACATTTGACAGTAAACTCTATATACTGTGGGATAAGTGATGTAAGTCATGAGTATCACTGGCATAATTCAAGTCGTCCGGACGAAGCTACACAATCTATTTGCTCAGCTGAGCGTTTTTATTATGTTTACAAAAGCGAGAAAAAGAAATGACAAAAAGCGCTCTACAACAACTAACAAACATACACAAACTAACGAGCACTCACACGCACTTGTTCACACACATATGCAAATATTTTTATGACCGTAGATAAGAAATTTTTGGTTAACGTTCCGATAGTAGGACATGTATTGTATATAAAGCGGCTAATGAATTCCAATTGGTTTTCGAAAAGGGATCGCAGTTTTTGGAAGAGGTGGCGTATGGATATTTGCATTTTAAAAATTTCTTATGGTCTCAATAAGTGATTGAATTATACATCAGAATATTGTTTGCTGAAATTGACAGTAAAACATTTGATTACCCTTACAGTATCTTACAATAGGACTTAATTTATTCCTAAAAGTCAAGGGTCTTTATTACCGCCATAGGTCGATGTGTTGTCTCCCCCTCCCTACCCAAATAAAACTGATAGCAGCGAATGCTAATGTAGCAAACGGGATCAGCAGTTCTCAAATTTTAAAGAAAATAATTTGTATTTCTTCAAACACAATAAATTATTGCCATGATATTTATCTGCTGTTTTTTTTTCTATTGGCATCGTTCAGGGGAAGGATTACTGTTTAGGATTAAAGGGTTAAAGCCAACATTGAGATCAGCGTGCTTTCAAATCCTAAGAAAAATTGTGTGAGAGCTCTGATTTCTTAATGTATAGGCACCAAGTTGAGGCTGTAGATGAGAAGTTCAAATCTTCATCCTACGTTACTCGTCACTTTTCGCATCATACGCATGTTGAAGAAAGAACACGAATGCTAAGCAAAACCGTACGAATATTCATAGGCACACTAATGTTAAACAATTTAATAACATATTTAGTGAAAAACACAAAATGTTAACAAAAATACATACATATTAAGAATATCAGATGAATGGTAAGAAGATCACAAGAATGTTAAGTAAAATCATACAAATAAGAAAACAACAACACATGAATGTTGAGAATATAACACGAATATTGAAAAAAATGGAACGAATGTTAATAAAAGCATACAAAAGTTGAGAAATAAAAAAAAATGAAAAAAGGTAAACCAACCCAAAATACTTATAGAACCGCTGATTTTTACACCACTGATAAAATATTACTTCATAATATTTTAACTCGGGTTAACTTTTTTTATTACGTCAGCTAATATAATATATCGAGAGTAAGTGGTAGTAAAGATCTTAACACAATTTTTTTGTGTGTTCATGAATAAAAGATGAGACCTGGCTAAAACAACGTCACCACTGCTCCTGAAAGTTTTGGCTATAAAAGCCGGACGTGTTGACCACAGACGGTACCTTCTGCACCACAGCACCGACGTCTTCACGTGACCTCAGCCAACACAACCAGCATCATGATGACCAAACTCGCCATCTGCCTGTTCGCCATGCTGTTTATCCAGCTGTCTGTTCAACAGACTAGTAAGTCTATTTTACTTGTCTTATATTATACTGGTTAAGTGAATCACTCAGAAAACAGCATATTTTTTTACGTCTTTATTTATTTCTCAATGTCTGTACCTCTCTCTGTTTGTGGCAAATCTTAGAACCCAATCTTGTCCCACTTTTATTACATTAATATCCGAATACAATGCTAGAATGTATAGTTTTTAAATTATAGTTTGATATTAAATTAGCTATTAAAATTAATATAAATATTACTTTCCTAACAAACGAGAGATAGCAGGATTAAGTACTAGCAGTCTCATGATAAACCAAGTGAGATGTTTAGTTTATTCTTTTAGAGATAAAATTGCTTTAGATTAGCTACACATGATCTTTACCCATTTATACAACTTATATAAAGGGCTTCTTCATTTATTTTTATTTTCATTTCTCTTTCACGATTAAACAGTATAGCAATAAATATTTTCATATACAAAAAATAATTTGACCAACAACAATATCTAACCCAAATTTAACCTTTTTAATTCGTTGAAAAAAAAAAGTCATGTTTATTAATTTATCCCTGGAATATCTTTCCTGTTAAGGTTCCATGTATTCATTTCGGTTCAGTTATTTTTTAAAATCCATCCTCTACTGTAAAATAGCGCTTTAAGTATGTATCACTTTGTGTTCCATACATAAGGACCATGTTTACTACTAACCTATCCATGATTAGTTTTAGGCCTAGATACGTATGGGTATTCGGTAGTAAGAATGAACTATTTAGAGACTTGATTTCTAATTATTTTATATCTACTTTAAATTATGATACATTGGCTAAAATTAGCCACATCTATCAAGCGCGTGTTTCTCACTTATAGGACGCTTGTAAAAAAATGGCTAAAATTAATTAAAAACTAATTAAAACACAAATTATTTTTCATTAAATTTGAAAATGGTTAGACTATTGAATTTGTGTTTTTTGTGAAAAAATAGTTATTCGGTAGTAAGTATGAACTATTTAGAGACTCGATTTCTAATTATTTTATATCTACTTTAAATAATGATACATTGGCTAAAATTAGCCACATCTATAAAGCGCGTGTTTCTCTTATTAAAAATGGTTTACCCGAAAAGTTGAGGTCTGCTATTTTAAGAATGTTTCTCATGTGCTCTATTCAGCCCCAGCCACTGAGATCTGCTCCCAAGCACCAGACGCCGGATCATGCAGAGGTGTGTTTCCACGATTCTACTACGACCCAGTCAGCGGTACTTGCGCTGAGTTTTTCTATGGCGGATGTGGCGGCAACTCTAACAACTTCCTCACTGTTGAAGATTGCCAGGCCCTCTGTAAACCAGCTAGAAAATAACAAGTCTGTCCCCATCATTTACAAACTGAAAATATTTTTGGGTCACATTTGTTTTTTGAAAAAGAAATTCTGAAACTTGAATGAATGAATAAAATTGAAAAAAAATTATTTCGATTATTTGTTTCTTTTTTCCCCCCACAACAATATAATGTTTTGTTTGCGTTGAGATCTTATTCTATTGGTAAGTTAAATATTAAAGTTTTGGTAAAAAAAAACACTCAATAAAACAAATATAAAAAAATAACCTTTGTAGAAACAAGCTTTTAACTGCACTGCATTTAAGAATATAAAACTGATTTGCTTTTTTTCATAAAATATTTAGTCGTTAAAATATGTAAAAGATCTTTGGTCACGTCCTCATATAAAATTGAGTGCCAAAGACAGGTAATAAAAACGGCAGGTGTAGACCACAGCTGATTACATTAGAGGTGTCAAACACAGTATACAGAGACATCAAACACAGCAAATGGAACACAGATGTTTTAAACTCAGCAAATGGAGATCCAGAAAAAATACCGACACATCAAAATGCCGATAAAGGTAAAAGGCCACCATAAAATAAAACCTAACTTTTCATAAAATCGCCATGTAAAAGTTAGTCATCAAAAGTCCGACTTCCAAAAATTAGACATGTTAAAAGACAACGTGCATAAGTTAGATGTTCAAGCAATATCTTTATAACTTACAGTATGTTACATTTTGTAAACCTTATTGAATAACAAAATTCTTCCATTCTATGTTAAAAACACTTTGCTTAGAAACAAATGCAGCTTTTTAAATAAACCGGGAGTGATCTCCCCAAAACTTTCTCGAATATTCTTATATAACTTGGAATATAGACATGATTTTTAATTACTTAAACTTTTAAAAATAGAATAGAACCTCATAGATAAAAGAATTGCGCACCAAGCAAATGCCAAAATAAAAAGTGCATAATAGTGCGCAATATTATTAGTACTTTATAAATTTACATGCGTTTTTTGAGAAATAGGAAATAGCGTAAATTAGTACTTCCGGTAAACGGAAATTACTCAAAATTTGACACAAGGTAGAGAATTAGATCTTTTACTTACATGAGAAATTTCATTTATCTATCCTAAATAGTACACAAGTTATAGGCTTTTGAAAAATTCAAAGTAGAAAAAGTACCACTTCCGGTTATCGGAAATCGCTCAAAAGTTGATTGGGATTTACAATTTTGATAAAATACTTGTATATGAAATTTCATCAACCTAGCTGTAACGGTACTCAAGTTTACACACACACACAGACACACAACACACAGACAGACACACAGACATACGGACAAGATTGCAAAATTATGTTTTTCCGTATCAGTGAGGTGTAAAACGTCGAGATTTGTAAAAATCGCGATTTTTTTGCACGATTACAAAACTTTTTCTATACTTCGTATATACGAGAAAGTAAAAATAATCACAACACTACACAAAAACAAATCGCAACACTCAATATTATTATGGTGATGGTATATTATTCATCTGGGAAAAGGTTGTATTGGAGAACAGTATTTTTATTATTATCAATGGAAATAGAAAAAAAGATATAAAACTCATCGAGCCCATAAAAACATTTAGATGTCAATCACTTCGATGACTAATATAGTTGATAATGTATACATGCCAAATTTAGCACTAAAAAATTAGAGATGTCAAACACAGCTGCTACATATACAGTTG